GGCCCGTTCAAACAATTCAGTTTGAGACGGGGCCAAGCCGACCCGAAGGGGAGGCCAGGCCCGTTTATACAATTAGTCTGAGACGGGGCCAAGCCGACCCTGAGGAGAGGCCAGGCCCGTTCAAACAATTCAGTCTAAGACGGGGCCAAGCCGACCCGAAGGGAGGCCAGGCCCGTTTATACAATTCAGTCTGGCTTGGCCCCGTCTCAGACTGAATTGAATAAACGGGCCTGGCCTCCCCTTCGGGTCGGCTTAGCCCCGTCTCAGACCGAATTGTATAAACGGGCCTGGCCTCTCCTTCGGGTCGGCTTGGCCCCGTCGCAGACTGAATTGTTTGAACCGGCCTTTCCTCCCCTCCGGGTCGGCTTGGACCCGTCTCAGACTGAATTGTATGAACGGGCCTGGCCTCCCCTTCGGGTCGGCTTGGCCCCGTCTCAGACTGAATTGTATAAACGGGCCTGGCCTCTCCTTCGGGTCGGCTTGGCCCCGTCTCAGACTGAATTGAATAAACGGGCCTGGCCTCCCCTTCGGGTCGGCTTGGCCCCGTCGCAGACTGAATTGTTTGAACGGGCCTGGCCTCCCTCCGGGTCGGCTTGGCCCCGTCTCAGACTGAAGTGAATAAACGGGCCTGGCCACCCCTCAGGGTCGGCTTGGCCCCGTCTCAGACTGAATTGTATAAACGGGCCTGGCCTCTCCTTCGGGTCGGCTTGGCCCCGTCGCAGACTGAATTGTTTGAACGGGCCTGGCCTCCCTCAGGGTCGGCTTAGCCCCGGTTCAGACCGAATTGTATAAACGGGCCTGGCCTCTCCTTCGGGTCGGCTTGGCCCCGTCGCAGACTGAATTGTTTGAACCGGCCTTTCCTCCTCCGGGTCGGCTTGGCCTCGTCTCAGACTGAATTGTTTGAACGGGCCTGGCCTCCCCTTCGGGTCGGCTTGGCCCCGTCTCAGACTGAATTGTATAAACGGGCCTGGCCTCTCCTTCGGGTCGGCTTGGCCCCGTCTCAGACTGAATTGAATAAACGGGCCTGGCCTCCCCTTCGGGTCGGCTTGGCCCCGTCGCAGACTGAATTGTTTGAACGGGCCTGGCCTCCCTCCGGGTCGGCTTGGCCCCGTCTCAGACTGAAGTGAATAAACGGGCCTGGCCTCCCCTTCGGGTCGGCTTGGCCCCGTCGCAGACTGAATTGTTTGAACGGGCCTGGCCTCCCCTCAGGGTCGGCTTGGCCCCGTCTCAGACTGAATTGTATAAACGGGCCTGGCCTCTCCTTCGGGTCGGCTTGGCCACGTCTCAGACTGAATTGTATAAACGGGCCTAGCCTCTCCTTCGGGTCGGCTTAGCCCCGTCTCAGACTGAATTGAATAAAGGGGCCTGGCCTCCCCTTCGGGTCGGCTTGGCCCCGTCGCAGACTGAATTGTTTGAACGGGCCTGGCCTCTCCTTCGGGTCGGCTTAGCCCCATCTCAGACTGAATTGAATAAACGGGCCTGGCCTCCCCTTCGGGTCGGCTTGGCCCCGTCGCAGACTGAATTGAATAAATGGGCCTGACCTCCCCTTCGGGTCGGCTTGGCCCCGTCTCAGACTGAATTGTATAAACGGGCCTGGCCTCTCCTTCGGGTCGGCTTGGCCACGTCTCAGACTGAATTGTATAAACGGGCCTAGCCTCTCCTTCGGGTCGGCTTAGCCCCGTCTCAGACTGAATTGAATAAAGGGGCCTGGCCTTCCCTTCGGGTCGGCTTGGCCCCGTCGCAGACTGAATTGTTTGAACGGGCCTGGTCTCCTACGGGTCGGCTTCGGCTCGTCGCAGACTGAATCGTTTAAACGGACCTGGCCTATCCTTCGGGTCGGCTTGGCCCCGTCTCAGACTGAATTGAATAAACGGGCCTGGCCTCCCCTTCGGGTCGGCTTGGCCCCGTCTCAGACTGAATTGTATGAACGGGCCTGGCCTCCCCTTCGGGTCGGCTTGGCCTCGTCTCAGACTGAATTATTTAAGCGGGCCTGGCCTCCCCTTCGGGTCGGCTTGGCCCCGTCGCAGACTGAATTGAATAAATGGGTCTGGTTTTCGCATATTAAGTGTTTTACCACGCGTCCGGATCTCGTTAAAGTTTCAAAAGACGTGCTTTTTAATAAACATTCATTTGACGTACATATTGAACCACTTTGAGCATATATTCGGCTTTAACCGGCTTGAACCGTCAGAAACCGCCTTTTCTCACGAGAGTTACCGGTTGGTTTGGGCTTATTCAATGATTCGACGAATGTACTTAATACAAGATTCAATTTGATATGCATATTGATGCTATTTTGTTCATGTCTGGGCTTGAACCACGATTAACCACCATGAACCGCGAGAATAACCGGGCGGTTGAATTTCATAATATGCTAGAAAGCTTTGCTATTGTAAATGAATACATTTGATAACCATATTGAACCTCTTTGAGCATGTTTTTAGCTTGAACCGGCTTGAACCGTTTGGAACCGCCATTTACCGGGAGAACAACCGGTTGGTTCGGGCTTATTAAATAATTTTATGAATGTTCTTCATTTATGTTTCAATTTGATATACATATTGCTGCTATTTTGTTCATTTCTGCGCTTGAACCATGATTAACCACCATGAACCGCAAGAATAACCGGGCGGTTGAATTTCATAATATGCTAGAAAGCTTTGCTATTGTAAATGAATACATTTGATAACCATATTGAACCTCTTTGAGCATGTTTTTAGCTTGAACCGGCTTGAACCGTTTGGAACCGCCATTTACCGGGAGAACAACCGGTTGGTTCGGGCTTATTAAATGATTTTATGAATGTTCTTAATTTATGTTTCAATTTGATATGCATATTGATGCTTTTTTGTTCATGTCTGGGCTTGAACCACGATTAACCACCATGAACCGCAAGAATAACCGGGCGGTTGAATTTCATAATATGCTAGAAAGCTTTGCTATTGTAAATGAATACATTTGATAACCATATTGAACCTCTTTGAGCATGTTTTTAGCTTGAACCGGCTTGAACCGTTTGGAACCGCCATTTACCGGGAGAACAACCGGTTGGTTCGGGCTTATTAAATGATTTTATGAATGTTCTTAATTTATGTTTCAATTTGATATGCATATTGATGCTTTTTTGTTCATGTCTGGGCTTGAACCACGATTAACCACCATGAACCGCAAGAATAACCGGGCGGTTGAATTTCATAATATTCTAGAAAGCTTTGCTATTGTAAATGAATACATTTGATAACCATATTGAACCTCTTTGAGCATGTTTTTAGCTTGAACAGGCTTGAACCGTTTGGAACCGCCATTTACCGGGAGAACAACCGGTTGGTTCGGGCTTATTAAATGATTTTATGAATGTTCTTAATTTATGTTTCAATTTGATATACATATTGCTGCTATTTTGTTCATTTCTGCGCTTGAACCACCATGAACCACCATGAACCGCAATAATAACCGGGCGGTTGAACTTCTGAATATGTTCAAAAGATTCGCTGTTGAAAATTTATTCATTTGATATACATATTTCTACATTTTGACCTATTTCCGGGTATGAACCGCGACGAACTGGAAGCACAACCGGCTGGTCAAAAAATACCACTCTATTTTGTTCAGTAATTTACAAGCTTCAATTTGAGCTATAAAACATCATCATAGCATGCTTATATCAGAAGTTGATAATATTGGATTTTCGTATCTGGCTGCTTGTGTCAACTTTGGAGCTCTAGAATCATATGAAGGAAGTACTCCGCAATAATAAATTTCATATGTATCGATGCATCTTGCGCTTATCTTTCACATGGTAGGCATCAAATTATCAAAATCGATCTAGCACGCACTCAAAAGCCGCTTCTAATCAAACAAGTGCTTTTTTTCTTGCTAAAAATCCCCCAAAAAAGGGGGTAAGATGACTCATATCGAAAATTCTGCAAGTGCAGTTTTTCAAGGCTTGTCTTGATGCATATGTTCAGAAAGTATGGGGAGATTTTTCAAAAGAACCTTGAAAATGGAAAAACACCGCGGTAAGCCTACCTATGGTCAGATAAATATATTTTCGATCTCAGAAGTAAAATCTACAAAAAATTACTCTACAAGGTTTTATGAAATTCCAATTTTTTACTCTTTTAAAACTTCACTTTTGAGCTTATCCTCGGCTTAGCTTGCTGATTTTGAAGCTATATCACACCGAGCGTTGCTCGAAATTGGTGCTAGGACCAGTCTCTGCAGGACATCGCAGTAGGCTGCGCGTGTCGGTGGGCCCGTTGCATCCTATTTGCACAGCTTGACACCTGCCTGTACTTGGCCACTGCGAGTTTTTAGCACCAACACAAAGCGGAGAACCCCGTTACCAATACTTGCATCTGATTGGCGGAAAAAACCCCCTGCTTCGAAATGGCTTCGCCCACCCTAGATGATTTAGTTAATGGTTTTTCTCGGGTACCGGTCAAGGTACTCCATATTTGGCGCCAGGATTTACCTGCAAATAAGACTATAAAAATGATAAATCTCAAATTATATGGTCTTGGGGAAATAGATTAAACCCTGTCTATCAAGATGCAATAGAAAAAACCGCTCCAGAATGAGTTTCTTGGAAATTATACGTTAAATATTGGAAATGAGTAAAAACCTGCTCCATATTTGGAGTACCTTGACCGGCTAGGGTTAAGACATTCCTCTGCGTATTTTTACACGGCTATATAATGATTATAGATTGAAACAATTGGAATCAAAATCTAAGTGAAAATTCAAACAAGACCGTAAGAAATCATCGTTAATTGAAAAAGTCGAGAAAAAACATCGAAAAATACCAAAAAGAAAAATAAAAATAAAAACACAAGGCATCACGCAGTCGAAGATAGAAAGCTTTTTCAAGTGACACTGTAACTTTCGGATTTTGAACTGAAATTGAAGGGAAAGTGGCCTTAAAGTGGATTTTTTTAGGATGACAGATTTTCGGAATTTTTCGAAAAAGTGGCCTTAAAAGGGTTGGCCTTAAAAGTGCTTCAAACTGTACCTTCTTCAAGTTCTTCAAATGTCTCGAGTTTTTCTTCTTGCTCTTTGAGCTTGTTTTTGAATTGATTTTCATTGTCTTTGACTCTTTTTTCAAAATTTTTGCGACTCGTCATGAGCCTATTTCGTTCATCCTGTCCAACTTGCAATTGCCTCGCCATTTCATCTTGCTAAAATCAAATCAATGATCCCGCTTATGGTCAGAATTCCAAACCTGTCTTTTGAGTTCTTGAAGTCGTTTCTGATCAGCTTCGTTTCTTTGAGCATGATCTTGAAGATGTTGTTCTGCTTGCATTTTTTGATGAACAATGTCTTCATGCTTAGTCATCAGTTCTTTGATGTTTCGATGGAGGTCTTCTTCGGCTCTGGAAAGTCGGGAAATTTCGCGATCTTGCTCGTGAATTCGACCATTTAGCGACTAAAAGTTTTGATTGAATGATGAATTTGAAAATAAGTAGAGACCTGAAGATCTTGGTTTTTCCAGTGAAGCTCAGTTTTCACCCGATTCAGCTCATATTCTGCCTCATTGCTTCTGCTGATAAAATAGCGATGTCGATTTTCAGAATTTTCCAGCGCTCGTCTCCACTTCTGCTCGTTTTGTTCCATCGTTTTGAGGCATTCTTGATAGGTCTTTTGTTGATTTTCCTTTGAAGTCATTATTCCAGAAACATGAGCTTTCATTTCTTTGTGATACTGGTCCACTTCTTCGTTTTTCTCGATGAGCTTGTTTTTGTAGTTTTCCTTGCTTTGCTCCATCGCCGCAAAATCCGCCTTTGAGACCATTTCGCTTCTGATTCGAGCTTCTTGCTTCTCCAGTTCGTCGATTAAAGCATTGTAGTTATTCTTGAGCTTGATGTGATCGGCTCGCTTAACTGGTCCTTCACGGACTTGGGCTCGGATTCGCTTTATTTCTTCGTCTTTTGCAGCGAGATCGAGTTCCATTTGCTTGTACTCGGCGTCGAGAGTTTCGTTGCGCTCCTTGATGTCGTTGTTTTCGGCAACAAGATCGTTTCTGTAAAATAATTTCAAATTTTTTTCATTTAATCAAGACCTAGAGTGGGCAAAATCCTCGAAAACTTTGGGGATTACCACTGCCGCAGTTGGGTCGGGGGCCCCTCAGACAATAAGAGCTAAGTATATTTTTTAACCGCCAATCACAGAAGAGCAAAGCCTCACAGGAGCCCAACCCCCCAAGCATTTGCCCACCCTAGATCAAGGGAGACTCTCAATTTCTGATTCGTTTGAACGAAAAATTTACCTTTCCATCGTTATTTTGTCCAATTGTTCGGTCAAGTCATCAACTTGGTTCAACAGATCCTCGTGTTCCGCAGCTTTTTCCTCTTCAAATTCTTCTTGTTGGTTTTTCAGCTGTTGTTCTTTCATTCTCAAATCATTTTCGAGCTCTTGGTTTCTCACTCTAAGTTGACGAAGTTCCTCTCCATCGGTATTTCTCGGAGGAAGATATTTTCGTTGATTCGCTCTTGGCGGTTTTTGACCTCGAGGGAGAGCGGCTGGTTGTTCTTCCTCCTCGACGACTTGCTTTTTAAATCGAGAATTGCCGGTTTGCTCGCCTTCTTCGTCGCCAGAAATTTGCTCGAGTCTTTTGAATTGCTGTTTTTTGGCGGCGTTAGGCTCTGAATTAGGCTTTACTGTACCGCCTAACCTCGCTGCTTCTGGCTTTTGCGGCATTCCAGAGGAAGTTGATGACTCATCAGAGGCAGAAGTTGCTTGATGCTCCTGCTGAGTTGATCTTTGAGGCGTGTTGGAGTCACCAAAAAGAGTAGTTTCTGGCTTCTTTGGCATTCCAGAAGCAACAGAGCTTTCAGGACTTCAAATATAAATAATATTTGATAGAGCTTTCGAAACAATTCGAAATACCTCACAAAGACTGGGTCATCACTTCCACTTGTTTGGCTGGGTGAACGAGACTGCTGCTTCGGAGCTGCCTTGCCCCAGTAAGACGAAGATGACATAAGAATCTCTTTAATACGAAAACACAGTTTTAAAAATTGCTCGGCTATTCGTGAGTAAACGAGAATCGAGGCGGGCCGAGAAAAGTGTTTGGAAGGGAAAATGACTGAGCAAAGGCGTATTTGATATTTGATATTTGCCCTCTCACGCGAATTCAGAATTGCTGCATTTTCTATTTGTTCTTCTTTTTTCGCCTTGCTGATTTTTCAAAATTCTTTCGGCAAGCATTCAAGAACCAATTATGAGGCTTTTTATGTAATTTTTGAGATAAGATAATATCATTTTCCAAGGTTAAATAAGTTTCGAAAGCCTTATCAAATAAAATTTTTGAAAAATGATGAAAAATTTTTAGGAAAAAAGCTTCTTTCTAAAATTCCTTCACTGCCAATTTGATGACGCGAATCGGAAGTTGATCGCTCACGCTACAATTTGGAATAGATTGCATTTTGCATGGGCCGCCTCTCTCTTATTCAAATTTGAAAGCAGACGTCCACATTTTCGTTCCGTTCTCACAGCAGACAAGAGAGCGGATAAAACAAGCGCTTTTTACCGGATTCGCGAATTAGCGATTGTTAAGCAAAAATTTTGCCCCTGTCATTTTTTGTTTAAAGAGACTGAGCTTTTGTAAGTGGCAATTATTAACGCGGAGGAGACTTAACTCATCGCCTACTGATTGAGTTTTTAAACTGAGCTGAACCTTGATTTAGAAAAATCCTTTAAATTTTTTTTGCCCAAATAGATACTGTATCTTTAATAATTCAAGCAAGGAAAAATATAGAAAAAGTATAAAGCGTGGAAGTGCGAGCCTGCTGCGCCTGCTGATCGAAGAATGCGTACAAGTAACGAGTCGAAATGTTGTTGTTTCTGTACTTTTCCAATAAATACGGAAAGCACTAGTTTAGTCAAAGTTACTGAGAAGATAGAAGTTGTACTTACCACAACGGGTTCTCTAGGAATGACCCGCTGTGGCTCGCACTGCACAGATTTGCACAAAGATGTAGATAACAGATTGAACCAAGATTGCAACAGCAGCATCGCCGTGGGGTGTTGATGTAGCTTTCCACGTGCCCCCTCCCCCCCCTTTCAGGAGAAGAGTAGGCTCTTCGATGCAGTTCTTGATTGGGATCTACTTCTTTGACTTCTTCTTCTCGGCTCTCTTCTTATTGTACGGTCGGACGATCTTAGACAGCACCTTCGGTCGTGGAAGCACCTTCTTCTTTGGCGCTTTCTCTTCTTCAGAGCTAACTACGACCAAATGATCGAAAGTTTCATCATTGAAGTCACTGCCACCGTCCGACGACGAATTCTTCTCGAAGAATGTAGTAACTTTGAGTGGCTCTCTCTTCTTCTGCTTCTTAGCTGACGTTGTCAAGGTTGAATCCAGTTGCTCCCGCTTTCGCTTGTCGGATTTCCTCGTCGATCCGTTTCGAGAGAATGTCTTCAACCCTGACGTGCTCGGTTCCTCCGCTTCAATATCCCCGGATCCTTTCACAATCGACAGCTCCGCCATCGTTGGCAACTCCTCCGATGATGACAGCAGTCCCAACGCCTCCTCCGACGATCGGCTAGCCGCGTCAGAGCTCACTGTCACCTCAAGAGTACCACCTTCAATCGCCGACTGCATTCGGACCGATCGGTTCAGGTCACGGGAGTATTGATGGTCCCCAGGATAGTTGGAGTCTCTCGGCCAATAGCCTGGAGATTGCAGCAGGAGTTCAGCCCGAAAGCTCGTCTGCTTCATCAGGATTCTATATCCGCCACTATACGGATTAAATATGGCGAACGCAAGTAGTTGGTTGCCTCCATTCTTCTCGATGCCCTTGTCCGAGAGGACTTCCATCAGCTCCGCCACCGTCTTCTCGTATTCAAAGTGGAAGGCGTGGACCCGCTCCGACATCAGACTCGCAGGCAATCGCTTGCCTGTTTCGTCCAACTTTTCGAACTTCTTCAATATCTTCTTCGAGCGTTCGGAGAGTCGCGAGTCGTCCACTTGGCTCGGATAGTTCCAGCTCTTCGGCAATAACTTCGAGGTTTCCAACGCTGCTGCCAGCCGATTCATGCTTCAAATTCTCTCAAGACGCGTGCGATCACTAGTTGACTCTTTGCAAAGTGAAGCTTTCTGCGTCATGGTTTCGGTGGCATTTTTCCGGCCATCTGCTTTTGCCGGTTTTCGTGTTGTTGTTGTTCAGCAGTTGTTTTCTTCTTTTCGCGGGTCCTCCGGGTTCACACGTAGGTCCTCCCATTTCGCGCCGCCTACGCCGCGCTTCATTTGAAAAACTCTCGCGACCTTGTTTACTTGTTTACCAGTCTTCAGATCATCTCCATTTGATCCTTTTCTACGAGAGTTGCTGGATTTTGATCATTCTTCTAGAGAAAACTTCTGCTTGAACTACTTTTGCTTGTTTGTCAACTAGATTCATCCTTTCTTTTCTTTTCAGACGGAATCTAGTTGTTGTAGAGAAATGGCTTGGGATCTTGGCTCTGATGAAGAAGATCCTTCAACTCAGGAGTCGTTGGAGTCCGGCGAGTTCATTGAGAAACACCCACGGCGAGGAACTCCTACTTTACGCGATCAGCTCGAGAAAAGCAGCGGTGGCGACCTTTCTGGCGGTGGTTCTGGCGATGACTGGGACAGACACATCCGGAACGACGTTCGTTCAGTTCCAAATCCTCAGCCTCGCCCGCTGGATGAAGCTCCCATCTTTCTAGATAAAGATGAAGTTGATGAAGTCGCCGCTCGTCCTCGTGATCCCGAAATGGATCATCCCCTCGGTGCTCCTGAGTCAGGAGTCGATTTCTACGATCCTCCTTCTTTGTTGATCGACACCGGCAAGAAAACCAGTGTGCATCGACGCGGAGTTGCTGACGATGCATCGATCTCTTCTCGGCCGCTCGTTGATCAGCCTATCCAGTACTACAACGCGTCCCGGATGTATCTTGGTTATGCCGTTCCGCGGGAGTTTTCAAACTGGGAGGAATCTCGTGACTACGAACGAACGCTGAAGGATTCCCAAAAGATCGCTGCTTGCTCTCCCGCGTACCAGTTGAAATACTCTCGACGAATTGGCCCAATTGCTGATCTCAAAGCTGCAACTCGAGATGTATCTACCGAAACGACCGAGACATCTCTCTCGCGATGTATGGCTCAACTGAAATTGGTCAGTCGGCCGCTTGGCAGTGCGAGTAAGTCCAAATCTCTTCTTTGTTTTTCTGTCTTCTAAAATTCTGTTGTAGATCTCGTTCATTATCCCGTCACGAAGAGTACTTCGCAATCGGATAAGGGACGACGCGGCTCTGGTTGTGAAGCTTTCCGCGATTTCTTGCTGCCTGCTTTTCGTTCGCAGCAGTTTCTTGCTGGTACTTCGACACGCCGGACCACTTCCGACTCTGCTTTCGTGCCCGTGCCAGCTATTCCCGCTCGTCCACCTTCTCCAAATCGTCGTCGGCGCCGATTTCCACGATTTCCTGTTTCTTCGGTCCGAGAAGAGGCTGCCAAACGCCATCGCTGTCACGATGAAGATGAGTGCGACAGCTATCTACACGTCGACATGGACCCGTGTGATGGTCTGCCGCTGATTTCTCAAGAAGCGCCCATCTTGTTGGAGCCTGTCCTTCGTCGGTACGCTGCTGCACCTTACGTCGGACCCCGGACTGATGCTGATCGTGCTCATGATGTCTTCTACCTGCAGTCGGGCGGGAAGATCTCTTCCAGCGGCCCTCGACGGCCCTTCAATCGACTAAGTCGGGTCGTTGTGACTCTGCCAGGTAGTTCTTCGTTGATTTCTTCGTTTTACTAAACTTTTCTTTCAAGATTATCTGCGTGGTCGGCCGACTTTGCTGGATGACGACTGGAGTGTAGGTGTTTGGAATCTTCTGCTCGACGGCGGCTATTATGGGCGTTCTTTGGTCGACCGTCAAGATTTCGGCTTGAGTCAGACGCTTCTGGGGCATCCAATGTTTCATGGTGATAGATCCCCTGGCTGCTCCTATCTTGTAAGTCTACTGCCGTCGTACTAAAACTAATGAACTTCTTTAGCGTGCTCTTGAGGATTCGCTGGGTCCCTCTGTATTTGCTGAAAAGTTCCTCGAGCCTCTGCTCGATCTACCGCTTGGCTTCGACCCTTCTTCGGATCTTTTCCGACACGATGCCTTCATCCTCGACTCACAGAACGACGCTTGTCACTTCGGATACGGCGCATTCCGCGGAGTCGGTTTCGGATCGTACGATTTGCCGATGCGCGAATTCGATGAACATCGCCAGCACCGGTATGTAATCTTGGGACTTGAGTTCTTCTTGTCAATATCAAGTGACTTCCCTAACTCTGCATGTTTAGAGCTCCTGATGTCATGTTCGCTTTGTCTCGGATTGACACTGTCTATCCGGACGCTCATCTTCGAATGTGTTGTCGACGCCTTTTTCGTCTTGGCGATCGACCGTGCGAAGAAGTGTTCTTGCTGACGCCGATGGATCTCTATCGGGCTTCGATGCAGCAAGTGATTCGGCCGCCTGTTGATGAAACGATGAGGCTTAGCGGTTTGTGTAAGTACTTCTTCGCGTTGATTCTTTCTTTAACATGATCATTCAGGTATGCAGAGCTGGGGCGTGAACATTCCAGATCTCGATGTTCACGGCTTGGGCATGCTAGAGTCTGTACTTGTCATCGCTTCTGTGATGACTGCTGAGTATGGGCTTCGACCCAACGCCCTGAGTACGTCTACACCGCCCGAGTCCTGCTTCGTGATGGACTTCTCTGTTCGCGGTGTTCCTGGTTTGACTCTGTCTTGCGGCGCTGGTGGACGCAAGCGTACATTTTGGATGATTGAATCCTTTTTCGCTGGGTGTGCTTCTGTAGAGATGTCCAAGTTCAGTCAGGTTGATTTCCCGCCTGATGGACGTCATGGCAAGTATCGAGCGACTGCACCAGCGCAGCTCAACCAGGTAAGCTAATGTTTCTTCTCTGCGATACTTAACGGCTTCTTTGTTAAGGATCGCTTCTACGATCGACAAGGACGTCGACATCCTCCGGTTTATGCCGATCTTCGCCCTGTCGATGACGTTTCGGCCCCGCCATATCAAGATACTTTTACGTGGCGTGCGTCTTCCGCTGGACCTTCACCCGCTGACAAGCCCGTGCGTCATATTGGACTGCCGGGTGTTCATTTCGCGCATCAAGCCGGTGATAGCTCGTCGCACTTGCTGATGATTCTTCCGAAGTTGATGGCAGTGCTCCCCTTCGAAGGTAAACTTGCTTATTGTAGAATCGTGATTGATTCGTGTATTTCTAGCGTTCACTGGTGGGCTGTATTGCTACGTGAAGACCTTGTACGAGCGCGGTGAGCTCGGTACTGGAGATTGTGAAGAGCCGTATTCCTCCGATGAAGGAAAACGGCGCACCACCAAGTGTCGCTTTCATCCAGGTAATGATTTCTAGTGAGTTCCGCGAGTAATCGTTTGTTTTAAGAACTTCTCCCGCCAAGCTGGCGCGAGAACTACGAACGACGACGCCATGTGCAATATTATGGCGGTGATGACGCCGACATCGTGGCTACGTTCCGGTTTCTGCAAGCTGACTGCGAGCGAGGCGATCGACCCGAAGTGCGGCCGAGCACTTTCGTGCCATTCGACCCTGCTGAGACTGAGCGAACATGGGAGTCCGGCGCGCCAGGTATGCGCCACAAGTAGATGATAACCTTTGAACTCTTAGCTCAGCGCACCATCGGGGAGATCTCGTCTTTCTACGAAGCCGTGGTGCGGCCATCAGTCGGCAAACTCTTCACCTGTACCGCCAGCACGAAGTTACGTTTGACGGCAATCCTCGTGGAGTATCTGAAGAACAACTTCTCCGCGACTATGAAAGTACTTTGCCGGATGTATCCGACGGAGAAGATGCTTTCGAAGGTGGGCAAGGATCTCCACCCAGCTCTGGCGGCAAAGATGCTAGCAACTCGACTTCTACCGATGCCTTCTGAGTTGAGCTACCGCGCGATGATAGACATGTAGGTACAGATGTGAGCTCGCTTCTTCTAAATCTTCATTCAGGTGTTTCACCCCGTTCGATGCAGAAACCTCCAACGATGCTGACGCTGGACACGACTCGGGAAACTTTAAAGAGACTGTTTGATCTCTCTTCACTTGAAATGATGACGAATAAAGACGAAAAGATGATATCTTCTCATTAGTTTTCTTCATTCGAGCTTTTTCTTCATAACTTGCAGGTCTCCAGGTTTTTCTAGTTGATCTCCTGGGTTGTTTTTCTTTCATTTCATCCTCATTTATCCATTCGAATGAGTTTTCTAGTTCTTTCATGTCTTCCTCATTCAGTTCCGATGAGTTCTTCGAGCAATTCATCAACGTTTCGAAACTCTTGACAGTCGACATTGAGTTGTCTCCTTCATCCGTAGTTTCTAGGACTTCTTCCGGCGATGGTATCCAGTTGAATCTTTCTTCCGTCGGATTGATTTTCCTCGGGTTTCTCCATTCGATCGCTGAGCTGATGTGTGAGTCGAATTTTGGTGTGGATTCGCCCGGTTCTTCAACAATTTCTGGTAACGGAGTTGGTGGCATTACTGACCCTGGTGGTCCTTGTGAGATGCCCGAATCATCAAATGTCGGCATTCTCGGGGCCCTTGGTCCGATGTGATCTTGCGGAGCTTCTTCCCAGACTGACAAACCATTCTTCGTGACAATCCAGCTTCTCACGATGCTATTGTCTATGAGGTTTTCTTGGATTGTCCTCACTTCCTGACTTATCACTGCATCAATCGCGCTGAAACTTATCGTTTTCGGTTTCGTCTTGTTTCTCGCGTTCACTTTGACCGCTTTGACCTCTCTTCTGGACCATTCGATGCTTGTAACTCTGTATAGTCTGTCGAGATCGTTTTTGTCCCATTTCTGCGCTGTTCTGATGATCTGGCCAACGTCTATCTCCGTTTCCTCCTCCGACGTCGCTTTTCCTTTTTCCACTAGATTCAGCCTTTTCGACTTCTTCTTTGATGCATTTGACTTGTCCGCCGCATCTCTTTTCGTCTTTCTATTCGACTTGATATCGTCGATCAAGCTGTCGAGGTTTATGTCCACCGGTTCTTGCGTTACAGCCTTTCTTCCAGTCATTATTTCGACCGGTGCCAAGTTCCCTGATGATAACGTGTGATTGTACTGAGCGCAAGCCCAGCTTGTAGCTTCTAAAACCGATTTCGATGGGTCATTCTGCACCGCGTTTAGTAACTTCGAGAAAAGGCCGATCCTCGCATCTTGTTCCGGTATTATGTTCTTCGAGAAAGTTGTAGATTCGTAAATCGATACTTCCATTCCCAGTTCCTCAAGACTTTTCTTTGTTTCTTCTGATTTATGGACTGAGTGGCGGTCGCATCTTACGATGACTTTGCTCCTCGTTGATTGTAGTGGAGACAATAGTTGCTTCGCCAGAAACATGAATTCTACAAATCCTTCTGTATTCGTGTGATTTCTGCTCGGTAGTGCTACTGCAAATCGGCTGATGGCTTCCGTGGCGAAATAGATCTTCAGCGGTCTCTTGAATCTATCCGTTCTGTGTATCTCATCCACGAATATGACTTCCCCAAGTTTACTTGGCACTGGGACTTCCTTCATTGGTTTTGCTTCGAAGTTGTCTGGTCGTCTCATCAGCGTACATTTGTAGCATTGATTTACAAACTTCAGCACGTGATTTCTGACATTTTGGAGATCGAAGTATCTTCTGACATTGTTCGTAAGTTGAGTTGGACTATTGCACCCGACTGTGTCATGCACTATCTTTATCACTTTCAGAGCGCAATGTTCTGGAACTAGTACTAGCTCATACTCCGCTGTCCCTATCTATCTCTTGATTTTTAGGTAGCCCTTCTCCAAGAATGCCTTCTTGCATAGCGTGTTTAGTCGTTGTTTTCGTGGCGGTGGGTTCAGATCTTTTTCCACGTACTTGATTACTTCTTTCAGTAGCTTGTCCGAGAGCTGCATCTTCCTCAGCGTCTTCTCGTCCTTCAAGAAATCCAGTAAGTCTCTAGCTTTTCTTTCCCTGAGTGCCATCGCCACTGTCTGGAATGCTTCTTTGTTGTAATCAACTTCAACTACTTCATCACAATTCGCCGACCATATTTCGTTGCTCATTTCCTCGGTGAATTGGTCGTCGACGATCATGATTCTTTTCGATGAATGCCAGTCTTTCAACTTTCTGACTTCCTTGTTGATTTCCTCCAACTTTTCTTCCGAGATGAATGGAGATTGATCACTTCTCGGGGTTTGACTGATCTCACAAATCTTGCAGCGTTTCGCATCACATTCTTCCATGTGACCCGAGCTGCGACTGATGAAATCCACGCCACTGATCTCTATGCTTTTTCCCGGCAGATGTCTAACTACGATTCTTAAGCCTAGGATAGCCTTGAACAAATTGTTTATTGATACAATGTCGCTCGGCGTCAAGTTCTCCGTCCATCTCTTTGCTATCATCGTTAGTGGCATCGAGTCAGTGAATACAATCGTCGGGAATTTGCTCTCGATTAGATATCGTCGCCAGTAGCACAGTGCTCCAACCAACCCTGCTGTTTCTAGCATGCAACTTGATGCAGTGTACTTTCTTTCGCTGTCTGGTCGTTTTCTCGAGTAAAATTCCACTACTCTGTTGATCTCTTTGCCGTCCACTAGCTCCTTTTGAAACAGGATTGCTCCTGTTCCTTTTGCTGAGCTGTCGACTACGATGTATTGCTGTTTATCTTCGTCAAATGGTGTTAGCTCCGTGAGTTCGTCCATCGCTTTCTTCGCCATTTTTATCGCTTCTTTCGCTTCTTCCGTCCAAACGATCTTCGCCTTTCCATCATTGTCCAGGCATTTTCTTAGTGGGACGAGAAAGTCGGTGGCTCTGCATTTGAACTTACTCAGCGGTACCAGTATTCCTAGAAAGCTTCTGAGATCCGACACCGTTTTTATCGTCGAGATGTCGTAATCTCTTATCTTCTGAGCTTGATGAGGTGAAGCAACGATCTTTCCTCCTTTGACTTTTGCGCCAAGGAAGTTCATCTCCGATACACCAATCGCCATTTTGGACCCTTTCAGGCTCAAATTGAAGTGCGCGCAGATGTCCAAAAATCTTGTGACAACGAGAACAAACTCGTCCTCGTTGTTTGCGCTGATGAACACATCGTCGGCATACCGCACCATGTACTTCTTCAGCGGCTCGAAGATTCTCAGGAACGCTTCTCTCACCATTCCCATGCTGGCGATCCATCCCTGGCTCGCTCGAGTATAGCACATCACCCCTTTATAGGGGTGATACACTCCAAAATACGGCCATAGCGCCTTCTCCGTCGGTAGTTGGAAGAACGCTTGAGAGATGTCCGTCTTCATCATGAACTTGTTCTTCGACGCCTTCGCTGCTTTTGCTAGAACGTCCTTCAGTTCATCCGTTACTCTTGGAGGGGCTTTTGTCCACAGGTTCACGCTTCTGTGTGCCTGAGCCACGATCCTCGCCGATTGAGCCAGTGGGATGGCTTCACCTTGGTCGTCTCTCTTTTCGACAACCATGATTGGTATGATGTTTTTGACCGAGATTCCATGATCTTGTGGAAATACCACGATGTAGTCTCTAGCAAGTTCGTCCAGATGTTTCGCTACAATCTCCTTCTTTTCATCGGACATTTGCTCGTTCTTTTGCCTGGTGACTTGATTCGATAGTTCCACTCTCATCATCGGCGCTGATATCTCGAATTCTTTTGGAAGGCATCCTGTGACTTTTGAGAACACCTTCTTGTACTTCTTGTCTCTTATCTTGGTCATGAGTCGCTCCTCCAGCTTCGGGTTTTCTTTGACTACTTCACCAAGTACGATGTCATCCACCGTCGACGATTCTCGAGCTTCTTTTCTCATCTTCTCCAGTTTTTCCTTGTAGGTCTTTCTGGCATCTGGTTCGAAGTTTCCGTCTGACAGTTCGTGCTTTGTACTGATTTTCAGTACGTTTTGTCGGTCATAGCTTGCGGCGACCTTGAACTTTTCGAAAACGATTCTTCTATTGACCATGTCGATTGATGTGTTCCCATCCATGTCTGTTACGCCCATCAGTAGTCCGTCAATGCTTTCCAAGACTATGGCGTCGCTGATCATCCATGGATTTCCATTCACCATCAACTCTATGTCACAAACTTTGTTCTCGTTTCTTTCGTTCATGATTCCGATTCTTTTGCCGCTTACGCCTTTCACGAATCTTCTCTGCCATTTTACTTTGTGGTCCAGTTTCTCCAGAATCCGTTCTCCAATACACGTGACTTCGGCTCCTGTGTCCAGCTGAACGCTTATTTTAACGAGGCTTTGTGCTTTTCCGCGAGCTTCCATCTTCAGAGTTGGCAGTAGACTCTTTGAATTCGCTCCAACGGCGTGCACTCGTTCTAGTCATAGATCATCTTCACTCAGCTTCAACGCGCTGTAGACACTCGATGATTCTGTGACTTGCTTCAGTGATTCGCCCTTCCTTTCATCCCTTTTCTCCTGTCTTGCTTTGCCATCGTAGTGTTTTCGTTCGTTTGTGATGTACTTGCTGCGGCATCTCCATCCCTTCGAGTGAAATACCACCGTGTTGAATCTTAGAGCACAGTAGGGGCAGGGTGGTCTCTCCGGTTCGTTTGGGCTTCTCTCGTCCTCCTTTTTCTGGACGTTTTGACCTTCCCCTTTCTTCTTATCATCCTTTTTCCCCTTCTTGCCCTGCTTCGACTTTACGAACTTTACTTCCTCCGTGACCTCGCTCTTCGGTTCGCTTTCAACCTTCCTTACTCCAACGCTTTTGGCTCGTCTTCGCCGCCTCCAGCGTTGCGATCGAAAGGAACTTCGTTAGATCGAGCGGGAGATCCTCCGGTGATGTTGTTTTTCCCGATTGAGATCTATATTCCCGCTCTATCCTCGTTAGAGTTCGGTCATCGCAGTGAGTCAAAGCTAACGCTACTGCTGTTCTTGAGATGATGGGCGATTCTTCTTCCGCAAGACTTCTGCTCAGCTTTCTGCCGTCGACATTCTGTGTTTTCACCTTCTTGTCATCGCCAGCAGCCAAATTGTCTTGTAGTGCGCCCGAATAGAATAGTGCCAGCTGCTTCAGATTCGCTTGACCCAGATTGTGCGACAAGTTCCGTTTGAGTTCCCGCGCAAAATCCGTAATCGCTACGTTTTCGTTCGCTATGTCCTGGCAACCATCCTGATCCTGGCAGATCGAAATGAATTCGTTTAAGTCTCGGTAATGACCCCCTCGAAGTACTGACTTCTTTATGGATATGATCGTTGGGTCATCCGATCCTAGTGCTGTTTTCATAATCGTGCGTGCTTTCCGTGTCGCTTGTACTAGAAGTTCTGCATCAGAGTACTTGTCACTCTTCAATTTCTCGAAGAATGCTGAGCTTTCTCTCTCCGAGTCCTTGTTGATGTCAGACTCCGTCGCTGCTGGATCTCTATACTGTAGCCACCTTCTTTTTTCGATGGTCACTTCAGTTCCAGCGATGTACCTCAAGTACTCTTCGTTTGAGGCAGTTATGTCGGCTCTTTCAAGTGCTTTACTCTGCACCATCTTCACCAGATCCACAAACGTCGTCGGTACACCCAGCTTGTTGTCTTTCGGCGTTAAGTCCTGGCCATGACCTGTCCACAGCCATTTCGCGCGAAGTATCATGTCGCATGAGACGTACTGGTCCGTTTGTGATTGTGCGAGAGCTTCGATCACTTTTCTTGTTTTCGCCTTGCTCTTGAGGTCTGCTGCTGAGAGCGTCCCTTTTCCAGCGTTGACGATTTCAGTTAGCGATGTACCGCTCATGACTCTTCGGGGGGAGTTCGAACAAGTAGAATCAGTCGTGATAAAACTTTCACTTGCAGTTACCACGTGGAAGTGCGAGCCTGCTGCGCCTGCTGATCGAAGAATGCGTACAAGTAACGAGTCGAAATGTTGTTGTTTCTGTACTTTTCCAATAAATACGGAAAGCACTAGTTTAGTCAAAGTTACTGAGAAGATAGAAGTTGTACTTACCACAACGGGTTCTCTAGGAATGACCCGCTGTGGCTCGCACTGCACAGATTTGCACAAAGATGTAGATAACAGATTGAACCAAGATTGCAACAGCAGCATCGCCGTGGGGTGTTGATGTAGCTTTCCACGAAGGTTAAAATTTATTTATAACACTTAAATCAAAGATTTCAGGTTCAATTTCTGAATCGAAAAAGGCCCGTTTGCTTGCCTTCTTCGTCACCAGAAATTTCATTTTTGAGGCTTGACCGTAGCAGCAAGAGAAGCAGCTTCTGGTTTCTTCGGCATTTTTGAGTTTTCAAGCGCTAGTATCCATTTTTGCTCCTTCTTCTTCTTCATTGTTAGAAGCCATTCTTGATAGGTTTTTTGCTGATTTTCTTGTAAATTCATTATCTTAGAAAAATGAGCTTCCATTTCTTCGTGATATAGCTCAATTTCTTCGTTTTTCTCGATGAGCTTGTTTTTGTAGTTTTCCTTGCTTCGCTCCATCGCGGCAAAAGCAGCCTTTGAAACCATTTCTTTTTTGACTCGAGCTTCTTGCTTCTCCAGTTCGTCAATAAGAGCATTGTAGTCATTCTTGAGCTTGATGTGATCGGCTCGCTTGACTGCTCCTTCAAGGAATTCGGCTCGAATTTGCTTTATTTCTTCGTCTTTTGCAGCGAGATCGAGTTCCATTTGCTTGTTCTTCGTGTCGAGAGTTTCGTTTCGCTCCTTGATGCATTTGTTTTCGGCAACAAGATCGTTTCTATAAGAGAGCTGTTATTGCAGACTTTTTTTATAATTAACTGATTTACCTTTCAGTCGTTATTATTTCCAATTCCTGAGTGAACTCATCAACGTGGTTTATAAGATCCTCATGTCCAGCTGCTTTTTCCTCTTCAAACTCTTTTTTGAGGCTTTCAAAATCGCGAATCTGATTTTTGATAATATTCTCGAGAACTTGAATTTGTTGATCTTTTTGCCGATTTTCATCTCGTAATTTTTCTATCATTTCCCCTGAAGTTGCCATGATATCACTTGGAAGCTCCCCTCGCTCGATCCGTTGGACAAAATCGGAGAAGATCTCTTCGTTCTTCACAATCATCATGTTATTTGGGCGCGATTCTCTAGTTGGACGAAGACATTTTTGAATCAGAGTTTCGAATTCCCCGAATTCCTCCGTTTCTCCGAAGATTTGAAAATTAGTTCGTTTTCCAAACTTCATGTTTTCGACTGTAGAGAATTTTTGATAAATAAGGATAAAAAGTGTTGATTTTTACCAATTCTGATATCATCAGCTGGCTGTCCTTCTTGACGACCAAAGGCGTGCTCAAGGGTAATCACCTCTTGAAGAACAAGTCCAAATCCCCAAACGTCGATTCTTGGCGATTCCGAGTCGATCCGGTTTCTCAAAAATTCTGTCAAAATTTTCATTTTCTGCTCTTATTTTTAGTGTTAAGTCCAAGGCTGCTGAATTCGGAGCATTTGTGTTTACCCGCGATTTCTCAGCGTAGTGAGGGGCTATCCTTCGAGCTTGCCTCAAATTCACTACATGCCTCCTGGAGCAGCTATAATTCGAGTCGTTCGAATGTTATAAATGTCTCTTGAAAACTTATAATTCGAGGTGCTCGAATGCAATAGGCGTATTTCGACTACCTAAAATTCGAGCTAAAGGTATATAATAAAAGTCTTCTGCGTCAAAAGTTTTCTGAAAAGGGTAAGAGAAAGTATAATTTATAGGCGCTCAAATGACATCTGTAACATTCGAGCGGCTCGAATTATAGCTGCGCCAGGAGGCATGTAGTGAATTCGAGGCAAGCTCGAAGGATAACCCCTACTTCCTTTTTCAGCGAACTTCAGTCATTTAAAAATTTCCTGGAGTGATGTAGAGAAGAGTATGCTCGACGATTCCTTGCAAGCCTTTGGTTGTAATAGTGTCTCGAACTGAATCGAGAAGTGTTGAAATGCCGAAATCGCCCAGTTTGATCTTAATGTTTTTGAGATATAGTTCTCAAGTTCAATCTTACAGTGAAGCCATCGCTCATCATCATCACATTTGCGGGTTTGACATCCAAGTGAGCAATTTTTCGAGAATGGCAAAAACTCAGCGCCAAAGCAATTTGCGTTCCGATTACAGTCGCTTCCTTGACAGTAGTTCTCCGACCTTGGGGTTTTCTTGCATCAATCCAGTCCTTCAAAGAGCCACCGGGGCAGAACTCCATGACGATAAAGGACAAAATACTCCATTCCCACCAGTCCGGCCGCATTTTTGGCAAAAAGTCGATGAATTTGACGAAAAACCGGCTCTGTGCGCTCAAATCTCGCAGTTTTTGCGCCTCTTCTTCCGCTGCTTTGATATACTTTGGCCCTTTGGCCGTGATCCACTTGATCATAACAGTCGCACCACTTTCCTTGTCGACAGCTTTTGTGACTCCGCGGTCGTTTTCAAAGGGAGCATCTTCGATTGACCCAAACCTTCCGTTTTTCTTTCATCGAATTATCAAACATAAAAATTTAACTTGTCATAAATAATGATTACTAATTCATAATACATAATAAAATTATTTTTCCTATTTTTTTGATAACTTTGGCAAAGACCTCTCCATTCTTGGTTAAAAAATCTCTTGAAATTGCGAAACGTAAAGCACAATGACTTGTTTGCGTATTATGGTGTCAGTCATAGTGTTAGAATTTGCTGCTTGCAAACATTTTAAAATTTTGTTGGCATTTTCAGTCGGTTCCAGACGCCTTCCCTTTATTATAAGTAAATAAGTCCTTTTCGATCCCGAGTCTAAAGCTAATAAGTCATCCCCATAATGATTCAAGTACATCCTGTTTGCTCCTCAAAAATAAGCCGAACAAAGACTAAATATTCATTAAAAAATGCAAAACGGGAGATTTTAAAGTGAGTTTGGATATAATTTAGAGAAATGGGAACCGGTTGGCGAGCCAAAATTTGCAATTTATCTAAATCATGGATACGGAAATTTCGCGAACGACTATGGTCATTGAAGAGAGCTTATTCCAAAGATTCTAGCTCTTGGAGGAGTCGTCTAGTTACCTTCTCAGACCAGACAAGAGAGCGGATAAAACAAGCGCTTTTTACCGGATTTGCGAATTTGCGATAGTTATGCAAAAATTTTGCTCCTGTCATTTTTGTTTAAAAAGAATGAGTTTTTGTGAGTGACAATAACACGGAGGAGACTTAAATCATCGCCGACTGACCGAGTTTTTAAACTGAGCTGAACCTTGATTTAGAAGAAATCCGCGTCTAGACCATTTTTCGAAAAAGCAATTTCTTTCTTTTTTCAAAAAAGTCCTCGTTGATTTAAAAATTAAATCAGTTCAAGATTAAAGTTTATTGAAGATACTTTCGGCCCGAAAGTTTCGGGCTGAAAATTTCGGTAAAAGATTTTATGTTCAAATTTTTTCTTAATGAACGAATATTTTGATGAGTTGTTCAACTTTGCATGGTTTGTTACAAGTCGGACATTTTGGGCGCTGGGCTATCGATGCTTTGATGCAGGTATTTCCAAATCGATGACCACAAGGAAGCACGCAGCAGAAATGGTCGCCTCCATTGTATCTTTCCATGCAAATAACACAGCTCAGTATATTCCCTTTAATTCAAATAAGGCTCGAATAATGAAAGTAAAGAAGTACCTTCATCAAGTTCTTCAAATATTTCAACTTTATCTTCTTGATCTTTATTTTCTTTTTTTCTATTATACGTAAATGATTTATACGCACGGCTTACCAGGGGGTTGGTTTCACAAACCTTGTAACTACCTACAGTGGATTATACCAATGTATTCTGGCATAAGAAAAATTTGTAAAGTGATATTATATTGATCTAACGTTAAGTTATTTTTTGTAAATAAACAAATCTTTGGAAATTAACATCTCGTTTTAACAGGCGCAGTGATAAAGCACTCCTCAATCAGATAAAATGAACCTTACAATATTTGACTGTACAGAAATACAAAATCAGTGATCCAACCCCGTCGCCCGGTTTCTATACATCGGTAAATGCGTATTTTGTCTTCCAAGCTCAAAATCTTTACTCGTAGTTCTTCAATTATTTTCTGATCAGCTTCGTTTCTTTGCGCATAATCTTGGAGCTGTTCTTCTGCTTGCATTTTTTGAAGAACGATGTCTTCATGCTTAGTCATCAGTTCTTTGATGTTTCGATGGAGGTCTTCTTCGGCTCTGGAAAGTCGGGAAATTTCGCGATCTTGCTCATGAATTCGACGATGAAGAGACTAAAAAGCATTTCATTGAATTGTTATTTTGAAATGAACCTGAAGTTCTTCGTTTTTCCAGTGAAGCTCAGTTTTCATCCGATTAGGCCCAAATTCTTCTGTTTCACATTCAGAATCGAGTTCCTTTCTTTGATATTATTCAAATTTCATATAAAAAGGTACTTTTTTGAGACGATCGAATTCGCGAATCTGATTTTTGACAATGTTCTCGAGAACTTGAATTTGTTGATCTTTCTGCCGATTTTCATCTCGTAATTTTTCTATCATTTCCCCTGAAGTTGCCATGATATCACTTGGAAGCTCCCCTCGCTCGATCCGTTGGACAAAATCGGAGAAGATCTCTACGTTCTTCACAATCATCATGTTATTTGGGCGCAATTCTCTAGTTGGATGAAGACATTTTTGAATCAGAATTTCGAATTCCCCAAATTCGTCCGTTTCTCCGAATATTTGAAAAAAATTAGTTCGTTTTCCAAACTTCATGTTCTCGACTGTAGAGAATAATTGGATAAGGATAAAAAGTGTTAATTTTTACCAATTCTAATCTCATCAGCTGGCTGTCCTTCTTGACGACCAAACGCGTGCTCGAGGGTGATCATCTCTTGAAGAACAAGTCCGAATCCCCAAACGTCGATTCTTGGCGACTGTGAATCGACCCGGTTTCTAAGAAATTCTTTCAAAATTCTCATTTTCTGCTCTTATTTCTAGTGTTTAGTAATTTAAAAATTTCCTGGAGTGATGTAGAGAAGAGTATGTTCGACGATTCCTTGCAGGCCTTTTGTTGTTATCGTGTCTCTGACAGTATCGAGAAGCGATGATATGCCGAAATCGCCTAGTTTGATCTAAATGTTTTTGAGATAAAGCTCTCAAGATAAGAGTTGCAAATTTGGTGAGCTTAGTGAGCTGAGCTGGCTGAGTGAGCTGAGCTTGGCTCACTGATTTTCGTAAATGAATTAATCTGCTAAGCTGAGCACAGCTAAATAATTCCTACACAATTTCACTACTTAAAAACAGTATAAAACAGCTTAACCCAGCTCATACAGCTCAAATTAGGGTCTGCTCAGCTCAGCTCAACTACCTTAAAAAATAAGTCTGCTCAGCTCAATTATTCTCGAACATGAACTGTTCTGCTCAGCTCAGCTAAGCTCAGGCAAGTATCATTCAGCTCAGCTCAGCTAAGCTGAACAATTTTAACACAATTTCACCACTTAAATACAGTAAAAAACAGCTCAACCCATCTCACTCAGCTCAGCTCAAATAAGGGTTTGCTCAGCTCAGCTCAGCTACCTTAAAAAGGTCTGCTCAGCTCAGCTCATTGACCTCTGAAAATGGTCAGCTCGGCTCAGTGAGCTCCGAAATAGGTCAGCTTAGCTAAGCTCAGCTCAGAGAATTTCTCACACATGGCAGCTCAGCTCAGTTCAACGAAAATATAGCCAAATTTGCAACTCTGCTTAAGATCGTTCTTACAGTATAGCCGTCGCTCATCATCATCACATTTGCTGGTTTGACATCCAAGTGTGCGATTTTTCGAGAATGGCAAAAACTCAGCGCCAAAGCAATTTGCGTCCCGATTACAGTCGCTTCTTTGACAGTAGTTCTCCGACCTTGCGCCTTTCTTGCATCAACCCAGTCTTTCAAAGAACCACCAGGGCAGAACTCCATGACGATGAAGGACAAAATACTCCACTCCCACCAGTCTGGCCGCACTTTTGGCAAAAAGTCGATAAATTTGACGATAAACTGGCACTGCGCGCTCAAATCTCGCAGTTTTTGGGCCTCTTCTTCAGCTGCTTTGATGTACTTTGGCCCCTTAGCCGTGATCCACTTGATTATAACGGACGCACCACTTTCCGTGTCGACAGCTTTCGTGACTCCGCGGTCGTTTTCAAAGGAAGCATTTTCGATTGACCCAAACCTTCCGTTCTTCTTTCATGGAATTATCAAATAAATAATAAACCTTGTCAAAAATAATGAATCATTGATGATTGATGATAATTTTTTTTCATATTTTTTTTTGATAACTTTTGCAAAGAGCGCTCCATTCTTCTAAAAATGGTTAAAATATAAAAATAAAAATCTCTTGAAATTGCTAAACGTAAAGAAGAATGACTTGTTTGCGTTTATCGTCATAGAAATATAATTTACCGCTTACAAGCATTATAAAAATTTTTATAGGATTTTTTGTCGGCTCTAGACACCTCCCCTTTATTATGAGTAAACAAGTCCTTTTCAATCCCGAAGATCATAATTTACGAATCATATATCCTTGAAAAATATGGCCATCTGGGCTCGCCAACCTGTGTGAAAAACCTGAGTCAGGTTCTGAAGAGCCAGAATGAAAGGCCGCCCAGCGGCTTCTTAAAAATAAGCCGCGGAGCGGCTTCGCCAATATTGAAAATAGATTGAAATAGAAATTTTAAGAAGCCTCTGCTTTTCATTTAGGCTCGTCAAAGCATGACTCAGGTTTTCCACTCAGGTTGGCGAGCCCACATCGCGACCAAAGCGGATATAACACCGATATGGCTATCAAAACGCTTGATGCGCAGAAAAAGATACAGAAGTGGATCGACTTGCCTTTTAAATCGAGAACTGCCCGTTTGCTCGCCTTCTTCGTCGCCAGAAATATAATCGAGTTTTTTGAATTGCTGTTTTTTGGCCGCGTTTGGTTCTGAGTTAGGTTTTACTGACAAGCCCAAGCTCGAAGCTCTTTGTTTTTGGGGCAGTCCAGTGGAAGTTGATGACTCATCAGAAGCAGAAGTTGCTTGATGCTCCTGCTGTGGGGATTTTTGAGGCGAGACGGAATCACAGAGAGGAATAGCAGCTGGCTTTTTCGGCATTGCAGGAGAATTTCCCGGGCTTTCGGGAATATTCAAATCATTTTTTGTTTCAAAACGCTGCATTCGGGAAGAAACAGGGCTGAAAAAAAGGAGATTCTATCGAAAAAGCTCTCGACATCATCATTCATTTACCTGTTGAAAACCTCATCACTTCCACTTGTTTGATTCGGCGACCCTGTCGGTTGCTTTGAGCCCCAGTAGGCCATGAGAAACTCTCGTATAAAACCCACCCTTAACAAAAATTGCTCGGTCGTGTTTGGAAGGGAAAATGACTGAACGCAAAGGCGTATTTGATATTTGCCCTCTCACGCGAATTCAGAATTGCTGCATTTTCTATTTGATCTTCTTTTTTTGCCTTGCTGACTTTTCAAGATTTTTCGGATTTTTCAAGAACCAATTATAAGCCCTTTTATTAAATTTTTGAAATAAAAAATATCATTTTCGAAGATTTAATAAGTTTCGAAAGCCTTATCAAATAAAATTTATGAAAAATAATGAAAATTTTTTAAGAAAAAAAGCGTCTTTCTAAAATTCCTTCACTGCCAAAAAGCGGCCGATCTGATGACGCGAATCGGAAGTTGATCGCTCACGCTAGAATTTAGAATAGATTGCATTTTGCATGGGGCACCTCTCTCTTATTCAAATTTGAAAGCAGACGTCCACATTTTTGTTCCGTTCTCACACCAGACAAGAGAGCGGATAAAACAAGCGCTTTTTACCGGATTTGCGAATTAGCGATTGTTATGCAAAAATTTTGCTCCTGTCACTCTTTGTTTAAAAAGACTGAGTTTTTGTGAGTCGCAATAATTAACGCGGAGGAGACTTAACTCATCGCCGACTGATTGAGTTTTTAAACTGAGCTGAACCTTGATTTAGAAAATATCCGCGTCTAGACCATTTTCTTCTTCCTTGTTGATTTCAAAATATACAGTTTTCAAAATTTTCGAAACAAGAAAAGCCGCTCGCGGCTTCGAACAAGCAAGAGTAAGAAAGCAGCGCGTCGTGCGGCTAAAAATATTTTGCTCGAAGCCGCAAGCGGCTTCTCGGCTTTTTTCGAATCGAAAATGTTGCAAAAAAGCTGCAAAAAGCGCGGCTTATTTTTTTTCTCGAAATCGAAACCATGATTATGAAACAATGTATATAACACTTCCTGTTTATGTCCTCAAAATTTATGATGGTAGGCATTTTTAATAATAAAATGCAAAACGGGAGATTTAAAAGTGAGTTCGGCTACGAGCTAGAGACTTATAAATGGGAGCCGGTTGGGGAGCCGAAATTTGCAATTTATCTGAGTCATGGATACGGAAATTTCGCGAACGACTATGGTTATCGAAGAGAGTTTATTCCGAAGATTCTAGGTCTTGGGGGAGTCGTCTACAGGCCCGAGCTTTCAAGGTTGAATATGCGCAAAGCAGACAGTAGAAAGCTTGAAAAAGCCATGATCACTACGCCCACGGAAAATCCGGCCCCTTCGAAATCACCCATCACGATCGCTGTCAACTACGAAGCTTTGACGAAGCGGCAAGCGATCTCTCCTCACGAATCGAAGCTACCAAGAAAGAAAATCCCGGCCTTCCATTTATTCTTCTCGGCTCTTGTCTTGGTGCGCTACTTGGTCTGATTGCGATGAAAAATGACGATCTGAAAGTCGATTCGTTTATTCTTCTTGCCCCGGCGATAAAGTTGGATAGGAAAACTGCACCTTCATGGCTAATTGCTTTTGGAAGGGCTATTCATTGTTGTTTTCCTAAAATGAAGACTCCAATGAACATCAATCACGATTTACTCACGAGAAATAAGGTAAAAAAATCGAAAAAGAGCGATTTTACAAAAATAACAAGGAGCACCTCGAACAAATGGAACTTGATCTTGAAAAATATGGCCATCTGGGCTCGGCAACCTGAGTAGAAAACTTGAGTCAGGTTCTGAAGAGCCCCAATAAAATGCCGCAATATTAAAAAATAAATTGAAATGGAAAACTTCTGAAGCCACTGCTTTTTATAAAGGCTCTTCAAAGCCCGAGTCAGGTTTTCTACTCAGGTTTCCTAGCCCAGATGGCGACCAAGGCGGATATAACGCCGATATGGCTATCAAAACCCTCGATGCGCAGGCAAAAATACAAGAATGGATGAATTCGGAGGTCTTGCCGGAAAATCTTGAGATTCCGATTGCAATTTTTGTCGGCGAAAAGGATCAAGTAATCAACCCTGAGTCTTCCTACTTCCTTCATGACCGGATTCCTGGATCCAAGCTGTTTACTTACGAAGGAGCGTATCATTCGCTGATGAACGAGTTGCCAGAAACTGTCGAGAAATTTTACGAAGATTTCACTTCCGTTATTCTCTCTGCTATCCAAAAATAAAAAAGCGCCAGCGGGCATGAGATAATTTCCGGAAAAAATCGAGTTGGTTATTTATCTGATTCCGGATTTCTGTCAAAAATGTGGCATAAGAGCGTTCAAAAAAGCTGTCAAAGAATATTTACTTTGCATATTTTTTAAGGAAAATTGCATCGATGACACGATTTCTAGCGCTTTTCTGGAAAAGAGCATAAATTTTTATGGCCTCGACAACCTGAGTAAAAAACCTGAGTCAGGGTCTGAAATAGCTAAAATGAAAAAAGCCGCTTTTTCAGACCCTGACTCAGGTTTCCTGCACAGGTTGCCGAGCTCAGGAGTCCTGAGTCAGAGGTTTCTGAGTCAGGACTCTCTGTGATGCATTTCGTCGACTGTAACTTGTTTCATGTTACCCTGTATCAAAAATTGCCTGTATCTTTATTTCACAGCGCAAATTTTGATACCAAGGTGACCTTATTCAAGTTCCGAATTCTCTTGAAAATCGTTTCTCTTTTTTCTTCGCAATTTTTGCTTTTTTTCGTTTTTCGGAAAATTGGGCTTTTGCGTTGTGACAAAACTTTGAACTGAGAAAAGTGCGTGTTTTTAACTTTTTCCGCCGGAGAGAAAATAAAAAGAAAAAATCGTTGCTCGAGTTGAAATCGTTACAGCCGGGCCAGCGCGATAACTATCTATTTCAGAGTTCAAATGACACGTGCTTAACAGATTATTGCTCGGTCAAGACTTCTCAACTAAAATTGAAGATGAACTTTGATTACTTTGATTTTCAGTAAAAAAAGCTCTAAAATTAAAAATATTTTTAAAAATCTTAAAAATATTTTTAATTTTTTTAAATAATTTTAAAAATATTTTGAATTATTATAATTAATTTTAAAATATTTTTAATAATTTTAAATAATTTTTAAAAATATTTTTAACTTTAAGTTCTAGAAAATTATCTTGAATGAACCAAGAAAAAGAGCTAAAAGTTCAAGTCTAACTTCAACCTGGGCTCAGAAACCTGTGTGGAAAACCTGAGTCAGGGTCCTGAATAAGCGAAAATGAAAATTCGCTTTGGCTCTTTCGTAACCCTGACTCAGGTTTTCTACACAGGTTCCCGGCCTAGCTTTCGACCAAATTCTCTATCTAGTAAATGAGAGTTTTGAAAAGCCCTAGCTTAAATTCGAAAAAAATAAATATTTAATCTATTGGCGGAAAAAAATGTCATGATTGAACGCTTCGGCACATGTTCTCTCTCCTTCTATTTCAGTTCAAAATCGAAATCAGTCAGCTGTCGATTTAAAACCTGCCACAAATGAACCTTGAATCAATCACTGTAAGTTTTAACCAAGTTCATTAATATTTTCTCTTCACAGTTCTTGATACCAAGGTGAATTTGGGGCAGATACTTTTTTTCTTCTTTGATTTTTTTCTCTGAAACTTGGCGGGGTAGGGGAGCAATCACCCCTGGTAGGACTCTCTGCTGTGAACTTCTCTATGTGAAGGATTTCTATTCTGTTTGACCAGCGCCGCTGAAAGTTCATTTCTCACGTGCTTGGCCGTACCCGGGAGGCACGTTCGCCGACGCGGGCACTTTTCAGACACCCTTAATCTCATTCTTTCGTAATTCTGGTCATCGCTGACCCTTCTTCTCCTCTCCTTCTCGCTCCTGACCCCTTGTTGCCCCTCAGAATCGACCAAAACCCCCCTCAATCGCCCCAAAAAAAATGAAAACTCAGGCTACGTGACCTAAAAACGTCTGGCTAAGTTCACGCCAGAACAATAAAAAAGAAAGACCTCAGCAAATCAATCACTTTTCTGACTCTGAAAAGCTCCTAATCTCTTAGGAATTCAAAGGGTCCTTTCTAGTCCTTGATCGTTCATTCTTCCTTTGGTGGTTTCAATCGAAAAGGATTTCTAGGATGGATATTGCGTAAGAAGCGATAGACGTGTGTCTAGTTTTTGGAAATTACCGGGAGCAAATTTCGAACGCGGGCTTTTTTCGAAATTACGGAGAAAAATTCTCCTTTCAAAATGAAGAAAAGGAGCTTTGTTCATCGTCTAACTTCCTGCATGTGTTACCTTGTTCACCTTTTGGTCTAGGCCCGTCAACCTGTGTTGAAAACCTGAGTCAGGGTCTGAAAAATCATTCATGAAAACGCTCTCTGCGGCTTTTTTATTTGAAAGCCGCTAAACGGCTTTTCATTAATGATCTTTCAGACCCTGACTCAGGTTTTCTACACAGGTTGCCGAGCGAAGACCCTTGGCTGGAGCAAGGAGGCAACACACGCAGGAAAGAAAAAGACGAACAAAGGCACACCTGCAACAAGTCGAGGATGAGCAAGGGGCCCCTAATTTTTTGGATAGTTTTGCAAGACATATTAAAAAATGCGTGGGAAAGCGCGTCGATTGGGCGCAGCGCTTCGGACCGATCCATGTTATTTTTTTCTCCTTTCAGAGAAAATCATTATTTCGGAAAAAAGGGAAAAGCGATTATTCAAAAATAAATCATGAGCGAAGAGAAAGAATCGTCAGAAAAGACGAGAACGCGCCAAGCGAGGTAAAATTTTTCTAGAAAAAAGGTCTTAAAATAATTTTAAATAGTTAATTTGATTAATAGTTACGATTCTGAAAAAAACTCTGCTCGAACGCTCTCGTCCGAATCGGCCCTCGAGCGCCTCCAGAGCGGTCTCGAGAAACTCGACAAAACGACGATTGAGCTTCGTCGGAGCCCGAGAAAGACGAATGACTTGCCTGAAGATCCTACAGCTCCTGTTTCGTTTCCTTGCAAAAAGTGCAGCTTCGTCATTTTCACAACTTTCGCGGATTTGATTGAGCACATGATGCTTTCTCATGATCCGCCAGCGGATTTGCCCGGGTTTCGGAAGATAGAAAGAAAAAGCTACGATTGCCCAACTTGCAAGGTAAAGTTTCCTTTTCAAAAAACACAGGATTTCCCAAAATCTTCATTTTCCCGAACTTCCCGAAATTTCGCTCCTTTCTTTTAGTTTCCCTTCCCGAGCGCTTTCAAAATGAAACAACACGCGGACAAAAAAGAATGTTTCGAAGTTGCCGACGACGATCAACTCGCCACTCCGACGCTTTCACGAAAAGATAAGCGAGGATTTCACCTCTGCCAAATGTGCGATTTCAAGTGCAAGGACGGCAATCTCATGCAGCAACATCTCCGGTAAGTTGCGTTTTTAGAACAAACAAAAACGAGCTTACAATGAAATTATATAATAAAAAGACAAATAGAAAGAAACAGATGAACTTGAAAAGTGAACTCTTCATTTTTACGTTAAAATTTTCCTTCAATTTCAAAAGGGACAGAATTGAGAAATCAAGAGCTTCTTTTCAGAGAAAATTTCCTAAAAATGAAGGGGCGACTGAGCGGAGCACTTTCTGAGTCGGAATTCTAGACCGGCCCATCTCAGAAGGAACTCCGCCTTTTCGCCCGATCATAATCGACCATTCTAGGGAAGGGCACTACCCGAATCGAGATTGTTTCGTTTCCGCTGATCCTCGACTTCGACGGCTTGGAGAAGAGTTTCGAAAGAACGAGATTGATTTGTTGAATCAGGAAGGTTTGGAAAGGATCAAAGCTTTTCGGATTTCAAATCGCGATTTTTCTTTTTTTTTTATTTTCAACGCTTGCTTTCAAACTTTCTCCAGACCAACTCAGCCCTTGCCGAGCGAATCAACAGCTCCCAGCAGCGTCGTCCCGCAAAGCCCCGAGACTCCCCCAAGAAAACTCCGCCCAGCTCGCAATCTCCGGGCGCCGCAGCGATTCGAAGGCTTCCACCTTTCGCCCCCTCATCGCAAATTGCACAAAACCATCCCTCTGGCATCGCGAGAGAAGAATTTGAAGCAAGAAGGAATCAAAATGCCGCGGAATCAGCGCTAGAATCGCTCAATCTTCTGTCTTATCCTCACTTTTCTTCTTATCAAAATCTAGCTTATCAGAATCGCGTTCCTTTCAACCCTTTTCCGCAGCTACAGTCGATTTCACCTCAAGTAGGCCACTTTTCTTCACAACCGAATTCTTCATCATTTCAATCAGTGTCTGGATCGAACCGTTTCCATCCTCCCTTCTTATCACAACTTCCCCAACACCAGAACTTATCAAACGGAGTCAATCCGAATCAAATCCTACTCACGCAACAATTTTATTTGGAGCAAATTCGAAGAATGTTCTCAGAGCAATTCTTCAATGGTCCAAAACGATAGAACTAATTATTCGATCACTGTTTTTCTATCCCTATTTTACCTTTTTACACCTTCATTTTTCTTCTTTGTTGAATTTACGCTACTTCTTTTAGTCAAAAAATATTATTTTATCACAGATTTGGCTCCGCAACCTGTCTTGAAAACCTGAGTCAGGGTCAGGTTTCGGTTCTATTCGAAAATTGATGGTAAAAGGTTATCTTGCGAAGCCGCTTTGTATGCGGCTTTTTATAGAAGACCTTGTAGACCCTGTCTCAGGTTTTCTACACACGTGGTGGAGGCAAAATCACAATAAAACCTTCAAAATTACGAAATACAATTCTCAATCAATCCAATTGAAGAAATATCAAAAAATGGGACTTGCAAATAACCCAGAAGAAACGAATAGACGACCACTGACGCCTCCAGACTTGATTTTTGAGCAAGAAAACGACGATTTTTCGGACGACGATTCAGAAGACTCAGATGACGAGATTCAAGCGCCAGATGGTTATGCGCTTCTGCCATCAGGTACCTTTACTTTTTTGATTTTGGTTCGATTGATAAGATAAGAATCGAAGCACCCTGCCTAAGCAGGTGCTCGAAATTTGGCATAAAAAGGGGCATAATCTCTCGTTTTCTCATTCTTATTCAAATGAAAATCACTTACCTTTCACTGCTCCATATTTTCAATTGACTTTTAGCAATCATAAAATGAATCTTTTGGAATAAGAAAAGTCCGACTATACTCAATGTTATATATAGATCCAAATAACGGTGAGAATTCCTCCGACTCTGAAAACGAAGAAAACAGCGAAAACGAATCCTCCCTTCGATCGAAAGATCCATCAGAGAAAGTCGACGTCGATGCAGTGAAAAACGTCATGTCAAAGATCAAACTCCCTTCTCTGGCTCTTCCAGACTGGGGAAATAAGATGACTGATGAGGATTTTGTAGCAGCGGTGAGAGAAACGATCGCGGCAAAGGACGAAACGATACGGAATAACAAACAGAAACAGCATGGAAGGAACACAAGTTGATCTTCCAGGTAGTTTTATAATCTTCTGAACAAATTCGATCTTGCTCTAGAATTTCTTCTCTTCCTGCCCGTCGAATTTCTCGCCATCTTCAATATTTCGCCTTTCTATTAGTCTTGTAACTGGTTTTCTATTCAGTATATTCTATGGAAACTAAGACAGTGTTATTCTGATAATTGAAAATAGCGCAAGATTTCCTGCGTTTTTTGGATTTTTATTCGACAAATAAGGATGAAACACATGTAAGGGAGAAGTATCGAATCGGCATTTCTGCAGAGCTTATGGTAGTTCTTTTCCTTTCAGAAGCCAACCATGATATTTTTGCCAACACAAGCTGTGTAGTCGCAAGTGGGATCAACACCGAACTGGGCGATTTCATTTTGGCCCATTGGAATGGTTACTGGTCGAGCATAATTGACACAGTTGTAGAGATCGTTCCAGGTGACCGTATTGGGCAGGCCGTTGGGGTAGTTGAGTTGGAGAACGTACGCGTCTTTCTTCAGGTTTCCGGTGATATCTGGCTGGGTTTTGTGGACACTAGAATTGAAATGAAGGAGACGAGGAGGTAGGGTTTTACTTGAATCCCATGGTGATGGATCGATGATCTTTCTGCTCCTTTGGATAATCCTGATAGTAAGTCGCGTTAAAAGCTTTGTAGTTTGGCATGGCATGGTTGGTCTTTGGAGCTCTCTTGTCGATGATTTCGAAGCTGAAAGCATGCTGCGGATTTGCTCCTCGGAACATGTCCAGAACAAGCTGCTTGCAGGTCTTTCGGGAAAAGATCAAGTATCCCTGATAGTCATTCAGTCCGGCTGCACGACTGGTAGAAACGGTGAACGATGAAGCGGTGTTTGTCTGAATAATGATCTTCTTAGCCTCATTATTTACTACAAGCAAGTTACCGTGAAATATGGCTTCATCATTTTCCATTTCCAGAGGGCCTTCTCAGTCAGCATGTTTGGTACGACTCGGTTACACTCGCACGGATCAGTTGTCGTCGTTGTTGTGGGTGTTGAAGTTGTCGTCGAGGGAGCTGATGTTGTGGTGGTCGTTGTTGAAGTCGCTGTTGATGTCGCTGAAGATGATCTTTTCTCTACATTGAAAAGGTATATTCTTAAGATAGTTCTGCTATTACTGAAAAGCTGTCAGATTTTCTGCGCTTTCAAGATTTCTCTTGAACTTGTTCTGATATTTCATTTCATTGAAAGGCTTTCTTACCCGCTTCGCAAGTAAATCCATCCCCAACGAAGCCATCCGCGCAGGTGCATTCATAAAACTTCTCCAAATCAGTGCAAATCGCGTTCGCATCACACTTCGCCGTTCCCATCGCGCATTCGTTCTCCAACGCCCAAGTTTGGAAGTCAATGTTGTCGATGAATCCACTTGCTGCAGTTGCCCACTGCTTGCTTACCGAAATGCCTCCGTTTGTGAAAGGCGCGAAAGCGGTGTTGACACGGTCGACGATTTGCTCGCCGTTGTAGCTGATGAGAAGTCGGTAGGCGTCCGTGTTTTGGATTTTTGTTTGTTCAAAGACGACGTTTTGCCAGGTCATTAAGGGGATATCCCGGCCTACCCCGGCGATATCGCTGCAGGCATTAGTACTGTATGGGGACTCAATAACGGGCGGAATCAATTTTCGGAACCGATTTTTATGGAAAGGGTTTTGATTGGCCGGTAGGCCAAATACAGCAATCTTATTGGTAATCCGAAAATTCACTTCCAAAAATTGGTTTAGTCCTAAATAACGATGATATGGTAATAAACGAATTTTTCGTCTATCTTTTTTTTTCGAAGCCCTTCCTGATTGATTGATCAGTATCATTACAATTGACAGAAAAATAAGTAGTACTACCACCTTGCCACAAGCTCGCAGCTCGATTTTGCTCCTCCATGCATTTGCTCGAAAACGTCAGAAAATTCGAATAGTATTCGGTTGGTTCTTGCGTCTTCAACAAATCAAAGCTCAGTCTCCATGATTCCTTCACATTCTGAAGCGTCTTGACCATTTTCCCTTGAAAAATCGGCTCTCCCGGAGGAGTTGCGTCCCAAGACTTGATTTTCAAGTTTTTGAGATGCGCGTTGGACGGTGCTTGCCAGTTCCAATGAGCTGCCATTACAGCGACATCGCCGTATTTGGCGTGATAAGTTTGCTTCTTCGAGCAGTCGGGTTGGACAACGCCGTTGAGAGAAATTTCAATCTGGGATTCGGTGACGCCGGCGATCGTGTATTGCCCGATGGGAGTGTTGGTAACTTTGATAGCGTTCCATTCGCCAAGATTCATCGGGAACTCGCAGACAAGATTTTTGCTGCTCGACTCGAAATTCCAGGAGAAATGGAGGACATTTGTAAAGCCTTTTTGAAAGACCGAGAAAACGCGATCCCAGGCATTATTTGTCTCGCTACTTTGATTTCACTACTTGCTAAAATACAGCTCTAGAATCGTACAAAAACGCATTAAATCAAGTCCTGAGAAATAACAAGCCAGTGTAGGTCGAGCTCTCCCCGTCTTCATAGTTCAAAATATCAAACTCGATTTCCCAGTTCTCTTCGATCAACTCTTCCGTCCATAAATGCTGATTCTCTCCGATCTGAACCTCCCAATCTCCTTCCGGCTGCTTGTCGAAAACAGCAGCAGAGCAAAAAGTGGAGAGAAAACAAGTTGAAAGCTTCATTTTTTCAGCCTTTTTAATCGCAGATTCGTTGAACCAGAAGCAAGAGGGGTGATAAAAATCTCCGATATTTTCGAAAAACAGGATATTTTTGAGCAAATTTCATGGAACTTCCTGATTTTTTCGATTTGTGATACTTAACCCGTTAACTGGGCACTGAATATTAGGGGTTAACGGGCGCGAGGCCGTGAGAAGGCCTCGCACATTTTGGCTTTTTCTGAGTGAATTGGTTTAAGAAATTCATTTCTAAGAGGACCAGATGATTCACAAGCGTCTAATCTTTCTCTAGATGTTGTTTTAGTCATTTTCACGCTCGTTTAGTGGGTTAAATTTGAGGTCAAAATTACGTCATTTTCGGCGCTGAGATTCAAAGAAAGGGAAAGCGCGAGCGCATTGTATTACGCTTTCCCTTTTTCCCGCCGATCGAAATTTTTCTTTCGACTCTCATTTTTTTAATTTCAGGCCAATTCTTTCCGGAATCAAATACATGGATAGGCTTTCCTCGCAAAACTAATAACTGGGCCAACCCCTTATGAGTTTCAATGTTTGACACATATTCTTGTAGCTCTTGAGATGCTTATTCAGAATCACGAATAAAAACTTTCTCCGCAATGGAAAATTTTAGAGTTAGGTACCGTTGAAAGTACACCGGAAATCCGGTTAATCGAGATTATCTCTAGAATTTTCCATTGCGGAGAAAGTTTTTATTCGTGCTTCGGAATAAGCATCTCACGAGCTACAAGAATATGTGTCTAACATTGAAATTCATAAGGGTTAGCCCTGTTTTAGCTATTTTTTGCGCGGAAAGCCTATACATGGATAGAGAATCGATTGAATATCTCAGAAATAAAAAATTTTTTCGTAAAAAAAGAGCCTAGACCATTTTATCGCGCTCCAAAGGCCAAAAGGCCCTCAGAGGGCCTCGCGCCTGTTAACGGGTTAAAGGACGTTGACGAAGGGTCTCATCTTTTAGATTTTACGATTAAATAAGGGTATCACTGCATTTACTTAGCAATAAATGTCTACTGCAAATTTTTTAACGAAAAATCGTCATTCTTACTTTGTTAAATATTTTTCAAGTTCATCACAACCGTTCATTTTTATTGACCTCCGAAATACGATCATCGTCGACCATAAAAATTTCATAATGAGTGGCGAGTTAATCGCGTCTTTTGTTGTTGGCAAACATGGCGGCGGCGGGGCCTAGTCCGAGATTTCCAAAAATAAAACAAAAAGACTCAAGGGTGAAAAAATTTCCCCGAATAAATCAAGAGTATTTCCTTTGCTAAATAAGATAGCGGCAGAAAAAAGCGTGAGAGGTGCGAAACTTTATTTTGGCGACACCTGATCTGACAATACTAATATCAGAGAGAAGCAAGGAATCAAATGGGTTTGAAGCTGCTCCCTCATCTTCATCATTATGCGTATTTTATTATGACATTTTGTTACGGGCTACTCTCAAATATCGGCGAAGCTCGCCAACCTGTAGAAAAAATCTGACTCATGATTCAAAAAGAGAAGAACGGAAAGCGGCGACGCCAAAGTTAAAAATTTCTATAACTGACGAAACCGCTTTGCGGCTTCGTTATTGAAAAAGCCGCTCCTCGGCTTTTCATTTTCCTAGTTTTGAAGTCTGACACAGATTTACCATACTGGATGGACCATACATGTTGTCGAGCTCAGACTTTGTTATGTTTGTTATAGACATGAAGATTAGCCCTATTTTAAGGATGCAGTTTTGTTTCCATGAAGAATTCTATATTTTAGTCACCCTGCTTCCTTACATGATTTTAATAATGAATGTTTATGTTCAATATGCTCTTTGAAATCTCAGATCGCAAACAGAAAAATAAAGGTTGAACATAATGAAAATTTATTATTTCTCAATAATATTACTTCTCGAAGAAGTTTCGTTTGAAAACATTCATCTGGTGAAATCCTCCTCTCATGTGGCCATTAATGAGATGATAACCAAGTCTTGGCGCAAATCTGTGAAAGTTTTGAATCGCGAAAGTCGCAAAAAAGAACAATTTTTTTGGAAGAAGCATTTTCAAAACAAGAAAAGATGAAAGAAGGGATGAGCGAAAATGAGCCCTTTTTGATGTTGGATGGTTATTTTATGAGATGAGGTTCATGCGGAAGAATTAAATTTGATATTTAAAATATGCAAGATTGCACCTGTTGAGCGGACGAATTCTTGGTTTTTGGAAGATGACCAAAACTCATGTCAACTGTATTTCCGTACATGAGCTTTGATCTTTTATATTTTATTCATCGATTTGTCTAAAAACGCAGCAGAATTTACAGCGACAAAGTATTAAATTAGCCTTTCGGTCGGAGTAGATATTCTGATTCCATTCTCGATTCTATAAAAGAAACCATCTTCAATGGGACCTCGGTCTAGTGTTGAAAGACGGTCGTTTTTCATATCATCCTTCTTTCTTTTGTGCTTCAAAGGGGTTAAAATTTGAGTCATGCAGTTTGATTACCCGGCAATAGCAGCAAACCGACGTGACGATGACAACGATGAGAATAAATGCTGCGATTGAGACGGCGATGATTATGATCATTAACGCTTGAATGCGATTTAGATAATCATTTTGAGATTAAAAATGACTTACTGTTTTCATCAACGACAAAATTGTCGCTAGATATTGGTTGCTTGTTGGCTAGGTCAGCTAGAAATATATTCAACATCTGTCATTTTGATTTTTTCTACCTCGTTCGATGACTTTTAGCGGAAAAACGTTCGCGTTTTCGAACCTGTAGTTGTAAGCAGCAATAAATTCATCATCCGATCCTCTCATTTCTCCTGTTACTCTAGAACGCGAATGAAAAAACAAATCTCCAAGAGCTACTTACTGAAATTTTGCCGTAGTACCACCATCTCGGCTTTGAGCTGGCTCAAGGCTTTGAACGGAAACAGTAACTTTTTCAATTGAACTGGAATCAGCTTCCAAGATGATTTTTACATCCGCTTCGATGTCCTCTGCCAACTTTTTGGAGCTCGGGTTAGTCAAATCGGAATAATCCTCATTCCATGCTGTGCTTTGAAGGCTGATTTGATCTTCGACAGTGTAGGAGACGGGAGGGGGTAAAGTTGTCGTTGTAGTCGTTGTTGTCGTTGTTGTTGTTGTTGACGTTGTCGTCGAAGTTGTTGATGTTGTGGTAGTCGTTGTTGAAGTCGTTGTTGATGTTGTTGTGGTTGATGTTGTCCAGGTGGTTGAAGTTGTTGTTGACGTCGTTGACGACGTTGTTGTGGACGTTGTTGATGTTGTCGAAGTAGTTGAAGATGTTGTTGATGTCGTACCTTCTGTTATTGTCTCTAAAGTAGTTAAAACTTGATCGGTTATTGTTGTCATCGTTGTCATCACTGTCGTTGAGACTTGAGGAAGAGAGGTTGTAAGTTGAGAACTCGTTAATAATCGATCAGTCGTCATTGTTGCTGAATCAGTTGTTTGCCCAGTTGAAGGGAGTGTTTCAGCTTGAGTCGTTGAGATGACTTCCTGAGTTGTGAACGAGGAGGCAGTTGAAGACGACTCGGTTGTGAACTCAGTTGATACTGAAGAATAAATCGTCGTCTGTTCGATAATTTCTGTTGTTGATTCAGAAGCATTCGTAGTTAGCATTTCGATGGACGTTAAAGAGGAAATCGGGACTTCTGATGAAGTCTCGTAGTCTGATGTAACGCTTGTCAAATCTGTTTGAGCAAGAGAAGTAGTCATCGAATCAGTTGAAAGGCCAATTGTTCCAGTAGTAAAATAATGATCGGTTGTGAAGGTAGCAAAAGATTGTGTCTCAGTTGAAAGTTCTTCTGTTCCTGTATAAATTGCGGTAGTGTCTTCATAGCTAGTTGTTTTATCTGTCGAATCTTCTGTTGAAGTATCTAAAGCTGTTGTTTGCGAGAACAAAGTAGATAGCTCGGATGCTGCAGCTGTTGCTTGAGTCTGAGCTTCAGACGTCCAATTCAATGTAGAATGATCTTGAGTTGTCGCCTCTGTTGTTTGAAAAGTAGTGGTTATCGGGCCTTCTGTGGAGAAAGGACCATCAGTCGATTGAGACGAGGGTGGTTCTGATGTCTCAGTTAGAGCTTTTGTAGTGAGAACAGTGGTTGTGATGGAACTGTCTGAAGTTGAATATGCTCCAGATTGAGAAGCAGTTGGATATTCAGCAGTGATTGAGGTCAAATCACTGGTTGAGGCCTCAGTTGGCCAAAAAGTTGGGTCTAATGAGTTGAACGCCTCGGTTGATTCGATGGTTTCTGTTGAGTTTGAAGTGGTTATCATCGATTCTGTTGAAAGATCAGTTCTTGGAATCTCAGTTGAGCTTACCGTCGAATAAGGGTAAGTCACAGTATTATCTTCCGTTTGGTTTTTTGTTATTGGTTCTTCTGTAGTTGCAGAAAAGAAAGTCTCCGTGGTTTCTTCAGTATTGAATTCGGTCGAAGAAATTTCATCAGTAAACGAATAGCCACTGGTTGTGAGTGATTCTGATGAGCTTTGAAAATCAGTTGTTGCGCCAGTTTCTTCCACAGCAGTGAAAGTTTCTGGTGCGAAGGAAGTCAGAAAATCAGTCGTTGAAGATTCTTCAGTCGAGTTTTCGGAGCTACTTACTTCTGTTGTCTTAAGAATATCGGTAGAATCGCTTGTTGCGGGCTCTAAAGAGGTTTCTTCGGTTAAATAAGCATTCGATATTGTCGAAACTTCTGAAGAAATTTCAGAAAAATACACTTCAGTCGTGTTTTCTAACAAAGTTTCTTCCGTTGTTTCCAAAATATCAGTCGTTTCAGGCTCAAAAGAAGAATTCTCCGTCGCAAAACTCATTACTGTCGATGAATCTGTTAACGACTCCGTTGTTGGTAGAAAATCTGTCGACCCTGTGAAGAAAACTTCCGTTCCCGCACTTTCATAGTCAAAAGTCGAGTTTTCGGTTGATGTTTCTGTTGTTTCAAGAGTTTCTGTAATATAAGTTGCATTTTCCGTCGATGTTTCAGCATCCGTCGAAAAAGAAAAATCAGTCGAGTTATCTGTCCACGGCGTAATTTCCGTAAAATCAGTAGTTACATCTTCTTTATCCGGTTCTTCTGGCAGTTCTTGTCTTCTTACTCTTCTCCTACTAAAATTCTCTGACTGTAATTCCCCAACAGCTATATTCAAGAGAAAAAATTTCAGAAAAATCATTTCTTTCAATTCATCACTGGAAAATTTTTTGTCATGACGAAAAAATGGAATTAGTGGAAAAACAATTTCAGTTTTAAGACTCGGCAAATTTCAAGCGAACTCTGAGTAAAAAAGAACACTTCAAACATTCAATGTAGTTTTTGACGCGGCGGTCGGATCATGGGAATCTGGAATTTTGAACAAGATAAGATTTCGACACCCTTATTTTTATCAAGGTTCTTATTGATGAATTTTTTATTTAAAATAAATAAGGATTTCAATGAGCAAAATTTACTTAAAATTTTTCGTCTTTAGTAAAGATTGAAATATACAATGACGAAAAAATATCAATCAGAAGTGAGTTTTCAGCTGTATCAAGGAAAAATAGACATTAGGGGATCGGGACCCCCGGATTTGCTCGGTTGTGTGTTGTGACCACGTTGATGTTTCTACTAAGCAGCGCTCAGGAGCCGCTGCGCTCCGTATCGGTCCCATTTCTAGCCCCAGTAGCCTTTCACACTACGCTGCTGACCTTTCTTATCAATTCGCCTTTTATAAATTTTTTTATTTTCAAAAGAAAAATCAGAGAAAATGAAGCTGTCTTCTATTTTGTCAGTTTTTTCAGGTAAAAAATCAGTGCGAAAGAGATTTTTTTCGAGAAATCGACAATCTCGAGCTCTTTTTGCTAGAATTTCTGAAAAATATTGGCTCAAAATTTGCTATTTAGTCGGTTCCGATGCATTACTTGATGCATCCATCACAAATTTCAACATTTTCATGACTCGAGGAACCCGTCTCTTTTTCAACTGGGACACGATCGGATCCGATTCCGTTTCCGACTGGAAAGTCACGATCACCGACAGCGATACTGGCAGAAAAGCCGGTCGCTCCAAGCTCAAAATAAAAAACGACCGACCATCGATGGCCGTGGACAAGCTCAAGCCTCACACAAAATACGAAATTTCCGTAACGCCGGTTTCGAAAACAGATGAAGGCGAAGAGAGCATTTTCACCGCGTGGACTAGTCCTAGAGCAGTCGAAAAGGTCGTTACAGTTGGAAGATTTTCCTCGACAGTTTGGATCGAATGGCAACCTCCAAGCCAGGGTTCAAAGATTCTTTGCTGGGAAAACCCGGTATCGGACACCGGTGTAGCAAACCTGAGTCAGGGTTTCATTTGTAAAAAGCCGCGTAGCGGCTTTTTTGAAAACGAAGCCGCGAAGCGGCTTCGCCTGAATTTCGAAATTAATCAGAGAAATAATTTTGCGAAGCCGCTTCGCGGCTTCGTTTTTAAAAAAGCCGCTAAGCGTCTTTTTATTCAATATTTTTAAGCCCTGACGCAGGTATTTTTAAAGGTTGCCGATACCTCATGTCGCCCTGTTTGATCGGCAAAATATTTGAACCCTTCAAAAGCTACGTCGGCGACCAAGGCGACCCAGACCAATACGTCATCACCAATGCTCGAGACAAAAATGAGCGTTACTTCACCACCGAAACAGGCATTCAACTCACCATCGGCAAAGGCGTCTCAATGGATTACAAAATCCAATCAGTTGCCTGCGACGATTGCGAAAATCCGACCAACGAAGCCTGGTCCCCGCCGCTGAATTTCAAAGTCACGTCGTTGCCTCCAAAGCCGGCGAATTTGAAAATTGTTGAAGAGAGCATTTCGGATTTGGAAAGAGCGAATGTCGTTGTTGGGTGGGAAAATCCGAATATTGACTATGATTCAGGAAAGCTTTTTCAAATTTTTAAAGACAAAAAATATTGATTTCGGCTCGAAAATTTGGGATGGTGTCTCGAACCGACAAAAAAAAATATTCGACAAATTTTGCGTGGGCGGCTACTCGACTGATGATTTGCCGATCCAGGCTTCTGATTGGTTGACAATTTCCACGCAAAATTTGTCGAAATTTTTTTGTCGGTTCCAGACACCTCCCCGAAAATTTCGAGTCAAAAACCTGTGCAGAAATCCTGAGTCAGGGTCTGAAAGAGCTGAAAGGAAAAGCCCCGCAGCGGCTTTTTTTAAAAGAAGCCGCAATTGTCAGATTTGCGGATCCGATTCGCGGCTTCTTTTTTAAAAAAAGCCGCTGCGGGGCTTTTCATTTGAGCTCTTTCAGACCCTGACTCGGGTTTTCTACACAGGTTTTCGACCTTAGAAGCGTTCAATCTTTCTAAAAAATCGACATTTTATGTAAATTTATTATGATATCATTATCACCTCTCTTGGGCTGATAAAACAGCACTTGCGGTTTCTTGTTAAATGGATTTTTAGCATAAGTCTAAAATTAGAGAAACCGTGTCTAATCACCAACAATATTTTGAAACACATAACGTGATTCTATCACTATTTTCACCGTCAACCCTTTTGAATTTTTATCGTCAACAACCCTTCCTATCCTGACGCCGACTATTTTCATCACACAACGAAACGGGAGCCAGCCCTTTTTTCGTTATGAAAAAAAACGTGATGAAAAATTAAGGCGCCCCCTCTTTTTTTCATGTTTTTATGAAAAATGACGTTCGTTTGTCTGGTAGACATTGATTGAAAACGCTTCGGAACAAGAAATGATTGTTGAAAATATTCACTTGAAAAAAGCTTTTTGAGTCAAAATCGAGTACTCGCCGAATACTCCTCAAGGTTACACAAAATCGCCGACTTTCTTTCCCAATGCCTGGGATACTCAAGCGACTCTTGAAGGTAACTTTTACCCCCAGTTTATTTCTTAAGTTCGGAATCTTACCTAGAAGACCTGAGTCAGGTTTTGACGAGCTTAAATTTGAATCCGCTAAGCGGCTTTTTTGAAATCGAAGCCGCTCCGCGGCTTATTTTTAGAAAATGCCGCTATGCGGCTTTTCATTTTAGCTCCTTAAAATCAGACTTTGGTATTTAGAATACCGTATTCTACAAAGGTTGCTGAGGCCTGTTATTATTATATTTTTTCAAGGCTTGTATCAAAATGTGGTCTACACGATCAGCATCCGATTCGTCGTGGACAACGTCGAGGGCCCAGCAGAAACCATCAGCGTCGCCGTTGCGGATGCAAAAGGCCACTTCCCGCATCAACAAAACTGCCAAGTACCCACCTATCTCCGTCCAGAAGCGCTGCGAGTCAAAAGAGGGATCTTTGGCGAGCCAAAGTTGGAGGTCACGTGGGAGCATCCGCGAGCAAAGAAGCCGGAAAATGGATACAGATTGGTCTTCGCGCCGTTTGCCAGCGTTATTGATCAAAAACCATGGATTGTGGACGTCAATCAAAATACAAAAGAGGTGAAAAAACTTTCAAAAAAATTTTTCATGAAAATTTTTAGTTTGCTCTTTCCGGGCAAAAATACGATCCCTACGATGAATACACCGTTTCCGTCTTCGCCCTCCACGACGAGCAGATCATGGCTCCTAATTCTCCCGATTTTCTCGCCTCCGTTTTCACCGGGCAGTTGCTGATGGGATCCAGCGAAGACAAATTCGTAGAGCTGGTGAAGACAGATTCTTGCTGTGGGAGCAAAAAATACAATTCAGAGGTATTTCTTCAAACAATAAGGAGCTCATTTTCATTCTCATTTTTCAGATTCAAGGTTGTTGTGGCGGACATTTGTACGATCTCAGCGATCCTTTTGCCTTCTGTTGTGGGGTATGTTTATTATATCAACTTTGAATTAGCGGCTTAATGAACCGATCGAATCAAGCTAATCTGTTTTTATCCAAGTCATCAACATTCGAAATCAACAACGAAAACTGCTGCGCGAATGGAATTATTGTCCCAATAAATTCTTCTTGCCCCGAGGAGTGAAATGACATTCTCGATTTTTAGCTGTATATTTATTCTTTCTTTCTTTTGTATATTTTAATAAAAACACACTTATTCAAAGATCTTGGATCAGTAGTCAAGTTGATTTGCAGTCGATTTTCAGTATTTCCCTCGAGAAAAACAAGAAAACAAGAAAAATCCCAAGAAAAAGAATGACCCAGACGAAAATCACCAGAAAAAGATTCGAGTACATCGCGAGTGGTAGGGTGTGCCCGGCCCATAATGGTCCGATTGCAAGCATAGTGTTTCCAAGCCCGATTCGGATGCCTTTTTCATGGCTTTCAACGCCTTTTTTCGGGATGATAAAATGGTTGAGACTTGAGCCATTGCCTTGAATAGCTGCTTGATTGTCCGGGTGGCAATTTCTAGAGACCAACGAGGCTCCAAGAGCGTAAAGATGGGGGATGTAAAAGCTGAAGATGACCGCTCCTATCATGAATAAAAAAGTGACGATGCTCTGGTTCGACGTCGAAACTGACAAGATGCTCGCAAGAACAAGCACCGAAATGTCTAGAAAAAATGTCGAAAACTTGTTCAAAGTTGGATTGATACTTATTGAAAGAGCTGCGTTTGCCATGAGTCGAGGCTGGTTCGCCCATCGTGAAAGGGGCTTGATCAGCGCATATCCAGAGATCGAGCTGGTCCCGCAAAGAATGTGAAGTGCTGCCAAATCGTTCGCCGTCCAGTCGAGATATCGAGTCGTAATCGGACCAATGACAGCTTCCATCGTCACAACCGTCGTTGCAGCGGAAACAGAGCCTAAAAGAATGAGTGAGTCGTTGTTGATTTCAATAAAGAAGTACCTAGAATTCCAACAATGACCAATTCATGAAGAAGATTGTCTTTCAGGCTTTTGAAATTTCTCTCAAGAAGACTTGCTTGAGATGTGATCAGGGTTCCAGAATTTTCTTCGATTTCCTCGATTTTGATGATTTTCTAGAGCTTTTTTGTCGAATTCGTTTGATGAAAGTTCAAACCTGTTTGGTGTAGTAAATAAAATTGCAAGCAAAAACGCCTGTCCAAATTTGCAACATCACCAGCGATGGCAAACTGAATCGGTCAATCAGCACGCCGAGAAACTTCTCCAATCCGGGCCATTTATACAATCCAGTAGAATAAAAACACATCGGGAAAGAAATCAACCCGACTTGCCGAATCCCAAAAATATCGAAAACAACCTCGATCTGCTGCTCTTCGCCACTTGCCGGCCAACCTGTCCGAGGATGCAGCCATCGCAGCTCATTCCGATTCCGATGAAGATTTTCGCGACGCAAAGCCAAAAGAGATCGCGTTTGAGGAGGATTGTCAAATGGCCAGAGATGGAAAAGAGATTGGCGATGAGAACTGGGAGGCGACTTTGGCCCATTTTATCAGCAATTTTGCCGAAAATTGGGGAAGCAATCATCGAAGCGAGTCCAAACATCGACACCAGCGTGCCCAAATGCGCCTAAAATCTGCTTAATCCAATCAAAACCGATTTCCAAACCTGGCTGATGCGCAATTTATCCAAAAACTCCGGCAAAATCGGCTGGTAGCAGACCATTTCAGCTCCAGAAGCCAAATACCAGAATAAAATCGCGATCTTGTAACTCAAATCGAGTCGATTTTCGTGAGCCATCTCTGTTTTCAATTTTGTGTAACTTTTGGAAACATCGTTCTTTTATTCTTGTAGAATCGAGGTTATAATTAGTTGAGGTGCTCAACCGTTAAATATGCGTACATGAATAACCTTTTTGATATATTCTCTATAAAAACATCGTTTCTTTGCTTGATTTTCACCAATATCTGCGTTTTCGCAGGATATTCTGAGTTTTTTACTTATAAAATGCAAAAAAATGTAAGTAAAATTTCCCAAAATCTTTATTAAAATCAAGGAGATCAAAAATGAATCAGAGTTGATTTTTTGGATAAGATGATTTTCAGTTTTTCATCATCAGAAATGCAAAGATGGCAAGAAGAAGGAATGAGATCTTCATCGAGTCAGCGCTAGAGCAGGGCCAGTCCTGAAGGAATTTATTTTTCGGCGCCAAAAAAAACGATGGAACTTACAATTTTGCAGTCAGCATTGACGGCCTTCGCCTGACCCATGTACAATTCTTTGCTTGTTTCGAGGCAGAAAGCTTAAAAATTTTCAACAAGAAATACTTGCTGTTTTTTACCGTCAACTCCTTGCTTTCCAGCAGTCTCAGCAAGATCGTATGCAGTATCAACAGTGGATTGAAGCACGTTACAGGCAGTTTCCCAGACTGACATTCTGAAGAATATTTATGAAAAAATAACTAAAAAGGATAATTTTCACAGTTGAAGAACACTCGAATGAGCGCTTTCTTCAGGAGTGTTGCTAATTATTAACGACAACAAAGGTCATTTTACGGAAGAGTAAAGTGTTAATAGACTTCAATAATCCTCTTCAGCTTTGAAATTTAATTTCAAAGCAGCATTATTAATAATTAATTTCGTTAATTCTCATTTTTAATCATGCGTTGCCAAAGCGAAGGAGAAAAATAGTTAACTTACGTAAAGTCATCGCAAGGCCATCTCTGAAAAACTATTTTGAAAAAGATGGTCTTAGGGTGGGCAAAGTTCTCGTAGTCGGCTAGGGTTAGGGTTAGCAATAATCGGCGCAATAGGGATAGATCTGATCCTTTCCGCCAATCAGATTTCAGTATTCTGCCTATCAACCAATTACATGCTAGCTCCTCTAGCCTCCCTCTCCTCCCGCAAGAAACCCCAAAGGCTTTGCCCACCCTACGATAATATTTTGATAAAACTTACTATTGTACAATTATACAGCGACTTATCAGCAAGTTGCAGCAGATTTTGTTTGTCCATGCAGAAATCTTATTATCAGAAGTCATAACTATTTAATTTTCTTACTCACCATCTTCCCCACATGACCTTTGAATCTCACAAGCAGTAGTCCAGGCTTGATACAAGCTATCTAGGTCGTTTTGATAAGTTAAGCATTCCGGTCTCTGAGCCATTTTTTACGAAATGAAGAAGCAGTGAAAAATTAACACTGCTTTTTACGGAACATTAATTTTTTTTGGATCATTTGCTGAAAATGGACTTTGATGATTTTATTCTCGGGAATTTATTTTTTGAAGAAAAGAAAGATCACAATCAAAAAGAAGAAGTAAGAAATCTTCGACAGTACTGAAAATGGCACGAATGGCACGAATGGCACGAACGGCACGAATGGCACGAAAACATGTCTTTTCATCGTGCCATTTTCAGTAAAATTCTAGAGACTTTTTTGTTATTGTTTTTCGGGAGATTGGACATTTCCCTTACACAAAATTTGAGAGGGGCTACCACACCGCCCTACTAGACGTTATAAAGTAGCGCCCGTGAGCCGCCCCGCCGAATTGAAACACTCACACCAGGTCTTTTCTACCAAGACTCCAACTTCGATCAAGACTTTTCCAGTTTCAAGTACTGGCTAGAATAAAGGTTAGGGTTAGGGGGCACCTGCAAAAATGACGGAACAAACTTACCCGAGGGGGATAGGCTAGGGTTAGTTAGGGTTACCTTCGGTAACCCTAAGTAACCCTAGACTAGACCCCGGCATTTTAGGACCTAAGGGGCGAAGCCCCGAGGTAAGGGGCTATTAGATTTGATAATTTTCTGCTGATATCATGGACGACATCACGAAAGTCCCAGCGAACTTTCAAATGAATTGGCGATGGAGAAGCGAGTTCAATCGAATAGATAGCTCTTTCGAATGGAGCGTGAGAGTTGTCACCTTTTCTTGCCGTCTTTCTAGTTCGATACCGGACGATTCAGTTCTAAAAATAGAATGCCGATTCACCAAAATTTCCTCATATAAGGGGAACTTTTTCTTCATTTTGCTCATTCCTAAAAAATCAAAAAATGGATTTTTTGAAAGAAATAAAAAAACTTGACACTGACGCAAAGAGAGGAAGCGACGAAAAAGGATTTCTCATCGAGATCACAACATCCGACAGAAAAGATGGAGTCGCATGGTGGTTCGAGCACGGCGACAGAAAAAAGAGATACAAACTCGTCCATCGAAACACCACCTCTGCAACCACAATCACTTTGACTTGCTCGAATTCGAAGTGCAAGGCTTCTGCAAAGCTCAAATGTCCAGCGATGATTACTACAGCTAAGTACAAGTACATGCGAAAACACCCGAAAACAGGAGTCGAAAAGGAGTGTGAACGAAAGAAAAATGATTTCAATTTTCAATCTTCTGATCGTTTCAATATTTCTTTCTATGAAGTTATTTCTTGCGAAAATACTCATACTTGTACAGATGGACCTCCTCCTATGAAAATTATCGATCAAAAATTTCGACAACTGACAAAACAAAATTCCGCAATTTCCCATCAAAATCAAACTGTTTCAATTTTCAAAACATCTAATATTAACAAAGCCATTTCGAGTCGTCGCTTAGCTAATGAAATTGATTTTGATAAGAGAAAAATTCGAGAATCCGCATACAAAGCCATTCAGAGAGCCCCGGGAGCGCACACTTCTAAAGATGAAATTCCCGATTCAGTAAAAACGATGCTTGTTTACGATCCCGTTTTGGAAAAAGATGTATCTGTACCCTTTTTTCAATTCGAGAACGAAAATATGACCGCGTTTTTTCTGGAAAGTGAATTGGAACTCATAGATGACTCATCGAAAGAAAGATTTCAAATAAATGAGCATCAGGGAGTTTTCGGAGACGGAACTTGGGAACCGGTGAGAGGATTAGATTTTCTTCAGTTATTTATTTTATGTATCCTTTTACCTAGTCAAAAAAATCCTGAGAAAATGCGAGCATTTCCTGTTATTTTCTGTTTCATGAAAAATCGGCTTACTTCGACTTACAAACAATTATTTACCATTTTGAATGATCGATTCCAAATTCGATTTGGTAGACAATTGAAAATAAGTTATTTTGTATTCGATTTTGAACCGGGACTCAAAAAAGCAGCGGAAGAAATGTACAATGCTCACGTAACTCAGTGTTTTTTTCACGAGGTAAAATCATACAAGAAAAAGTTGATGGAATTCACAAATGAGACACCTACGTCGAATTCTGAAGTTTGTGAGTTTTATCTTCTTTTTAAAGGTCTTTCCTTTCTCGACCCAAATTTTCACTCTGACTTTATGTCGGCGCTCTCGACTCATGTCGATTCTTTTTCAAAGAAATTGAGGCCTGGATTCAGGAAATTTATGAAATATTTTAAAGACAATTATTTGAAAAAAGAATCGATGGATGGTTGGAATTATTATTATCACCTCAATTCTAGAGAATTTCATATTACAAATAATTGTTGTGAGAGCATTAATGGAAAGTTGAAACAACTCTATAATTGTGGTGCTAATAGTCTTGCCAAATCAGCTGAGAACATCTTTGATTTCAAATATGACAATAACCTTTCTGTTGAAAATGATGATTTCAATTTTCGCCGAAAGGAAGTCATTGATAAGTATGAGAGGATTCTCGAAATTAATAAATTTATATTCATGGCTCCTAATGACTTTGTTAAAAAAAATATTATTCTTCTGACTAAACAGCTTTCACTGCCTCTTCACAACATTATTTTTCCTCCTATTGTGCCTAACTTGTAAAACTGCCTTATCTTTTCTTTATATTCTGTGAATAAAACTGATACTGTAACCTACATTGATAAAAAAATAAAATCAAAATCAAAAATCCTTTGTTCTGAGTTTATCTTGCATGAGAGGCATTCATTAGATAGTTGCTCGAAAGGAATCTTTGTCTGGGGCGCTGAGTGCTCCGTTGCGCCACTTGTATTGTCTAGTAGCCCGTAAGGGATGTGTGGTAGCTTGTGTAAGGGAAATGTCCAACCATCCTGTTTTTCAACCCTTGAGTTTCCTCCCATTAAACCCGCGGAGCGGGCGTTTATTACTTGAGTATTCAATGAAAAATTGATCATTTATGCTAAAATCACTATTATTTCAATTTTTTATCAATGACAATGGCAAAATTGAGGAATTTCACTCAAAAAATAATCTCTTTGGGCCTGAATTTGCGGTCAATTTAAAAAAGTTTCAAATTTTTTTTTTTTTGATTTTGATCATGATTAATGAACTTTTCAAGTTGTTTAATAACTATCGTTTCAAATCAATCCGTTAATTTTCCAGTTTAATTCATAATATTCCTCAAGGTTAATTCGCAAAAAAATGTGTCTCTGTTTTCGTGCCATTTTCAGTGATTTCGTGCCATTCGTGCCATTCGTGCCATTCGTGCCATTTTCAGTATTGACCGAAATCTTCATTGACGCTGCTCCACCACCACAAGGATTGTACTGAAAAAAAAACTGTCGGAAATAAATTTGACGAAAAATTACCAGGACGCATTCTTCGTGAATCTTTTTCGCTTGATAGGCGATCGCGATTGGGTCTTGGTCTTGGCAGAAACCTGAAAAAAGAGGTGAAAAGAAGTCTTCCTTGATTTCAAACGCTCGTCGAAGCCATATGCTTTGTTGTGCTCATAGGCTGTCTGCATGCTTTTCTGAGTCTCCGCGCATGTTTGTTTCCAAGTCATCCAAGGTTGGATCATTTTCTTAAATTTTTTCAGTCTTTTTTGATTAGCGAAAAAATCAACCTGCTTTTCGAAATCTTCTCTCTTCGAAAAAAAACAAGAAGATTTCTATCTTTTCGTACCCGAGGAAAGACTTCAAATTCCAGCGTTAATTTAACTGACATTTCGAGGAGTTATCATTTTACGATCATGGAATTACATTTTTCCTCTATTTTTCTTCGACTTCTTGCTCGTTTTTCTTCTGAAAAAAGGGCTTATTGGCGAAATAATGTGCATTTCACATTTTCCTTTTCCTTGCGATAATTTTTGCCTGTGATGTCAGCTATCCTTTCGAGCGCGAGAGCAATAAAAATCGAAGCGGCTCTTAGTTATTTAGGCTCAGTCGTTTTTCCCTATCTAGGAGCATGTTAGGCTGAACGCTGGGGGAGGGAAAATAGACTTGGGGAAATGGAAAGGAAGAAGGAAAAGTGGTTAAGGGGAAAAGGTGGATAAAAGAAATAGGTTTCAATTCGAGCAATCATTCTTCTCAAAAAAAAAATATTTTGAAAATGAAATTTTTTACTTTTTTCAATCTCTTGATAACGATTTCTGCCAGCCCTCTTCCGACCAATCTACAGCAGCCGAAAGATTCGAGCTGTGATCTACTCGATCAAGTATGGGAATCAAAAGGAGCACAAATACCTCAACCACACAAATTGGTAAGTGATATTTTAAGTTTTATCTGAATTATTTTTATTTTTAGTGCAATTCGCTCCATTCCGATTTCCCTTGGTTGGAAAAAAGAATCCGGCGAAAAATAAGCAAAGCCTGCGACTATTTACGAAAAAGCAGATGTTCTGAAGAATATACAGTTGAACTTTTAGCCATCAAAAAAGGACGGCGAAGAGGCTTCAAATGCATATGCGACGAAGGCCACAGAGGACACAAATGTGAGAAACTTAAAGACTGATGCGACTCGAAATAGAATAATTTGCTTCGTTATTTATTGTTTTCTTCTGTACCTTCTTAAACCTGACACAAATAAAATCTCTTTTTGAAAACGATGATGGAGAAAATATGAATTTTATTTTGAACAAAATCGATAGAAAGTTAATTTATTCAAAGAAAGAAAATTCTAGAGGTACTCTTCACGGACTTCTGTCGTTGTTTGCCGTCTTAATCTACTTCCTTGAGGAACAGAAGCAGGTTTTGTCGAGATTTCTTCAAACGCTGAGTTTTCAAAGACCTCGCTTTCCTCCATTTTTCGCATCTGAAATCGTTCAAAAACTCGAATTTTCTCGAGAAATACCTGGTGGAGAAATTGGACAGCGTCAACATCCAAAACTCGCCAACTAGTGACGACAAAGCCGACGGCAAGAGTCAATAAGGTCGTTGTTAGAATAAAAATTGACGCGAAAGAGGTGGTGATGTTGTAAATTTGCCCGCTGAAGAGATTCGTCAAGATAATCGACACTTTTTCGAGCGCGATTCTGATTCCCTGAATGACAGAAATGATGATTTAAGGGGTGTTCGGGAGTACCTGCATGAGACTTTGTCGTTCGGGCGGCGAAGATCTAGAGAGAATCGTTGAAGCGCTGGAGATGATGAATGATAGAAAAAGCGCGTACTGAAAGAAAACGGGTTAAGGGAAACGCCTGGGGACATGGAATTTTACGATGACGATGCCAGGAAGAGCGACGGGAATAAACCAGGGAGCTTGAAAATCCACAAAAACGAGAGCAATCATCAAAATGACTGAAATAAAGAGCTCAAACGACAAGCCCGTGAGCAGAATTTCGTGAGATTTGAGGCATCGGACGATGATAGTAAGCGCTAAGAACATTTTCAAAATGAGAGAGAGAGAGAGTCTTCCTTGATTTCAATGAGGGAAAATTTAAAAAATGTTTCCTAAAAAGCCGAAAATCGCGCTCCCACCAGCAATTGCATAAACATAGGAATTCTCCACCGCGCCGAAACCGAGAAAATACTTTGTAAACTGCGGTAAAATCGCTTCCGTCGACGACTGTAAGCTGTACATTGCCATGGTCGAGAAACAACAAACAATCGAAATTTCGTTGATGATTTTGAACGGCTTGATTTGCCGCAGCTTGATTTCAGAAACTGCTGTTTTCTGCGCCTCTGGCTCGATTTGCTTGACTTCGTGATTTTGCGCGAAAACAAGGACGAGTAAAAGCAAGATTCCAGAGAAGCCCAATTGAAAGTAGCCCGTCGAGTTGTGGTTGTTGATTCCAACAATGCACAAGTCATCATCGTAAGAATTCTGCTTGAAGCACTTTTCTTCCACCCCGCCGAGGAAGATTGAGATCATCAAGGGGCCGAGGATGACTCCGATTTGTTTCAAGCCATAAAGTATACTAATTTTCTTCGACCGCGACGCAGGCGAGCTCGACTTCGAAATCAGCCCAACAATGCCTCCCTCGATTCCAGCGCCGATTCCAGCCAAAAATCGACCGAAAAGAATCGCGACTTCGTTTTGTAAAACAAACAAGAAGCTCCCGAGAAATATACAAAGCACTCCGGAAGCGGTGATCAATTTTGGAATGTTCCAGCGATCGAAAAACAGGCCAAATAAAGGGCCACCGATTAGGGATCCAGAAGCGAACATGGCTACTGCGTACTTTTAAAAGTTTTTCTCAGATTTTTTTTCATTTTTATTTATAAAAATAAGTTTTTTTTTAATATTTTTTAAAATAATTAGTCATCAATAATCAAAAATAAATTATTTATATAATTAATTTATCAAAAATAATAAAAGAATTTTTTTAATTTATCCTATAATCTCTTATCTTTCAAACTTTCCGAAAAATAAGCACCATCAGTCCCAATCGAAATAAAATAACTGTACAACCCTGGCAAGTGAATAGCATAATCAACTCCAATAAACAAAAAAGTCAGTCCATAAATCGCCAAACTCGCGTTTTTCTTCCATTTCTCTTTGTCAAAATTACAGGGCATTTTTTTTTTGATTTTTTATATTTGATCTTTTGGGACTGGTTAATGAGAAAATGGAAAAGAGAATGGACAGATTTGGGAACAATGAGAACATTATTTGATCGAAAAAGTTTCCAATGGAGAAATTTATTGAATGACAAAAATGACCAGATTGAATTTCATTAATCTGCTTTTCAAACTACCGGTTTTCAGGGCTCCTCATCAGCGCAGTAAATGTCCTTCCACATGAGATTGATGACATTGTCGAATTTTCGCTCGATAGTTTTCGCTTTTCGAGTTGCATTTGGAACATCGTCGAGGCAGAGGTTGTTTGAAACCCAGCGAAGGTAGGATCGCGCGACTTTTCGGCCAAATTGGCAAGTTGTGGCTGAATAAATCAAATAAAAAATTTCAAAAAAAGAGCTCCCTCAAAAATTCGGGGTGGTGTCTGGAACCGACAAAAAATTTTCGACAAATTTTGCGTAGGCGGGTACTCGGCTGCTGATTCGCCGGTTTGCCGAATCCAGGGTTCTGATTGGTTGAAAATTTCCACGTAAAATTTGTCGAAATTTTTAATGGGTTCCAGACACCACCCCCAAAATTTTGGCGGAAAATGTTATTTTCTTACCCGAATCCTCGTTGAAAGGAGCATCAGCTTCAGCATCCTCATCCTCTGGCCAGGCCGTCTCGCAGTTTTTGACGAACATATGAGCCTCAGGAATTGATCTGATTGCTTTTTTGATCTTGTTGTCGAACCGGTTTGCAAATCCATTTCTTCCTTCTCCTCTCACTTTCCTGAAAAAAATATTAAAAAGGGAAGAGGGAAATTTCTCACGTGAGAAAATTCTCATGTCGCTGATCAAGTTTGTCCCTGATGTTGGCCTGGGCAACAGTGGCAAAAAATCCGAAAATCTTCATTTTGCGATTTATGGTAACTCGCTGCGTGAACTTTTTTATATAGAACTCGCGATTAGCTCAGGTGGCGCTGTAGACCGCGGATCAAAGTCAAAAGCTGGAAATCAAAGCTCGGTCCACGATAGTTTGAATTACGCCGTGACATTTAATAATCCCGGCTGAGATCGTAATAACACATGATCACGGATCAACTTTAAAAACACGCAATTTGAATTTCGAATCAGACGACACTTGCCATTTTACGAACTTAAAAAAAGCAAATGAAAAAATTACTGAATGCCTCAAACTAAGGGCCGAAGAACCACCGCACTCTGCAGAAGTCAATAATAATTTCCGTATCTCTTGAGTCCCACGCATCAAATGAGGCATGTTTTGGAAGTTACTTCTCAAACTTTACTTTTTCCTCTCCGACTCCTCTTCGTCTTCAGCACAAAAAGTAAGAGACAAATATTGATTAAAATATTTAGATTTGAATTGAAAATGGTCGAAATTTACGCGATGGTCGTTTCTGCTCCTTGCAGAGCAGTTCTCCTGAAACGGGTTCATAATCAAAAAATTCGCGAAAAAAAATTTCCTGGTAAACCCGAAAAAAGACAGCAAAAGCGCTGGAAATCGAGCACTCTGTGAAACAAATTCACTTGATGAAGGGAGAGCAGATGGCGGATGATTTTGTTGCGATGAATCCGGCTCATCTCGTTCCAACCATCAAGGATGGCGACTTTGTTCTCTGGGAATCAAGGTAGAAAGAGCGAGTATTGAGCGATAGGGATAATTTTCAGGGCGATCATGCAGTACTTATGCAACAAATTCGACAAAGAAAACAAGTTCTATCCAGGTCTTAGGGTGCGCAAAAGCTTGAGTCGTTCCTACAAGGGGTCCTCCAACAACGAACGGGCTGATTGACCAATCAGTGCGTGTGATAAAGCTCCATGAATGGACCATGATGGAAATTACCCCGGTCGTTGTTGGAAGACACCTTTTTAGAAGGAAGAGTCTCTCATTTTCCGCCAAAGCTCTCGCCCACCCTAGATCAAGCCGATCTTGAAGCTCGTGCAAAAGTCGACTACCTCTTGAACTTCGATCTCGGAACCCTTTACCGAGCCATCGGGGAGTACATCTATCCGATCTGGTTGCACAACGCCGCTCCTGATCAGGAAAAACTCAAGGTAGAAATCTCAAGAGGGCCGAAAAATATGCATTTTTCAGGTGATGGAGGAAAAATTCGACTTCATGGAAAACCACCTCTTCAAGAAAGGCGACTATCTTACCGGAGAATCGCCAACAATCGCTGATATTTCCATCTCCTGCTCTTTCTACAACGCTACTTACGTTGGCTACCAATTCTGCCCGGAAAGTAGGTCGTTTTTGCTGTTTGAAAATGACGCTTTTCTTCCTTAGAATATCCAAAAATCACGACTTTTCGCGAAAAAATGGCAGTTTTTGCCAACAACGAGGACTTGTCCGCCCAAATTGAGGAGATGATCAAAGAACTGATGACGATGGATCGACAAGTCATGGATTCAGCCTATGCTCAGCCCAAAAAGTGCGAAAACGAAGAGCAAAAAACTTCAGAATAAATTTCTCCTCCATTTTTTCACCTAAATTTTCATGTTTTTTTCCGGAAAAATTGACACTTTTCTTTACAAAAATGCTCGTTATTTTACCCTGTTTAGCTGAAAATAAATGTTTTTTGACCAAACCTTGATTCTGGAGAAATAAATAATTATTTGTAAGAAAAATTTAAAATTAGATTCTTAAAAATTTTTGAATTCTGCCAGGTCAGGATCTCGAGAGAGAAAAAGAAAAGGTGGTGGAGTGTGAAAGCGCTTGACTCAGGTGGCCATTGAGCCATTGTCTTCTTTGAAGAAAAAAACTCTTCGACGAAATCACACTGTTAGTAACCTCGCTAGAATTTAATTTTTCACAGATTTTTCTACCATTCCAATAGAGACAACATTCAATCAAAAAAGGTAGAAGGTAAATGAAGTTTAAAATGTTCTTCGTTCTTTGAAAAAATTGAAATAAGGGGGTAACCATGTTAACGGAAAATTTTTCGCAAATGCCCTTTTTTAACGGATTTTATGGAGCTCTAGAATCCTTAAAAATAGCGATCACTTGGAGAGAGTAAAAATCAGTTAAGATGGTGACACCCTTAAAAAATAAGCTCGATAAAATTAATACCGAATGTTTAATTAATAATCAAATACCGTGGTTTTCCATTTTAAGAGCGCCCACTTTAAGAGCGTTTTTGCGTATATTTTGAAAATGTTGTCATCTGCCGAAATTCCAGTTTAAGAGCGTTTTTTAAGATTTTTATTAAAAATCAAAAAATTTTTAGACTTACAGTGAATCATTTATTAAAAAATTTTGTAATCCTCGACTGCTTTTCTGGCCATTTTGAAGTCGAAGGCTTCGCAGTGTCGGCACTCTCTATCACTTGAACTTGAGGTTCCTTTTCAATCTCCATCGGGGTTGCGGCTCGTGTTTCATCGATTTGAAGCGCCAGAAAATGCTCGACCAGCTCTTCCTCGTCTTCTTTCTCCAGCACACTTTCCAAAACATCCAAGTCCTCAAAATCTTCAACAGCTCCTTCGAATTCTTCCTCCTTGATCAGCCCAGTATTGATCCAAGAGCGCTTGAAGATTGCTGGATTCATGTTCATGAAGATTTCGTTCGCTTTGTTCACTAGATCTTCCTCCTTGATGTTCAGATGATCATGATCGACGATGAAATCGTCAAGAAAACATCGGATCTTTTTTTTTGTAATTGCAGAACACAAGGTTGTCACAGGATTGAAAATGACCGAGCGATATTTACAATTTGTCAAACGGAAAAATTGAAAATCCCACTGTCATCCTACCTTGATTGAAAAATTTCCAATCTAAGAGCGATTTGAGCGAGGCCTGTCATCCAAAAAACGCTCTTAAAATGGAAAACCACGGTAATCAATAATTAATTTTTAAAAATTAATTTGAAAGAGGCTTTTTGAAAGAGGGAATTTTTAAATTTTGAATGTCCCCTGGGGAGCCCCCACTACAGCGAGAAAGAGCGGGTGTTTATCAAAAATGCATTTGATAGAAATGCCAGTCGGGGGAGTAAGCGGCCGGTGACCGCGCTCGGGGAGAATCGGAATAGAACCGACCGCGCGAAAAAGACTGAAATTTTGACAAACACCTGCTCCATCATCGTTTTTAGCTACAGTCACAAAAACAGAGAGAGGGTACAGTAAGAGATGAGCGAGGATGAAGAGGAAGGAAAAAATGACTGTATTCCGAGCTGCTGCAGTAGGAATGGAGAATGTTCTAGTTCCAGGAAAGGGTTTTTTATTGAAAAAATTCTGAGAATAAATTACTAAGAAATTTTCATTTTAAAAACCTAAGGAGAAGATTGGCTCTGATAAAGTCTCCAGACTCAATTTTGGGAACTTGGACGAAAAACTCGACTTTGAATTTGCTCTGCAAAAATGCTACGGAATGCGAAGCTGACTTTATAACTGAAATTTCGACTTCTTCAATCGTATTGTTTTCGAAAATTACTGAAGAATTTACAGTTTTAGGAATCGGATTCTACAGCTTGATGTTTCAATAACGAGTTTTTTAATCATGATTCTGATTGGTCCATTTTTTCAACCAATCAGAACGCTTAAAGGCTCTTTTGAAACGCCTTTTGATTTGCCGGAAAAAAAGCCAACCATGATGCTTTAAGGCTCCCTTGGAACGCATTCTGATTGGTCGGGAAAAGAGCCAATCAGAAGGCTTGATGAGAATATTCGTTATTCAGCTGACCAATTGTAGAATCTGAAAAACAGTCATTTACAACGAATCAACGTCCCTTCTATCAAAAATTCTAGTTTCAAAAGAAGGTCGCCAAAAAACCGTGGCCGAGCAGGAAATATCGCTTCCGTCAGAGCAGAGTTTGTTTCTAGACTCGGACGAACAATGGCAATACGAGCACGGCGTCCTTTTCAAAGAAGCCAATTCGAACAAATTTGCACTTTCCAGTTGCGAAAAAGCCGGCAGCGATTGTGCGGCGTGCCAAGCTCTTGAAGACCCGGAATGTCGATTCAAAGATGGAACTTGCTCGCCTGTTGACTTTGCCAATTCTCTCTGGGGATGCCCGCTCGAGCCGATCATCCCTCGCAGTTTTTATTTGATGAAAGTGCAAATTTCAAACTTGACGGGACGAGTCACGTGGCTGCGCGAAAACGGCCAAGAAATCGAAACAAGCTTCGGAAGTGACGAAAATTACGGCCTTTACATCGACGAAGAGCATTTTGAAGACAACAAGGTGATTTTGAAGACGCAAAAAATGAACTACGAAGTCGATGTTACGGAAAAGGCGTTTTTCATGCAGAGCCCGACGCAGCTGCAGATTTTTGATTCAAAAGGTAAGAATTGGCCGAGATGAAAATAAGGGGGTGGACATCCTTAAGGCAACCTGTATAGAAAAGCTGAGTCAGGGTCTCACAGATCTTTAATAAAAAGCTGCTTAAAAAAAAGGTCCAATAGAAAATCTCGTGAAGCCGCTTCGCGGCTACGTTGTCGAAAAAGCCGCTGGGCGGCTTTTCATTTAAGATCTTTGAGACCCTGACTCAGATATTCTTTACAGGTTGCCGAGCCCCGGAGCCCCCTTTATGACCAGCTCCATCAATTTTTAACCCCCTCATGATTCAAAAATCTCCTCATGAAAATCTTCTTCAGACAAAAATATGGGCTGCGAAGAGCGCTTATCCTCAGCCTTCATGGAAAAAACAAAGGTAGAAATGGCTCTCCACCGAAATCTCAAAACTCAAAAAGAAACCGAAACAGCGCTCAGTGAAAAGATTCAAGAATCGCAAAATCTATTCGACGAAAATTCGCAGTTGAAAATTGCGATTGAAAATAACGCGAGGAAATTTGAAGCGGAAAAGAAAGAATTGGAAGGAGAAATTGAAAAATTTGAGAAGGAACTGGAAGAACTGAGGCATGAGCTGAAAATTCACAACGGTAAGGAAAATCCAAGAGTCCTAAAATTATTGATTTATCTCGAAAACGGCGCCCTAAATTGTTGATTTTCGATGAATGAGCGCGAAAAATCAAGCAGCTAGAAATCTGAAAATTGACAATCTTGGGCCTCGACTTTGAATTGAAATCGACAATCTTGGTCACCTAACAAAAATAAACACAAAAACTGTAGATTTATCTTCGAGAAGATCGTCCAAGATTGTCAATTTTCGCCTATCATTGATCAAATTCAAAAATTGACAATCTTGGGCCTCATCATCAAAATGGAATCGACAATCTTGGTCACTCAACAATCATCGCTAAAACTTATTCTTCAGAAAAAATGGCGCTGAAAACTGCAGAGTACAAAAGCTACGAAACTCATCAAAAGTCGCTCTACTGCGGAAACGCGCTAGAATTCTTCTCTGGTTTTATCGCCCTCACTCTTGCGGTCTTTCTCTTCACGCTTTGGAAGTTCATCAGCTTCAGAAGAAAGAAACAGAAGGAAGAAAAGCTGGAAAACGGAGCAATCATCACTTCCGGAAACTCGACGAATTCGAAAAAGACGAAAAATAATTCAAATTCCAACATGGAGAAAATTGAGATCAGAGCTGACGAAGATCCACTCATTCAAAGATCCATGAGTCCACATTCCCCGACAGGTACGAGCAATTAGCCAATCAGAAGGCCTCGCGCGCAATATGAATGAAGAAATCGGGCAACTTTTTTTTTTAAATATGAGGAGAATCTATTGCCAAAAAACGCTACTCGAGCTTGTCCCAATAACGAAAATGCCCATCCCGCCTCTGATTGGTCAATATTTACTTTCCTTCTTTCAGGCTTTACCGGTGGCTACGCTTCACTTTCGCCAATTCCATCTAAAATCGCATCCGCTCGATCATTGGCTCGCTCGAAAACAGCGACACCTACTGCATTCGAACCAGCGGTAAAATTTTAATCTTGAAATAAGGCTCTATCAATTCATAGGTTCGAATAACGAGTCTGAGTCAACCGAGCATGAGCCGAATTTCTTCCTCCGGAGTGCCGGCGAGCCCGGACGAGGAAACTGCCCTACTTACCAATTCCATGCGCAGAAAAGTTCTTCTCTGAAATTCCAAACTTTTTCAATTTACAGTAATAAACGGTTAATTATTTAAATTTTTCGTCATTTATTTGGAAAATTGATTGTCGTTAAAAATTTATTGCACGCTTGTTTTTGAGTAGTAAATTTTGCATAAAAAAAAGGAATGAAAGAATAAATAGTAGTAGCAGAACTTTTCAGCATTTGGTTGGAACGCAATAGGTACTTTTTGACTTTTGATTTTTCAATTCGCGCTTCGCCAGTTTTAATTTCGTCGTCGGCGAGGGTTTGAACTCGTTGCGGTAGAGTTTGAGGATGACTTTTGGAAGGATGCAGATCAGGATCACGATTGGGACTGAAAATGGGAATTTACTGTAGCACTTCAAAAAAGAAGTTATAGATTTTTAGCGAAAATTGACATTTTTAGCGCAATATAGGATTTTAAAAAGCGCGCTTTCCTCTGATTGGCTAATTAACTTAAGCCTCATTCACCCATTTAAGGGTGTCCCCAACGATTTTTTTGAAACAGGATCAACTTTGAGTTAATAATTCTACTAATCGGATAGTTTTTACATAAAAAATCAATTTGAATATTATTATTTGGACCCTTCTTTCTGCATTAATCGAGACAGATTTTGTAGATTTTGATCCATTAATCCCCTACCGCCGCTTCAAAGAAGGTCGACTTCTGTAATCTCGGGTAACTTTGAGATCGTTTTTCTCGAAATCTACTCGTTCAAATTTCAAATTTTGAAAAGAATTATGTTGCTTGAACACTTCTCTCTGCATTAATCGAGACAGATTTCTTATAATTATATCAAATGCATATATAAATATACAATATATAAAATGATGATTTTAACAAAATTTGAACCAAATTTGGGGATCTTCTCGCTTGATTTATTTCCGAATTTCAGTCAGAATATAGTTCGATCCTTCAACAAGGCTCCCATGAGCTCAGATTGTGCACCGATAAGTAGGTTAATCCCCTTTTCCGGCGCCAAAGAGCAGGTGTTTTCGAGTTTTGACGCGCTCTAACAATAAGTAAAATTCATCGGATCTTTTTGAAAATGGTATCAGCAGAAAGGAAATTTTCCAAGCTTTCAGGAGATATATAATTTGCTTCACCTTATTGAGAATTTCAAAATAGCCACTTTCACAGTGCATTTCTATCGAAGGCTAGTGCATTAGCGGGCTCATAGAAAATGCCATATCTCGAGAAGTAGATAAGATATTGAAGATCTGAAAAAAGGTTCGGAATCAGAATTTCCTAAATAAGAAGAAAAATTTGAGTCACCGAATTAGACAGTCTCGGCCTCGATCGTTGGGGACACCCTTAATCGACCATTTTGAGCTCGAATTATCGATACTTCGCCAAAAATCTTCAAAGAATCGAGAAACTTACCAATAAAATAAAGAACTCCATGAACAAAAAGAGGCGTATAAGACTGATAAATAAGGGTGCTGTCTGTTATTACGATGCCATAAGTAAAGTCGACACAGATAAGGACAACAATGGAGAGTGCAAAGAACAGCCAAATGATCCAGTTGAAGGCGTAAATATCTGAAAACAATGATGAGTTTTAATTTTGATATTGAGGAGTATTTTACCTAAAGCGAAGGAAAAGAATCCAGACAAGACAGAAAGCAACACGGAAACTTGGCTAAACTGGGCCAAATCGATGGAAGTATGAAAATAGGGATTTTCGCCTCCTCCTCTCGATTCTCGATATCCAAAGTACAGAAAGCAGAATTGAACGATCGCGTGCCAGAGAGCTTCGAACATGGCGCCGACGTAGCTCATGTGCGAGTAGTAGGTCATCTTTGAAGAGGGATCGTAAACTTGAGGGTTCGTGGCGAGCATGTGTGCCGGCAGGATTTTGTCGAAGACGGCGACGAAAATTGGAATTGTGCTTGTAAAATTAATAAAAAAATAGCTTTGAATCATCCTTACCTAGTAAATACAGTATTATACAAGTAAAGATGCGTCTCGAGCCGGTCTTTCTCCGTGGAAGACAAGCAAAGAAATTGAAAGAAGAAGCTAGGAAGGACGAAAACGGTGTTTTTGAAGAAAAAGTATTTGATCATCGACGCCAGTCGAGCATAGTTCCAGTGTCCATGCACGAACAGCAGTCGAGAGAGAAATCTAGAACCATCATCAAAAGCAAAAAGAGGGGTATTCTTACTTGAATCGAGGAACAGCAAAGTCAGAAACGAGAACCGCTTGGCGACCTTCTTTCCCCGAAATTCCAATTCCAACATTTGCGGCCTAAATAATTGTTTGCAGTCGCTTTCTTCAGTTCTTTCATATACCTGAATCATCGAAACATCATTAGCGCCATCCCCGATCGCCAGCGTCCTAACTTTCTTGAACCTCGCAATTTTCTCGACAACCTGTCTTTTCTGAAGCGGCGTGACTCGGCAGCAAATGACGGCTTCGCAAGCAGAAGCGATTTTCAAGAAGTTTTCGTAGGTGTCCGATTTCTTGTCGAACTCTCCGTCGAAGGCCCATTTCAGGTTCTTTCCCGTAATGATCATGATCGTATTCGGCTTGTGCGGCTTTTCTTCATTATTCTTTCGACAGGAATCGAAGGGTTTGAAACTGGTCGTTTTCTTCTGCGCCCGAGGGAGTTCTTCGATGAAGAAAGACATCATCGATCGCATTTTCTGAATCAGCTCGTCTTTGCTGTCGCAATCGACGGTGAACAAACTGTCTTTTGGCTTGATCAAGTTGCACAATTTGCCGATTTCTGTCGCGGTTTGAAGTTTGTCGCCAGTAAGGATCCAGACAGCCAGCCCTGCTTTGCGCAAATCCCGGATTGTTTCGGGAACTCCGTCTTGGAGACGATCTTCGATTGCAGTAACGCCAAGGAGTTCCAGATCTTTTTCGATGGTCTTGTAAACGTCCTGAAGAAGCGCCTCAGAATTGTCCAAATCTTTCTCGGCCTTGTGAATCGCCGCTTTTGCCCGAACAACTTCTTCTTCTTCCAAAATTTTTCTCCCAAAAGCGAGCGTTCTCAGCCCTGCATTCGCATAATCGTCCACGTGGCTATCCGCATTTGCTTTTTCAAAATTTTGATCTTTCCGAAGTCGCGCAAAAACGGCCGAGTCAGCTCCTTTCGTCAACAGAATGAAGCGATCTGCTCGCTCGCCATTTGCGTTTTTCATCTCTTCTTGGACGATTACTGACATCATTTTTCGAGTTGAATCAAAAGGAAGTGTCGCGCAGATGTTGTATTCGGTCGTTTGCTCAACATTTGGCCACTGGACTAGAACTCGGCTTAGTTCTCGTTTCATCAGGGAGACGCCGTAGCCCTAAAAAGATTTTTACGATGTCTTTTTTCATAAATGGTTAGCAGCTTACCTTTGCACAATTAACCAAAGCCGCTTCATCCGGCGACTCTGCTTCGTAAAGCGCATCTTCCGGCCGCAACTCATTAGACGCCCCATTTTCTCCCACTCCTCCTGGTGTCGTTGCGCCGGTCGCAAGTTGAGGTGTAACGGCGAGATTGTCAAATGACGGCTTGGCTACGTTTCCCTGAGTTTCCGGAAGCATCAAAAGTGAAGTCGGTCGATTCGGCTTGAATCTAACAGGAGTAGCAACTTTGGGAAGAGAGCCGGAAGAAATCGTCTCTGAAGGCTCCATCGACTCGTTAATCGCTGGAAGTTCCGTTTTCTGCGAGTTTCTGCCGCCGTTTTCGCCATTTTCTTCGTTCATATGAAAAGATGGATTTCCAACGCCCGATTTGCTGTCTCGACCAAGAGTGAAGAGTCGTTTTGCGCTGTCTCTGATGCTGCTTGGAGTGAGCAAGGAGAGCTTTGAAAGCTTGCTCTTCGAAGGCTTCACTTCTTTTTGCTGCTGCTCGACAGAAATGACGACTGTATTGCAAATCGCAAGGCTGAGGAACATATCCAGCGTTTTCGACGAATACATTCCCCGTCGTTTTCCATGGATCGCCAGTTCTTCGGTCAGCCGTTCTTTCAGTTCGAAATCTGGCTTTACAGTTGATTCCAAAACGAAGTTCTCGTCGAAAAGGAGCTCGTCGTCGTCGCCGTCGTCGACTTGTTTCATCCGATCGGAGATGATTTGATCGCGGATCGAGTTCGTGTCGCTCATAACTCGACGATGATGACTCTTCGGCCGAGAGCGCTGGATATTTCCCCTTGGTCTTCTGAAGCTAGCTCTGGCTGATCCAGGTCGCGATCGAGAAAAACCTCCATTGAGAGGAATCGCTCCGCTTTTTCCCGAATTACCAGAGAGCATTCGCTGAAGACTGCTTTTCGACTGCTCCGTGTTCTGGCCGCTTGTTTGTTTCGTCACAGTTTTGATCATCTTTGCCTGCTCCGGGTGGAGGTATTTGATCCCTTCTACTGACATTTCCCTGAAGACCATTGAATTCTCAGTGAGCGTTCCGGTTTTGTCGCAGAAAACATGCTGGATGTTCCCCAATTCTTCGGCAATGTTCAGTGTTCGGCAAGTAACGCTAGAATCAGAAACTTCTGAATACAGCTCGATATCTTGTTGGATCATCCAGACTTGCGCGAGTTTTATGAATTCGACGGAAACATACAACGAGATCGGAATGATGTTCTGAAGAATAATCAGCATCGTCAAGAACGCAAAAACCCATTGAATAAAATCCGCTCTTTTGCTTTCTTCCGGAATGTACCAATGGACTTCTTCGTCGTTGTGGATGATCATCGACGCTGTGATTGAGCACATGAGCAAGAGAAACAGAATTCCGTAGCCAATGTCGCCGTTGATTACTTTTTCAAAAGTCGATACTTTCTTCCGCTTTTCGCCGTTGTTCATCACCGCTTTGCTCAAACGACCGGGGTAGATGACCATTCCGAAGATGTAATCCGTGTTTCGGATGGCACTGCCGCGAAGGAGGATGTTTTTCTGGTAGATTACGCTTGACTGGTCTTTTCAGGGGATCTTCGAATAGCTTATCAAAGAAATTAATCATGGTTTTGTCTGCCTGAGAGCAATCGCAATACTCAATTATCGTAAAACGTCACAAGTCGGAGAGGAGTCAAGCACTCATCCGCTCATTAAACTTGACAATTAGTAAACCCCGTTCCTTGATGCGAGTAGCTTTCAAAGCTCCCATGAAAGTTATTCAAGTCGACATTTGGCGGTTCAGCGCGAATAAAAAACCCGAAGTCGAGAAAATCCGTCAATTCAAACGGCGACGAGTCCTTTTTCACGACGATTTCTTTCTGTTTCAGGTTGGTTTCGCCGTCCAAATCCATCGTGTCGACGTAGCAAATGCTCCTTTCGTCTGTGGTGTAGAGAAGCACGATGTCGGCGGGGACGATGTCGTTGACATAGAGACGGATGACGTCGCCAGCGCGGAGGTCTTTGTTTGGGTTCTTTAAAAAAGCTGGCGCTCGATTTATTGGATTTCTTTTATTACGCCGTATTTACGAAAAACGGTAAAACGAAATTGGTTCCGATCGATCATTGTTAGCATCATTTCTGGAGAATGAATCGACCAAAAGACCTGAAGGATAAGGCTCTTTCCTCTTCCTTTCCTACCAAAGTTAACATAAGAGTGACACCCTTATTTCGGTGAATGACAGAATCCGGAAGCCGCTCGCGGCTTCGTCAAACCGATATTAAAGCCGCGCGAAGCGCGGTCTTTCTATTATAAGATCGAATACGAAAGCGGCTTCAGAATTCTGTCATCCACCGAAATAAGGGTGTCACTTTTATGTTATCTTTTGTAGGAAGCAAGAGGGAAAATCAGGATTCATGATGTCTTGAGAATTCGCTAAGGGTGCATAATCGTAGGATTAATGTATTCTGAAGCTCTGCTAAGTTCGAATAGAGCCCGGATCGCCTTTCCAGCTGACTTCTTCCGCTCTTTTGTCTTTGTTGATGCGCTCCGCTCTTGTGCAATTGACCGAGTCGTCTGCTCGAGTTAATCGGATGTTCTCGTACAAATCTGAAAAGGACGATCATCAAAAACGATAAGAACCTCCATGCTTACCTTTTATCAAACTGACTCCGATCACGAAAGCCGGCGGAAAAAGCGCCAAAGTCGGATCTAGCGTTTGCGTCGCCGGAACAAAATTGATAATTACGATGAAAACGAAATAGACGTTCGCAAATCGGTGCATTTGAAGAAACAAGTTTTTCGGAAAGAAATTCCATTTCGTGTATTTCGCGGTGGAGACTTCGTTGGAAGGCAGTTTTTGCTGGATTTTGGCGGCGGTGGCGAGGCGGGAATCAAAGTGGCCGGTTTCAAGCGCCCACGATGGTAGAATACAGTAAGCATCGTTCATTTACAGCTACGGTAGATTTGGAGGCTACAGTAGCTGCTCGTTGTTGGTTTTGATATTGAGGAGGGAATGGTATCTGAAGTTCTATATAAAAAGGGGTCGAGAAAAAGGACATTGAATTTTGTCAGCTCTTGTCACAAAGACTACGCAAGAATTATGAAATTGAGCAAATTTATGACCAAAAAATATCTTGAATTAAAGAACCTGGCCATTTCCGGTTACAAATTCCATTTTTTCATCAGATTTTTTTTATCATAAATTTGTCCAATTTTAGATCGAAAAATACTCAGTTTTTTGGTCAGAAAAATTTGGTCATTTTCGTCAAAAATATCTAAATTTTTGAGCCTTTTACTGACTTTCTACCGTTGAAATTCAATGAAAAAATAATATTTCTGTTCAGATCTTACCAGTTTTCTTCAATCCAGTTTTCAAAAATCTCTTCTTTTTATCATTTGTTTATTCAATCTCAGTCTCTTCGCTCCCCCCTTGAAATTCACTTTTCGCTTTTGGCCTTTTTTTTGGCTTCTTCTCAAATTCTCTTTCGGCCTCGTTTTTTCGCCAAATCTGATTTTTACGCCGCTTGACTGACTTTTTGATTTTCTGATTTTTTTGACCCTTTTTTACGAATAAAAAGAACGATCTCGCTAATTTCAAAATATTCAATTTTTTGAAGCGCGCTGAATAATGAAGTGAAAAGAGCAAAAAAACTTGAGAAAAAAATAACGAGGCCGAGCAAGAAAAGCAGCGGGACAATAAAAGTGGAAGAAAAAAAAACGCGCGAATAAAAAAAGACATTCATGCTTTTTATATTTTTTGGCTGAATTAGCGTTTTTCTGGCCATAACCCTGGGTTACGGACGTTTTTATTTTGAATTTGAATTATAATTTATTATTCGAAAGAAATATTTTTGTTATAAATTCAAACCGGAAGTATAGCTATAACATATACATTAAATTTGAGCGATATGGTCCGCCATACAAAAAATACTGACCTTGGCGGGGTCATCTAAGGTCATGTGCTCCCAAAAGAATAGGTCACGTGACCTCAAATGACCCCGAAAATGATCTTATCAGCTTTAAACTCTATTTATCTCGGTCAAAACTATACATTTCATCTTTTTCAGGTCATTTGAGGTCATATGAATTTTTTCTCCGGGGTCATGTGACCTCGAATGACCTCAAAAATGATTAAAATGAAGATTTTTTGTAAGAAATCACCATTTTTGCGCTCTATTGACCTCTTTTTGAGGGCAGTCTTTTTTCGGCTAAAAACTTAAAAAAAACACAAAAAAAGGATGAGAGAGTGTTGAACTTTTTATTAAATTTCATACACAGGAACAAAATCTGAGCAATTGATACTAATTGTCAGAGTGAGGATAACGGTAAGTCAGTCTTAGAAACTGTTGGAAAGAGAGAGGAGGGAGATAAAGGAGAGGTTTCCGAGAAGTTGGAACTTGTTTTTTTCTTGGGCCACCGATTGCTACACAAACAGGGAGAATAGATATTTGTAAGATTCATAACATTTTGAACTGTCGCTGTCTTTTTTTGGAAATGTAAGAGCAATTTCGAGGTTCTGGTTCGTTTTTCGTGGAATGTCGTTGATTTGTCAGGGCAAGAGGTCTTCTATCTTGTGAGCCTAAAAACGAAGTGTTACTGTAAGAAGGAAAAGAGGAGGGAGACTTACAGTTGGGACTCGTTTGAAAGGAATGGGACTTTCGTCATGATTTTCTTTGTTGGAATTGGCATCATCTTGGAACAAAGCGCGGGAGGAGCTTTTTCTTTTGTTCCCGAAGTCGAGTTTTCTCGCTGGAGTTGAGCTGAATCCATCATTACAGAAGAATGCAAGTGGCCTAGTTGAGTACCTGTGGATAGGATTGAAAGGCGATCGATATTTCTTCGTCGAGGAATGAGCTTTTTTCGTCGAACTCTTCAGGGCAGAAAATGGCGTGGCAAGGTCGTTGATGAAGTCCATGAACGAATCTCGACTGGAAAAGAGAATAAGAAGGACGGGGAGATGAAGGAATTACCTGAAGTTCATTTCGTTGATGTCGTCGACGTAGTATCGATCGACGATCGCGTCGAAGGAGCAGTTCTTTACTGGCGTCGCTGGATCGCAATTCATGTTGTTCAGCGTTGTCGAGGAAGTAGCATCCGATTGAAAACCTGAAAACAAAATTCATGATTTCAAGATAGCAGAACTCCCTGGATAGTGCTTAGCAACAAGTATAGAAAACCTGAGTCAGGGTCTGAAAGAGCTTGAAAAATAGCCGAGTTCTCTTTCAGAAACCTGACTCAGGTTTCCTACACAGGTTCTCGAGCCCCGTCCAAGGTCGTCAACTGGGCTCGAAACCCTGTATCAAAACCTGACTCAGGCCCAAAAAGGCTTGAAAAGCCGCGTAGCAAGCATTTTCAGGCCCTGAGTCAGGTTTTGAGCAAAGGTTGCCGAGCCCATCTCAGAAATATGCAGTTTTTACCTGAGTCCTGGCTTTTCGGGGGGCTAATTCCTTTCTGCACCTCCAAAAGACTGTTCTTTTGTTGAATCGGGCTCGCGCTAGAATTGAGATTCCTCTCCCCCAGAACTCGTTTTCGAAATGGCATGGTCGGCGTCTTTTCCAAATTCGAGCAGATCGTCGGCGAGATATTTTCCTTTTGCTGCGAATTGCGCGGTTGCAATCGATTGACGGAAATTTGCGAGAGGACTTGGCGGTTTTTCGGCGTTTGGAAGGCTTCGAAGCTTTCAGCTGCGTTTTCGGAAATAGGCTCGAGTTTCAGGAAAAAGCTGTCGGATGATGAAGGAGCAGCGAGATCGGGGCGAGGAAGGCGGTTTTGTGGAATGCAGGGACCTGAAACGAAGGAACATTAAGAGGCTTGGTGGATTAGTTAAGGGGCTACCTTCAAGATCTTCAATATTCGGCAGCTGTTGAACTTTCTTCTTCATGCACCAAAACGACACTTTGGAAGTATTTTGACTGTCCCTGTAGAAAATGTCGTGGAGCGACAAATTGTGGCGGACGGAGTTTTTCCATCCCGGCTTGGCAGTTTTGAAATAAAGAAAGCGGTTCTCGATCCAGCGGTAAATTTCTTGAAGCGACATTCGGTGCTCGGGGGTCGAAGAAAGCGCCATCTAGCGAATAAATTTTCATATTTCTGGGAAAAAGGGGTGAATAAGGGGTTACCTCGATCATGGCCATGTAAGAATAAGGCGGTTTCTTGGCACAGTCGTATTCTTTCTCTTGTCGTTCGTCTTCTACTGGCACGATCTTTTTCGACTCGAAATTCTCATTTTCAAAAACAACCGGCTCGGATTTGATCTTTCTTGGTCGATTTTTTCGCAAAATCAAGGGAATTCGCGAAAGTCGCTCAAGACTTTTTCTTCTTGAACGAAAAATTTGGTTTCGACTAAAAAATTCGATAATTTTACCTGAGACCAGCAAAATCCATGACGGGAAGTTTTTCAGTCAAAAGCGCCATATTTTCTCTCGTTTTTGTCGTTTTCTTCGTTTCTTTTTTCGCGTCGAAATCTCTTAAAAAACGGCCATTTTGTTTTCCATCGGCGAGCGAAAATGGCGAGCGAGGCAACCGAATTCGCGCGCGATTGCTGTCGACCAATCAAATGGCGAGATAAGCTTGCCGCGCGGATCAATTCAGGTCGAGCTTGTCAAGCTTGGCCTGGAAGCGAAAGTTTTAGTAAAATAAATTTAAATAACTAATTGCGCTTTTGCAACAACTGATAAGGGTGTCAATAATAAATTTTGGTCATCTTAAGAAAAATTAATTTTTTACAGAATATTAATTTTTATTATTTAATTATTAAAAGAATTATCGATAATCGGTATTCTATCTGTCAAATAAAAAGGGGGCTCCCTTGTTCATACATGAATTTCCAGCATGTGTCCCCTTGTTCATCGTTGGGCCACGTTGCCTCTCTAGAAATCTAGAAAATTTTGGATCGCGCCGCAAAAGAGTTTATCTTCGATCTGTAGATTCGGTCATTCACGATGAAGGCCACGTGGCTCAAGGATGAACAAGGGCACACTTGCACAAAGAAAGAGGATGAACAAGGGGGCGCTACATTTTGACGCAAAAACTATTGATTGACCGAACTAGTATTTTAAACTTCGTTAAACTTGTTATTTAACAGTCCGCTGTTCAAATGCTCAAGGCTAGCAAGAGTCAATAGCGGAGTATAATCGCGACAGTATCTTTACGTTTACTCTTCAGATTGTTTCTTTCTTTACACTTTCAGTATCGACGACGAAACCCAACATTCGAGAGGGGCAAGAATTGAATTCTCGTTCGACACAATTGTATCCAGTAGCGCAAATAGAGATGCTTTTGTGAGCGCCAAATTAGCGGCTTGTAAAAGGAAGGATTTATTTCCGCGAAAATCGAACTCGAGAAAAAGTTGCCTTGTGAGTTGGAGACATCGAAGACGTAAAAAGTCAGGAGAAAATATGCCTGTTTTGGTGAACACAAGGCAGGAATTATACGATGAGTTATCTACTGCAGGTGATGATTGACAGCCGATTCTATTGCCTTGGCTCGGTAACCTGTGTAGAAAACCTGAGTTAGGTTCTGAAGAGCTTCATTTACCTCTTTAGAACCTGACTCAGGTTTTCTACACAGGTTGCTGAGCCCAGTCTTTTTCATTTAACAGAGAGACACCCATATTTTATTTTGTCAAAACTTTTGACTCGAAAGACTGTTAATGTCAAACCTCCATTTTGAGTCGAAAAAATAAGGGTGTCACCATGATAAATGCTCTCAAAAATCGAGTTTTCCAATGACCTCCCCTTAAACTTTCAAAAATTTAAGAGAGTTCCCTTGCAATCGTCGAATATTTTGCCAAGTGGTGCAAGCAATGCACAGGTAAAACCTATCAATCCCCTTTTTCCTCGCATAAAACCCCTAGAATCTGAAAAATGGATCGATCAAATCGAGCACGAGCACCCAAATACCCTCGTCATCCGAGTCGATACCGACATCCTCGCCGGTTACGCGAAGAAAATGAAAGTCAAAGCCGTCCCTACTTTTCATTTTTACTCGAAAAACAAGGTCGTTGACAGATTCGTCGGAGCCAAGAAAGAGAAAGTAAAAGAGCTAATTCAGAAAAACGCGAGGAAATCTTCAAGAAAGCCTTCCGCCGCGCCAAAGGTACTTTTTCCCGGCTTTTCTTTTTGATGTTATTTTTGAGTTTAAGAGCAAATCAAACGAAGAGCAGGAGAAAAAAGAAGAAGTTGTTGTTACTGTAACTGCTGATCCAGAAACTACAGTTCAAGAGCCTGAGAAATCTGAAAATCGATAAATTTTTGTCAAAATTAACGGTTATTTTATTGAGAGAAAATATCAGTAATTGACCAGTAGCTTGAAATTCTCAGCCCATGAGTTTTGAGCGACAATTAAAAAATCCGACTTTAGTTATCAAATTTTATTCGAAAAATAATTTCAGGCAGGATGAACTTTTCTTGTCGACGATTTTTTCGAAGAATAAGTGATTTCTGACGCATGGACTTCGAGAATTTCATGAGCGGATTCGTCATTTTTCGCCATCGTTTCTTCCAGTTGTCGGACCCAGTATTCTCTCAACTTCAGCATCCGGCGGATTTCGTAGTCGTGACGAGTGTGAATCAATGGCTCTAGAATTTGTTTGGAAAAAAGAGGATCTTCAGAGAAACACTTACTTTGTTGCTTCTTTTTCTTTCGTTGAGACATTTGTCTTTTGATCGTGGTGGTTGTTACCCATTCCGAGTTATTGTCGTTTTCCGACGAGCTGAAAATCGATAAATTTTCAGTCAAAAATGGCCATTTTCGGTTACCTGGAGTCGTTGTATGGATTCACCGGCGTTTTTTCTTGAGGCGGGCTTTCTTCCTTGATTTCATTGCGCTTTCCTTCCGCTGCATGTTCTTCGATGGAATGAAGAAGGAGCAGAATCGTTGACTTTTCAAGCTCTTCTTTGTATTTCAATTCTACAACGTCTTTTTTGGTTTCGATATTGTTGATAATCAGCGTAGCCACTCCATTTACCAGCCTTGAAAGATTGATTTTTCTCCTCTATTACGACCAGGGTTCAAAATCGACTAGTCGAGTTTCGACTAAAGTCGAAGTCGAGTCGAGTCTTAGTCGAAAAGACTAGGTCGACTCGACTAGACTGCTTGTGGAAATAAGTCGACTCGACTTGACACTTTGAGTCAACGAGATTGTCGACTAGTCGAAAAAGTCGAGGGCAAAGTTTCTGAGAAAGTCGAAAAATATGGTCGAAAAAGTCGAAAATTTAGTCGAAAAAGTCGAAAATCTAGTCGAAAGAATAACATTCTTGCGTTCGACTTTTCGACTTCTCTTTCGACTTTCGACTAAATTTCGACTTTTCGACTAATTTTCGACTTCTCACCTGATAACACGAAGAGTAAAAAGAATGATAAAGACCAAATGGGAGTGTAAGTTTGCTTCTTCTTCTGCGACTTCGATGACTAAAAACAGCATTTTACGTTTATATTTGGGCCAGGGATGTAAATCACCCCACCATTTTCACCCCACCACAGCAAAATGGTGGGGTGGTCGGTGGTGAAAAAAATCACCCCACCACCACCACTGAAAATGGTGATGGTGAAAAATCACCCCACCACCACCACTGAAAATGGTGAAAAATTTCCCCACAGTAACCATTTTCGACGTGATAAATTTATCATCAAAGCCTATTTTTCAATAAAAAAGGGCCAGGTATCATTTTTCGAGTACCGCTATCTCGATTTTATTTATTGTTTTCACTTTTGAAGAATATTTTTAGATAATTTTGCCAATAGATTTACCACCCCACAACCACCATTTGAGTGGTGAAAAATCACCCCACCACCACCACTCAAAAAGGGTGGTGGTGAAAAATCACCCCACCACCACCACTGAAAATGGTGGTTGGTGAAAAATCACCCCACCACCACCACTGAAAAAAGGTGGTGGTGGAAAATCACCCCACCACAGTGGTGGGGTGGTTGTGGTGATTTACATCCCTGATTTGGGCAATTTCGAATTTCACTGAAACTCAAAGAAGCCATATTTTTAATTGTTTTCAAAGAAATGCGGTCAGAACGGAATATTTTGCGGCTTCCTACTGAGCTACTATCTTCGATAGTTCGATCTTTCCTGACTGTATTTTACCTGTAACGATGATGGCGACAATGACAACGATGGCATCGACGATTTCCGTTCGGTGGCGGTATGAATCGATCGCGAAAATTGTCTTCATGATGATTTCGAAGGCGAAAAAAGAAAGCAAGCCCTGAAATCATCGTGTTTTCCGGAAATCAAAAGTGCTCACCAAAGAAATAAAAATAAGATAATGCTGGGCGCATTCGAATTTCTCATAAGCAGTACAAGAACCATCATCGTTTCCGCTTAAATTGCCAGAAAAGGGAAAAACTTCTCTGTGATGTGAATCGGCCCCGAAGCATGCGTGCTCACCCAAATTTTCTGGGCAGTCACAAACGTCCACTGAAGATTGTAAGTGAAGAAAATGAAGAAATTCTTACAGTTGAGGCGCTCTAGCTCGACAAAGAGCTCCGTGTAGATGCACATGATGTCAACGATGACGACTAAAATGTAGAATCCGTGGAAAACGGGGTGGTGAAGAAATGAAGAAACTTTTAATTTCAAGCAACTTTTTAACGAGTTTTAATATCAAATCCAATAAAACAAATTTTAGTTCCAATAAGTGAAAATTTTTTCAATTAGATTTAAAACTCAACCCAAAACATGTTTCATCTTTGTCATTTGCTTCATCGACCAGAATCTCTGAAAACCAGCCGCTCAAACATCCTTAAATCCCTTAAAAACTCACGCTCAACTACAGTAGTTCTTCTGTGAGGAACGCTCGGTGTCGTACTCGTCATTTATAATCTTCAATTTGCGTGCTGAAAAAAATGATGCTTCTGCATTCACTTCGGAAATGCTATTTGAAAGACCATAAAAACAATTAAAACCACTCTTGGTCAAATCGGCCTTGGCATTTTCCGGGATCAACGACTTTCCCCCGAAGTCGATAAATTGCTGAAATCAGAATTTTCTGTCAGAATATTTTTATTCACAAGTTTGCTTTCAAGAAGCCGGAAATAGATCGATGAATTATGTTCGTGAAAACTCCTGGTTTGTTGAATTGCCCACAGCCATCGCTAGAAAATTCGTAAAGTCGGAAGAGATACCCTTAATCCTTACCCGTAAGAAACGACGCCAATCAAGGTCCAACTGCCATCGATATTCGCAATTGCAGGTCCTCCAGAATCGCCCTAGAAAATTCCCCCTCTATCAGTTCATTTTCTTTCACCTGGCAAGTATCAATCCCTCCTTCCTTGTACCCAATGCAAAGTTGGCTTCCGTCCCTTCTGGTGTAATCCGCGCCTGCGAATCTGTTGCACTCTTCGCTGTCAAAAACATGGGCGGTGGCGAAATTGAAGACTTGGGTGAACTCGTCTCCTTCGTTCTTCCCCCAGCCGCCTACGATGGCGGTGGTACCAGGTGGAAGCTCGTAGCAATCCGGGAGCAGGCAAACTGGTCGGACGAATTCGGTGAATTTCGCTAGGAAGGAAGGGAAAAGGAGGTCAAGGAAGCTTTGAATACCTGATTTACTGAGCTTCACAATCGCAATATCATTCAAAAAATCACCGTGTTGGAATCGCTTATGCACTAAAAACTGAAACTGACGCTCTTGACAGTACTCTTACTGATGATTTCTTTGACTCGAAACTCTTGAAATCCATTTTCTCTTCTTGCAGTTCTCCATTTTCTTTGCCTGTGGCCCATTGTCACTCGAAATCGAGATGCCCTGGTTCCTCGGTCGGCGAAACAGTGAGCTGCTGTTATAACTGTATTTTCATCGTACACTAAAAATATGATGATTTCTCGAATTCATTGCGTTCTCACATGCTCCGCCGCAGAAATGGACATTTGTAGAAGTCCGAATTGCGACGAAAAAAGGGAAAATCCCTTCTTCTCCATTGTGGACTCGACGATGTCCAGCGACAATGTGCTGCGATGAATTTCTCTTTGCATCTTTCTCGGCTCTGTAGGCATCATATTTCTCCTCCAGCTCGTCGTAATGCTGATCGATGTAGTCATCCGACAGTTCGTCCGAGTAATCTTCCTCTCCGATGTCGTACTCGTGCGATTGTTCTTGTTCACCATCGTCGCCGTATAAGTTATCGTAATCCACTGATCGTCGCTTCCGGCGATAATGATCAGGACATGTTTCGAAGGTTTCTTTCGCGATTTCTCCGTTTTCGATGAATGTCAAAGCCGCTCGCTGGTGCGAAAATTGATCATTCGGATCTTTGACTAAAAAAATTAATTCGAGGCAGTCAACTCGAAAATTACAGTTGCATCTTGGACCGGAGCGTTTTCCAACGCAAATGCAGGAAATTCCAGAAATCTTGCCGCAGGACTGGGAATCCACGTGACAGCGGGAAAAACCACGACGATAACCCTTCGTTGTAGTTCTTGTTGTTGGGAGAGTTGTTGGTCGAGGAGTCCAACTTGCTCTTTTTTTGGTTTTTAGAGAGTGAAATTTTTTGAGGCAAAGATTGTTTGAAAACCCGATTTCTTGCCCATGATGTTCTTCTCGTTGTCGATGTTGTTGTTGTTTTTCTAGTCGTAGTTGTTCGTCGAGTTGCTGCTCTCGTTCGAGTCGTTGTTGTTGTTGTTTTAGTTGTTGGTGGATTTATTTCATCGCAAAAAGGTATATTACAGTATCCCTCTTTTTGGTTGTCAAAAGAACACAGCAAAGTTGCAAAACTTTTAGTTCAAATGTAAGATTTAGAAAAAATCGTGTTTTAATTTTGACACCGACATATTTGGGCATACCAGCGCGCCACTCACTTCTTTCAACCCAGCACCACGGTCCCTTACCGTCATTTTAGGCATCATTTTATCAGCGTTCAAACCTGTGGGCTGTTATCTGGATTTCTACAGTAATTGTGAAACATGCCGCTTCGAGGCTTCCACATGCCGCATTTTCGCTGTGGATATCGAAGGCCTGCGCCAGTTGTACTTTGAACTCCGTTGTAGTTTTTGCCAAGAGGATCGTTTCGATCGAGGCATTCTCTGTCTAGCGACTCGCCAAATCTCAACAAATAATGAAGTAAAAAGAGCTTCATTTTTCTCATCCGATTCCAAGAACTGCGAAAATGAACTGTTACTCAGTTTCCGTGTCAATAAACAATTTTTTGTTTATTCGATTTAACATGTTTGAGCTGCACAGAACTCAAAGCGTTGGATTTCAATTCAAAAGTAACCCTAGGGATGGTCGATCCAATTTTTACTTCTTTAGCGAGCCTTATTGTTCAAGACATCCTGTTTTCTGACTAAAATTTAATCGTTTTTAACGATCGTTACCAACGGCTCGCGTCGTAAAATCATTCTTCATGAGAAGCGCGACTTTGAACAGCCATCTCGAGAGTTTTTTTTAGAGTGAAAATATGGATGAAGAATTGTCAGAGCTTCCTCTTAAAGAGAGACTTACTTTTTTACTTACTGTCGTACTTTCAGCCTGCTTATGCCTTCTTCTTCTTTATCTCGTTTTTACTGGTATCTTTTTAAGTTTTGGAGCTTATAAAAGAGAAACTTTTTGGGGCAAACCAAAATCAGTAAGTCTGGAGCTAGGACGTGACACTGTAGGACCAAATAATAAAGTATCATACATTGAAGGACCGAACAAGAAAGTATCATACATTCAAGCACCGAATTAGAAAGTATCATACATTGAAGGATGGAGCTATAGTGCAAATCCAATCCAAGGACGATGCAAAATTGGATCGGTCATACAAGGAACAATCCAAAAAGGCTGGGTTTCTTATTGGCCGGTAGGCCAAATACAGCAATCTTATTGGCTCCAAAAAAGACTCGGTCCTTAAATGTATGATACTTTCTTATTTGACGCTTCAATGTATGATACTTTCTTACTCGGTCCTTGAATGTATGATACTTTCTTATTCCGTTCTTCAATGTATGATACTTTCTTATTCCGTTCTTCAATGTATGATACTTTATTATTTGGTCCTGCGCTGTCACGTCCTAGCTCCAGACTTACTGATTTTGATTTGTGCCAACTTTTTTGTTTATTATATCTTTTATACTCCTTTCTTCCTTTTTTTCAATATTCATTCTTATGGATCGCGTAGGATTTCAACTTTTTGAATCTCTTTTATATGCCTCTATTGCAATTCTTTTAGCCCTCTTACTAATTTGTTCTCTATCACCTGAAAAGATATCGCAACATCCAAGTGACCTAGGAAAAGATCAACTTGTACATTGGCTGAATGACTTTCTACCGAAATTGAAAAGGACAACATCCCGAACTCCAAAATGTCGATTAATCGCATCAATGGAGAGATTCAACTTCAAAAATTCTGGAATTTCTTTTCGCTGGCGGTTTGTCAAATTCATCAAAGAATCATTAACGAAGAACGCTTGTGGTGAAATTCATATAAACAACGATTCTAAGAAGAAAAATATCAAAGAAAATTTCAAAATAACCAGTTTTCAACGAATGCTACTTGAGAAAAACATGCTTTATGGTCAACTTATTGAGCGCTCGGATATCAAGGAAGAAACTGGAGAATGGGAGTTGAGCGATGAAAAGTTATTTCTTATGGTGGAGAGGCGATTATTCTTAAAGAAAAATTTGGCGAAAAAGATTTTGCAGTTCGCGTTCAAGCATTCGATCCTTTTCTTTTCACGGACAAGTTCGAAGAAGATGCAGTTACATATAAAATTCGTCTTTCAGAAGGTAAATGTCATTAGTGCTAGCACTTTGTAAGCATTTTTTTCTGAAGATTTCCTTCACACGGTGGCAAAAAACCATTTGACTGGTAACTCTCTATATGGAGCAGATAGGATTATTCCATATCACGAAAATGTGATTCGTCATTTTGCGAACATCGAGTTTTTTTACAAGCAAGATTCAAAGCAAGAAGACTGCCTTGGTTGGGTTACAATAATGGAATTTGCTGAAGACAATTTGCGAAGAGTCTTAAAAGGAGACGTACTTGATCTTAAACAACGAAAGGAAATTGCAAAAGGCGTTTTGAAGGGATTTAATTATTTATGGAAAAATTGTGGAATTTACCATTACGACCGGAAACTGGAAAACATTCTCCTTGCCGATGGAATTCCAAAAATAATTGATTATGGTCTGGTTATTGATAAATCTTGGTCAAAAGGCTATAGAAAAATGGGATATACGAGGAAAGGCTCAAAGTACACAGCTTCTCAGTCTCTTGGTAAAACCCAAAATTAAACAAATGATAGATTTTTAGCCGGTGGCTCACCTGGATTTGCAGTTCAACATCAAATTGGGCGTGGACAGGGATATGAGAATCATAATCTTCTTTTATTCCTTTTTTGTGACTGGAAAACATCATGGACTCTCCTTTACAAGCCTCTTGATGATAATGAACGAAAGGAAATCGACCGAATTATTGAGGTTAAATCATTTGAGATAAATTAGAAAAAATAAATGTTTTTAAGGATTGCGATGCATCCTCGATTAAAAAATATATGAAGAATGATGAAACAAAACACTTTTACGAGGATATCAATATAACCCAAGAAAATTTTATCGAAAAGATCACAAACATAATTTCCCTTGAAAATTCTTCAACTCAATTTTGCCTTGATGCGAACATGACGAAATCGTGCCACATGTCAAGCTTGAAGAACCGGATGACAAAGTTCTTCGAGCAAGATATGCAAAATTTCACAAAGAATATCCTCGACCAAAAATCGAGTCAGCTCTGTGTTCCAATCTCAGTTACAATACTTCTTCGATACGCGATGAGAACCGATCTCGGCTTCAAGGATCTGGAGACTTCGCACTCGTTAGAATCGATTCTTGCAACTTTGACGATGATTGTTTATCCTCGGAGTTCGGCTGGGCTGAACTTGAACCCCAACAAAAAAGAACAGGATTTCCAGCTGAATGAAATAGAAGTTCTCCTTGATCGTATGTGTAAGGAAGGGAATCGAAAACTTAGGAAACTGAGTGAGCAGAGGTGATGACTTTGAGAAATGAATCAGCTTTGCTCAGCTCAGCTAGCTCAATACGTATTTATATTTGAGATTTCTGTCAGAAAACGTATCTTATGGAAAGTGGATGGGAAATTATCCGACGACTTGGGAAATATTTTGACAAAAAACCCCCTCCATCAGACTGTCACTATGAAAGAGGCAAGTTTAGTAATGTATTCTCCTTCGTTCAACATATTAAAAGTTACTTTGAACGAAAAATTCGCTTTCACTCGTCCTCTTACTGTTACTGGCGCTTATCTGCAAAACGGTGTCGTCGCATACCATCAAATGACTGTCGACAGAGTAGACAACAATGAATACGTTCTACAAAATACTGATCATTCATCAAATGAACCTCCTCGTAAGTCTGTCAATATCTATAAAAACGAATGCTCTTTAGTCATTCGAATCCCTTTGAATAATCCATACTTTGCCTCTGACGACGAGCTCCAAAGCTTTGGATTGTTTTATGAAGATGCAAATATTCGAGTAAATCTGGTGAACAACAATTTCGGTAACATGGAAGAAAAAACTTGGTATCTGCTTCCTACTGCTTACTCACTCAGTCTCAAACCCAAAACATACCTAGATTTAGTGCGGCTTCGGTCGTAAATATGAGTCGCCTTGCTTCTTACGACTTTCTGACTAACCTTCGAATCATTAACTAAAGCATGCCTATCCGTTATTCGAAAAAAATTCGCGATTTCTTTATTTTGTATTCGATTTAAACATGTTTGCGCAAAATTCCAGCAGTCTACTTTCATTTAAAAAATGACGATTTACAGATGGGTAAAGAGCTTATTGGCCGACTTGACAGTAGATCCACTCGTTGATATTGTCTAAATAAACGTGCTGTTCATCATCAAAGAATTGTCAAATTTATCTTACTTGGAATCGGCGGTCGAGTTTTTCCAATTCTTCGAAAGCAAATTCCAGGTCGTTTTTCTCTATCATCGTTCTTTTCAATTGCCTGAGGAGAATTCGCTGCTCTTCTGTTAAGTTTTGAAGAGAGGTTGGAATTGATCGAGATACTTCGTTGCCTCTAGAATCAAATTTCGATAGAGCCCATTTCTGACTCAGAAATTGGGGGAGGTGTCTGGAACCGACAAAAAGATTCCGACAAATCTTGCGTGGAAATTTCAGCCAATCAGATGCCTGGATTTAGCAAACCGGCCAATCAGCAGCCGAGTAGCCGCCCAAGCAAAATTTGTCGTAATTTTTTTGTCGGTTCCAGACACCAACCCAAAAATTCTGAGTGTTTTTACCTTAGATCTTCCATTGGAAAATTGATTTGAAAATAAATTAAGGTCTTCTCTTGTTTATGCAAAAAGTATGAAAAATGAGCATTTGTTGCTCTGTCTCGAATTTAAAAAGAACCAACTCAGGTGCACCACCAGGATTACCCTTTCTTGCTTTGGCGCTGTCTCCTACATTGTTCTTGTTTTGATGCTAAACTATTGTATTTAGATTCTAAATTTTAATATCAAACATAAGATGAACTTTTAAGTTGAACATTATCAAGAACGGAGAAAGACAAATGAAAAATATTTTTTGTCCAAATAAACAAAATGAGCAGGTTTTGATTTGTCGATTTCAGTGTTTTAACTTAAGGGTATCACCAAGAAAACAATTTTTTACTTTTAAGCTTTTTCTTAGCTACATTTTGATATCAAAATGAAAAAGACTTTTAAGGATATACACGGAGAAAACGATGTTTGAAAACTCAGCAAAATCGACGGGGGATCCTTATTTTTCAAACGAAAATTAATCTTACACCGCAGAAAAATAAGAAAAAAGAGGTCGTAATCAGTAAGTTCTCGGAGAAAAAATCTGTTTTGTCGATTCTTAAGTTTATTCTTGGTTAAACTCGTTAATCAGAAACTCGATACCTTTATAAATCAAAATCTGCCTTTTGATAAACCTTCTATGCTCACGCTAATCTTTCTAATGGTCTCAATTGCTAATCTGATAAAATTGATCTTCTTAAATTCATTGTCGCTCAGACTTGCATTTTAAAAAAGAGAAAAGCTCTCAACTTTCGGCACCTTGAAAGAGATCAAGTTCTTTGGCTAAGCCAGAAACTGATTAACCCGACCAGATGCCGCGTAATTTAAGCACTTTCTTACTTAACCCTTCTTGCTGCTTTTTCTGATTAAAAAAAAAACGTTTTTTTCAAATTTATTTTTGTTGAGTAAAAAATAGCGAATGTACAAAAAATCAAGCAAAAAACTCAAGTCAAAATTTCGACGAAATATTTAGCTCTTTATCAGACTTGGGAAAACAGCTGACTCGGCTGGAGACGAACATTGATAAGAAAAACAAAAATACGCAGCCAAAAGCCATTCCTCGAATGATGAGGGATTTCTTCGTCCGATGTTGCTTCCAAAGAATTTCTAAAGAACATGAATTTTTGAAAAAAAAGAAATTTTTTTACCAATTTGGTCGACCTGGGAATTCGGGATAACTTCTACTTCTTCCTCTTTTACTTCAATTTCTCCAGAATTTTCATCGACAAACAATTTTGATGATCGAAGAACCTCCTCAACGACCACTTCTTCATCAATCTCATCATTTTCATTTTCGGGGAAAATAATTGGCCCTAGAATTTATTGAAAATTTCCCCTTTTCTTTTTTTTCTTACCAAATCCGACCGCCATATTTGTCCTCCTGAGACTTCTTCTTTGTCGATTTTTGGCTTCCTCTTGCTGTTTCAAGCATCGTGGAGCATTTTTAAAGAGGGGAACTTGACAGTTGATCTTCCAGACTGCATCCTGCCTCGACTCCCCGTCGATGGTTGAGTCTTGGTTGAAACGAGGGCCAAATTTTCGAAGGAGTTTCTGAGGCGCTGGTCCATTGAGAGTGTCGAAATTTTGTCGAAGGACTTGCTCGAACATGGAGTTTTCGCAATTGGGTTTGAAACCGGCCGGTTTGAATTCGATTTCGCAGTGGAGATAGACAAACTAAAGCATACTGTTAGATACTGCAAGATATTTAACTGCACCTGAAGATCGACTCGCCCTTGAATTCCAATTTTCGGGAACATGAACGAATATCTCGACTGAAACGAATTTGGCGACTCTTCCAGTCGAACGAGTGTTCCAGCAGCGGGGCAACCATTGACGACCATGCTTCGAATTCCAGAGCTTGATGTTTCTGTTTTATATTTTTCCCGCAGCTCTGCTTCGGAGACGTAGTTTTTCGAGCCATAACAGTATTTGAGAAAAGGAGTTCCGATTTGCTCGCTGTGGAGGTGGAGATCGACGAAATATCGCTTTCCGCGGTGGAGGAGGGGGATGTTGTTCACTAAGCCAGTGAAGTTGGCGTGGTCGTAGACGGACATGGAGACCGTGAAGTCTTGATTTGTCCTAGAAAAAGAACGGTATAAGAAAAAAGCGTTGGAAAAAGCAAACCTTGGATCCTGGTAAGTCTTGGTGTTGATCGCAATCTTGACGGGCTGAGAAATGCCAGCCATAAAGACTCCTCTGTATTTGCAGCTAAAATCGAGCACCTCTGCATCTTTCACAGTAAAATCCGTTTCCATTCGCCATTTGACCTTGTTTTCAAAAACATAGTTGCCATCCTCGACTGTCGCTTTCGTACCGCACTGGCCCATGAAAGGAGCTTGAATTCGAACTCGGTAGTTTCCTTCTTCATCTTCTTTGGCAAAGCAGGAGCTGTCTACTTCATCGATGCTCATGAGCCCATTCGAATTTCCGTGAAGAAAGACGTTGGAAGAGCTGGCCTCCCATCTTTTCGCTTTGAAGAGGTTCTTGTCGACGATGACTTCGATGTGGTCGTCGCCGCAGTTGATCTTGCTGGGTTTTGAACAAACGGGCATGGGCTTGTTCCATCTTTTCCCCTCGATGCAGCTGATTTTCGTCTCTCGAATGTCCGTCCCTGGCTTTAGAACAGCTTCTTCTTCGACGCAAGAAATCGTCGCGGTCCAATCATTCTCGTTCCAGACGCTGTTCTGATTAGTCTCTACTTCTGGAAGCTCACAAGCATCACATGGCTGACAAGATGGAACAGCGGACCAACTAGCATCTTTGCAATCACTGATGATGGTCCTTGTCCGTTCGTTTTCAAAGCAAAAGCCGGGATTACAGGAATACGAAGCTGTACTACTATTGGCTTTGTAATCAAAAGAAGCGTTTTTAACTGAGTGTGGCGCAGGACAGCTACTGGCAGTTCCCACTGGTTTTGATGGAATTTCTTCTGAGAAAAAATCAATTTCTTGGTCGAATTCTTCCAATTCAAGAGGCGCGTCTTCCAGAGCCGCCTCCTCTTCCAGCTGGTTCTCTTCCTTGATTTCTGCCGGCTTTACGAACTGATTCCTCCTGACCAGCAATGACGTCATTTCCGGCTTTGGACTTTTTCTCGCCAAAACTCTTTTTCTCACCCTTTCTTCTTTCACTTCCGCCAAGAAGGCATGTTTGAAATTCGCGCGAAATTTTTGCTTCCAAAGCTGCGACCCAATGTCGATTTTCATAAAGCCCAGCAAGTCGAGTGTTTCAGACTGGACACAAATTTTTCCGCCAGTTGAAGGAACCAGCCCGCGCCATCGGCCATTTTCGCAAATTGACTGTTTTATGCTTCAAATTTCTAGAAAGGGGGAATGTTTTCTGGCGATGGAAAAACTGTATTTGGGAAAAAATGAATACGAAAAATAAAGAGATAAACTACGGCACGTTTATGCTGAATAAAGAAAGCTCAGGAATGGATTCTACCCACTTTTCTTTGAAAAAATTTTTAACAAAGTCGAATTCAAAAAAGACGAATTTGTCACGTGCAATGAAATTTCATCCAGAGCCCCATCGGTAGCTGAGACAAACACGAATATTTCTCAGTACACTTGGATCAGCGCCGATTTCATCGAAAAGGTACCTTTTTCAACCCCTTTTTTCGACTCTCATCGAAAATTTCTAGGCGCGGCAAAAGTTCGACGACATCATTGAACGATCAAAAGTCGACGAGTTTTTCCGAGTTTTCAAATATATTTTCATGTTTTTCGAATGGATCCTTTTCATTTTCATCTTTCAATTTTGGATTCAGAAGCTTGGAGAAGAAGTTCTCATCGAACTACCCGTCTTTTCTGCCTCTGGGCTCGCCAACCTGAGAAGAAAACCTGAGTTAGGCTCTGAAAAATTTTTTTTCTATCCTAGACCCTGACTCAGGTTTTCTGAACTTGAAGAGCTTGCAGAAAACCTAAGTCACCTGGGTCTGAGAAATCTTTTTCTATTTTTCAGACCCTGACTCAGGTTTTTTGCAAGTTCTTCAAGTTCAGAAAGCCTGAGTCAGGGTCAAGGATAGAAGAAGATTTCTCAGACCCTGACTCAGGCTTTCTGAAATTGAAGAACTCGTAGAAAACCTGAGTCAGGGTTTAAGAAACCTTTTTCTAGCCTAGACCCGGACTCAGGTTTTCTTAACAGGTTGCTGAGCCCAGTTCCGCCTTCAAAACTATGTAGAAAATAAACTTTTCGAAGCATTTCCTGAGTATACCCGCCATTGTGCCCAAAACTCGGCGGTTCGCAAGCATAAACAACTTTGTCTCCTTCTTCCCAAAACTGCTTCTCTATTCCCGGCGATCTCTGAATCCCACTCACCCAGCCCGGATCCTCACAAGCTAGCGAAAAGTTGAAATTTACGAAAAGTGCTACTAGCTTCATTTAAAAAAAAAAAGGAAGCTGCTTTTTCTTAGACTGATTCTGTTTGTTGAAAAGAAGCCGACCAGTGATTCAAAAATAGCCGTGTTTTGCGGTTTACTAGAGAGTATAAATAGAAAATTGGGGCTGGGCAAAATAGACGAATTATATAAAAAAATTCTTAAAAATAGCGGTCAGATTTTTAGTCAGAAATGATCAGAAAATGCCCTTTTTCTGGATCACTGTATTCTTATCTGAATTAAATACAGTATATACAGTAGACGGGCAAATCGGCATAAATGCATTTGCGGTCATTTCAGGAGCATTTATCGACAATTTAATGCTTTCCTGATTTTTTCTTTCTTCTTTTCGCTTTTTTTTCTGCCATTTTTAAAATGGGATGGATCGAAATAGCAGTCGATGATCACGAAGAAACCCTGGAGAGATTGAGAATCGAGCTTGAGGACATTAAGAAACGGACATTTTTGGTCTGGTTTTGGATCTTGGCGGGCTTGTGCTTCATCTACTTTTGCATCTACCAAAGAGATCGAGACGACGAGTACCAAGCAAAACGATTGATTAGGTAAAAGGAAGAATTATCGTGAAGGGAGAAAGAAAAATTATTTTGTCAGAATGGTGAAGATTTTGAAAACATCAGGAAAACATTGACGATTATGCTCTTCGAAAAAATGAGAAAGAACCAATTGGAGTTGCGATTCAAGGTCATTTTTCTTTACTATTATTATTTATTAAGAATTTAATTACAATTTATTATTATTCTCATTATTTTATTTTTTAATTATTTTTTTAAATTAATTTGTATAATATTCAGTCTCTTTATTTTTCTAGAGTTAATTGGAGTTCCGATGAGCCACATCCTCGAAGCCTCCGATGAAGAGTTCAAAAAATACTTGGATGATATCCATTCTCCTTCCTTCGTAAAACCAATCGTCTTCGACCACGATGGTCACGAGCACTAGAAAATTAAATCTTCTAAAATGAAAATGAATGTTCGCGCAAAAAAGTCTCTAATCCTTTGTCGAAAAAAAGAACGGTAATTTGGTTACCTCAGGTCTCTCAGCTGCGTGACCTGGCGCGTTGGAAAGTGCAGCTCGGGTAAATTAAAAAAATTGTCATCAAGACAGAAAACTCGACCGCAAGGAGGCGATCGAAGGAAATTATAAAAGAAGTTCAAACTGACTTCTTGATTCGTAATTTTTAAATCATTTTTTGTGGCTTTTTATTTCTGAGATATGAAATTCGTCGCCGCTCTTTTTGCCGCTTCCACGATCGCAGGTTAGATTTTATTAAGGGGGTAGACTTCGATAACTCAAATTTTTGATACACCAAGAAATTAGCGAAGTGATACCCTTATTTTTTCAACTAAAAGTAAAAACATTTGACGATAGTAATAAATATGTCGTAAAATGTCGAGAAGCCGCTTGCGGCTTCGAAATTTTATAAAAAAAGCCGCGCGAAGCGCGGCTAGAATATCAAATTTTCGAAGCGCCAAGCGGCTTCTCGATATTTCACGACATATTTTTAACATTTTCAAATGATGATTCTTCGACTCGAAAAATAAGGGTATCAAATCGCTAATTTCCTTCAGAAAAGGGAGATCGCCAGGGCAAGCACGGCCGAAAAGTCTTCTCCGACCCGCGCGGCTCTTCGGATCCAAAATTCATCTGGCAAACCCCCATTTGCCTGGCGAATCCGTCCAACCCCGCCTGCGATCCTTCCTGCCAAATTGAAACGACCGCTCTTTCGGGCGAAATCAAAATCGACACTTCAAACTACGAAAACCGACGCAGCTGTCTCTGGACGATTCGGGTGGCGGCGACGCATCGACTCGTTTTTGAGTTTGAAAGGGATGATGGTTTTGGGCTCGAGTATCATGAATATTGTGGATATGATAAGCTGCATATCTTTTCGGGGAGCCCATCGAGCGAGATTTATAGACATGCAAGATTTGTTTTTCGATTTTTCGAAATTCTTTCCCAAATTGTGCTAACGTATTGACGCCCTTATATTTTTTCTTATTTTTCGTGAAAAATGTCTAAAATTTTGACTAAATTTTGGACAAAAAAATCGAGTTTTTAAGAAAATTTTTCTGAAATCTGATTGGCCAACAAATCAAAGTCGGGCATCTGATTGGTCAAAAATTTGACAAAAATTTTTGTTTGAAATTGTCGATTTTTGATCAATTCATGCCACCAACCCTAACTTTTGGGCAAAAATCAACTTTTAAATGACCAAAAACGATAAAAATTGAAAAACAAAAATAAGATTCTGCGGCCCAAAAGGCAAAGCCGACACGAAAAACGAAGGCCCCTACGATGGATCCGGCAAAATCGTCCCGATCGACGGAAAAATGCCCTTTTGGGACATTCCCTACGACATGGGCACGAATGAAGCTGTCATCGGCGTCGATCTCGATCAAAGTCGAAACCACTTCGGCGGATTTACGCTGAAATGGAACGCGGTTGAGAACGTTCAGACGAATTTTACGGATGTTTATGACTGCATCGACTTTGCGAAGGAATATCTTGAACGGCAGCTTCAGGATGTTTTCTTCCAAAATATGAGAGGTTTGTTTCATTCAAATTTCTTGAGTTCTGCTCGAAAAAATGAAGAAAATCTCGGAAAAGAGACCAAAATTGGTCAATTTTTTTATTTTTTGTTAAAAATCGCGAGAAACCCAATTTTTCCCCATAAAAATTCTCAAAAAATATTTTTAGCGAAGGAAAAGACGCAAGAAAAGCTCAAAAGCTCATTTCAAAAGCTGCTGATGCTATCCACCGAAATCCGAATAACAAAATGCGAAAGTAATCTCCTTCTTTTTTCTTCCCTAACCAAGTTTTTAAGATGTGCTGTGCCCGATACAGAGCCAGTCCCAGAATGGATTCAATCCAAGTTTCAGACGCTTGAAAATTCGCCCAGATCAATCCTAAATTTCGACCGTAAGTCTGCTTTTTCTCGATTTTTTCTTAAAAAAAATTGAAGACGGGATCACAGCGCTTCGAGGCTTGATCGAAGCTTACATTGGAGAGTGCAAGATCGGTTCGGTCTGGTGGCCAAGACGAATCGAGAAGTTTCTGACTAAGCTCAACGACGCCGCTTGTGATCCGTGGAACGAAGATTGTCGATAATTCAACTGGCCTTTTTACATGCCACAGTTTCTACCTGCATCAAAAAAATGACATGATAATCTGCCCATGCTCTTTCCTTCCCCTGAAAATTGATAATGACTTGTGAAATGTGTAAATAAATCCACTGACTCCGATCGAAAGAAAGATTATTTAGTCGAAAATCGTAAAAAGCAGTGAAAATCAGAATATTTGGAATTTTTCTGAGCAAATTTCACTTGGTAAATAGAACGCGGTACTAAAAATTGAATCTCCTTTTCTCAAATTCAATTCTGATCGTTTTTTGTTCGAGATGTCGCCGAAAGTGGGAAAAATAAGCGTTGAAAAACGAGAGATTCCGGAGAAATATTTGGATGATGGAAATTATTATTTTGAGTGGCGGAATAAGACGAAAGGAGCAATATGGGTTCATAAATGCAAAATTTGCTCGTAAGTTATTGCTTTAGAAATGAGAGAATTTTTATTTATTGATAAATTTTTAGCGTTATTCCGGAGAATTTCTACATGTTTTATTGCAGCGAGGATAAAGATGGCAATAATGTATTTTGTATGGATTGTTCTTCTGTCCAGAATTTTAAGCATGGGCAGTACTGCAATTGCAAAGTCTGTAATTTTCATAAGCAATATGGCACTCGGGTTCCTCAATTCAAATGCTTCTTCATGGAGTGCAACACCTCTCTCTCCTTCAACGAGTTTTTTGAGCATTATCAACAATGCCCAAACTCCTCATCTGGCCAACCTCGTTTTCCCGAAGACCAAGCGATAAAACCGAAACCAAAGCACAAAGCCAATCTTCTTCCTCAAGTGCGTCTTCCCGACGACATTGAAAGAGACCTCAATTCACGAGAAAATGAACTTCAATCAATGCGAAACGAGTTCGAGAAAATCTACATCGAAGAAAAATCATTGACTGTGAGACTTTCTGCCGTCAGGGAAAAAATGAATAATAACTCCTCAGCGATTGAAAGTCTGCTGCTCGAAAATGAAGAGCTTGCACGAGACGAAACTGACATTGAAAGAAAGCTCAAAATTTTGACGGAAAGAAAAGAGCGAGTTCGGGAGAGACCAGCAAATCAAGGTAAGAAAAAGAAGTTCTCAAAAAACTTTTAGGGCAAGTTGACGAGAACTGCTGCAAAGTCTGTTTCTCGCCCTTCGACACGAATCTGCACCACCGCTCGTGCATAACAAAATGCGGTCATTCCTTCTGCCACTCCTGCTTGGGCGCGCTCGACCCGAAGATCTGCCCAAGCTGCAGAAAAGCCTTCCAGATGACCGACATTCTCAAAATTTTCTGATTTTTTTTCTGCTTGTTTTTAATTCTAATTGATTCTCCTTTTCTCTATCCCTTCATTCTGTAATAAAAATAAATAAAAAATCCTAAAACTATTCAATCATGGAATTTTCTAGAACAAAATTTTTAAATGAAAAAACTCATTTTGAAAGTTTCGGTTTTCGTAACTCAGCTAGATAGATTTGTTTTTGTGAAGCTCTTATTAGAAATTGAGCAACAACGAAGTTAATTTGAGTTTAATCTTTTTGTTTATGTTGAAAAAAAGATTAAATTTAGCAAAATTATCGTAGAATATATGGAGTTTTTTTAATTTTATCCTATAAAAGGGCTTTTGGGAGAAAATAAACAAACATGTTCTAGAACTTCTAAAACGATATATAGAACGATGATATATCTATTGGTTAAAATGGATATTTTCTCAAGTTTTTTCATATAATTCGCATTTTTGTGAATAAAAATAAAAGTCTTGAAATCAAAATGGCTCAATAACAACTTGCTTTATGATAACAACATAGTTAGAAAAAAGAATCTTCATGGGTTCACCAAAGTTTGGTGACTGAAGAGGAGTTTAGTCTCAAATCTTGAATCGAGAACTTTGTCAAACAATATCACAAGAAAATCGAAAAGACACCATGCATTTTTAGAACAAATAATAAAAAGCTTATTTTGAATTTAATCAAAAAATTATATTACATTTTCATTAAATATATTTCAAGTTTTTTGCCGATATTTTAAAATTTAGAAATAATAACAAACCTAAAATTTCGGTTGATTCTAGAAAAAAATTTCCTTGATCTTCGATTTTTTCAGGTTTTTCAAAATGAAAAGGAAGGTCACTAGAAGTTCAATTTTGAATTTTGAAGCTGGGCGTAGGTTCGCGCGCACGAGACGGTCGTTGTTTTCCTGATTTCAGCGTCCCGCGCTGCTCAAAACTGCTGATGATTGCATCTTTCCGCGCAAAAGCAAATTTCTTCGTTTTTTTTTCGTCAAAACTCGATCTTTCTTCCTTCAAAAATGAGGTTTTTGGCGGCTCTAGGGCTGCTGGCGCTGAATTCTAGCGCAGAGAAATTGGCATTTGAGGAGAGAGCGACTTGGAAGTCGCATTTCAAGCAGCATTTTAATGAAAACACCAAGCTTTGGGATAATTTGGGGACAGCTCCGTTAGACGAAACGGCCGTTTTTATCTTTGGATTGAAACAGGTACCGTCGAAAATCGGGAAAAATGAGGGAGTGAAGATTTTGTCTGCCAGACAATTTTTTTTTTGAAAAAGTAGGTGAAAAACTGAGAGGTGAAAATTTCGACTTATTTTGCGTGTAAATTTTCAACCAATCAGAAACCCGGATTCGGCTCAACGGCCAATCAGCAGTCGAGTAGCGGCCCACGCAAAATTTGTCGAAATTTTCTTGTCGAAAAACTCTGCCCAAGATTGTCGATTAAATTTTTGAAGGTTATTTCGAGCAAAAAATCAGGAAGTTTATCGTCAACTTTGGACTTCATCTTCGTACTTTTTCGACTCGAAAATCTTCTTTTGATCAATTCATTTCAGAAAAACGTGGAAATCCTCGAGCGAGTATTCTGGCAAGTTTCCGACCCTGACAGCTCCCAATACGGCAATTTTCTCAAGAACTCTCAAATCAGGTAAAAAAGCCTCTTCTCCTTTCTTCTTTCAAATCGTGTTTCAGTAAACTTGTCGGACGAGATAAGCATTTCGTCGAGCTTTTCCTCGCCCGACTTTCTGGCGAAAATTTCGTCGAAGATGAAGAAAAAGTGTATCTTTCCCAGCAAAGCGCTTCAAAATGCACCGTCAACTCGAACATGGATTGGGTCACGTGCGAGTTTTCCGTCCGAGATGCGATGCGACTTTTTGACATTCAAAAATTCCACGTCTTTCGGAAGCCTGGAAGCACTAGAAAATATATCAGAACAACATCGTATCTGAAGATTCCGCAGTCAGCGGCGGCGATGATTGACTACATTGGTGGCGCTGTTTCCAAACTTCCATCAGTGCACCAGAAGTTGTCAATCGACAGAGAAGATTTCGGAAAAACTATCAAAGAAAACGTCCGACACATTGGAAACTACCCAGAAGTCATTCGAGCCAGATACAATATTTCTTCCGAAACAGGGCGCCATCCAGACAACAGGTTAGAAAAATGCCGATTTTTGATTGGCTGGCGGGCTTTTTACCCGCTTCTTATTGGTTGAAAAGTTGAGAAAGCCAGAAAATGTCCAAATAATCGAGTTTTTTCTTGAAAATTTCGACTCAAATCCGAAAATTTGAACGAAAACTTAAAAATTATCATTTTTTTTCAGCCAATGCACTCCTCAATTTCTCGAGCAATACTACCACCAAGGCGATTTGGACCTTTTCTGGCGACTTTACGGAAAAGGCTACGAGCACCGTCAAGAAATCGACAAAGTAGTCGGCGACGTTCCTGGAGGCCTGTCTGGAATCGAAGCTTCTTTGGATACGCAGTACATCATGTCGACAGGGAACAACATCACCACTTGGTTTTGGTACACTGCGGGAAGACACGAGCAGCAGGAGCCGTTTTTGCAGTGGCTTATTGGCACGGGTTAAAATTTTTGAGAGAATTCGATTTTTTCTAGAGCGAATTTGTTTGTTCTAGAATTTTGATTCTCGATAATAAGTCGACTAGACAAAAATGGCCTAAAATATGAAATTTGAAATTCGAATATTATTAAAAAATATTTAAAAAAGCAATTTTATTAAACTCAAACGAGAATTCTCATGCTTTATTCTATCAGATAAAGAATTTCATTCCCCGTTTCCTTTTATTTTACGTCCACTGATGGAAAATGAAGAAAACATCATTTTTTTTTATTTTGGTTTATTGAACTCACCGAAAAAATTTCTTCGTCCTTCTGTTTTTATGATGTTAGAACTAATAATAAAGCTAGTTTGAGTTTATTTAATACTGTTATTGTAGCTAAAAATAATCTTTTCTCGATTTTTGACACTTTTATCTCAGGACAAAATTTTCTAGAGATAATTAAAAAAAATGTTCTAGAGAAATATTTCTCCATAAACAAAATTGACTTTGAATACTTCATGCTTTTTTCGCTGTATATAGAGAGATCGTCCTTTTAAACATGTTTACTAGTGAAGTTAAAATCAAAATAGCGTCAAATTTATATTTTCTTTCATCAGAGCATAAGAAGAAAGAAATCATTCTGCTAAATTTAGCAAATCGAAAATTCTAAAAACGAGTGTTTTTTCAACCTCAGTAACAGCTTTTCGAGCCGAAAGAAAGAATAGCAAATGAAGGTGTGCATTTATGATCGAAAAATAAGCTTTGTTTGATTTTAATAAAAAAGTTATTTTTTTTGTTTTTTTAATAATTTATAAATTTTTTAGTAAAACCAATTCACACGGTCTTGAATCTCTAAAAAACCCATAAAATCATTTTTTTAGAACCAATTTTTGAAAATAAACAAATTTGCTCTAGAAAAAATTTTTTTCCTATTTCCTTTTAACCCTTGAAAAAGACCTGTCTAACGAAGAAAACCCGCCACTGGTCAATTCCGCCAGTTACTCGGACAAAGAAAATTCTGTCGATCCAGATTACATGAAACGAATCAACGTGGAATTTATGAAGGCAGGTGCTCGTGGCCTGACGCTGCTCTTTGCTTCTGGAGACGACGGCGCCGGATGCCAGGAAAATAAACGCTTCGAGCCGCAGTGGCCATCTACCTCGCCGTACGTCACTACTGTAGGAAAAGTTCAAATTTAACTGTTTCTTCGCGTTGAAATTCGGGTTATTTTTGAACTGGAAAAAGGTGGAACAGCATTTATTCATCCCTTCGATATTGGCGAAGAAGAAGGATACGACATTTCTGGCGGCGGCTTTTCTGATGTTTTCGAAATGCCAGAATATCAAAAAGAACTTGTCGCGAGCTTTCTTGGAACTTCCGAAAAACTTCCACCAGGTAGGTAGAAAAGCGCGAAAGCGAGTCAAAAAGTGAATCAGATGACTACTACCGCCCCACGGGCCGAGGCTATCCCGACATCGCCGCTGTTTCCAACCACTACTGGGTAGTCAACAACCGTGTTCCCGTCCCTGGCGTTCTGGGCACCTCCGCTTCCTGCCCCGTCGTCGCTGGAATTCTAGCGCACATCAACGACTACCGACTCCGATCGAATCTCCCGCCGCTTGGGTTTGTCAACCCGCTGCTTTACAAGAATCCTGACGCGATTACCGACGTTACCCAAGGTTTTATCTAAGAGAAGTGCTCAACAATCAGTCTTGAAAATCTGAGTCAGGTTCAAAATAGCTCAAATGAAAAGCCGCGTAGCGGCTTTTTTAAAAACGTAGCCGCGAAGCGGCTTCGCCATAAAAAACTTGCGAAGAAGCTTTGCGGCTTCGTTTAAAAAAAAAGCCGCTACGCAGCTTTTTATTGGAGCTATTCAGAAGCTGACTCAGGTTTTAAACACAGGTTGCCGAGCCCTATCAAAGAAAAGATAGCTACTAACAGGGCTTACTCAGGGTACAACGCTGGCTGCGATTTGTCGGAGTACTACGATCGAGGATTTTATGCTCAGAAAGGCTGGGATCCTGTCACTGGGCTTGGGAACCCGAATTTTCCGACGATGCTCAAAGGTTTGCTGTGCTTCAAGTTTTTAAGTTTTAGGAAGAAATCTAAAAATGATTATAAAGATAGAGCTTATTTATCGGCTTGAAAACAAATTGAAAAATCCCTATTCCGAAAATTCGATCACTTTTTATGGTGCGAAATTCGACTTTTGAAAATTATTTTTCAAGTTTTTCAAGAAGCAAAAGTTTTTAATTTTTTGACAACAATTCAAAAAATTTTCAGTGGCGATGGATGCTGCTTTGAAAAAACACGCCAAATACCCGGTCGACAATTGAAGAAAACTTCTTTTTCCCGCCAAGATGCCCAATTTTTTCTTTTTATGAAATATCTTCAATTAATAAAAAAATGATCGCGATATGATCGAGCCCAATTTAACGAGCTGTTGTTTATTGATTTGTTTTTTCGTCTTTTTGCTTTTTCTTCTTCCAAGGGTGTGTTTTCGAAAAAATACAAAATGGTCATTTTTGGTCAAAACTCAGCCGTTTTAATAACAGGAGCAAATCGGGGCTATGGCGAAGCTATTGCTAGAGAGTTTCTTTCCCGTCTTGATAAGGATTCATTGCTGCTTCTTCACAGTAGAAACGGAACGATTCCCTGGCTAGAGAAAGAAGAAAAGAAAAGATGCGAAGTGAAGATTTTGAAGGGCGACCTTGGCGAGCCCCTGAATTGGATGGAACTTATCAAAACAACAAGAAAGTCGTATCGAAGTGCATTTTTAATTTCAAATGCAGGCACTTGCGGTGATATCGAAAAGCCACTTTTGGAAACAGGCCACTCTTTAGGTTTGATTTGAGAATAAATAACTTTTTCTAGGTCAATTTTAGAGGAGCTGAGTAATTTCTGGACATCGAATGTCGCTCAATTCATTCCTCTCGCGACCGCTTTCAAGAATACCTTTTCTGAGAGCAAACTTCATATCGTGAACATAACGACTCTCTTGTCAAAAGTCAATGTGCCAAAATGTTCACTTTATTCTGCTTCCAGGAGAGCTAGAAATTGTCTTCTTGAAGGAAACGGTATCATTTTCTTGCCTCGGCAAATTTTGTAGAAAAACTCAATTAGGTTCTAGAGAGCTCCAATGAAAAGCTACGTTGCGGCTTTCTCAAAAAAGCCGCAAAGCGGCTACGCCAGTAGATCAAAAGAGACTGTAATGTTGATTTAGCGAAGCCGCTATGCGGCTTCTTTTCTTAAAAGCCGCTACGCGGCTTTTCATTTGATCTCTTCAGAACCTGACTCAGGTTTTCTACACAGGTTGCCGAGCTCAGTATACGCTGTATAAAATTGGCTTATTGATAAAGTGGTGATGAAAAATAGCCCGTTGAAAAAGTCATCGCCTTAGAAGAACCCTCAATTCGCTGCCTAAACTGGGCGCCTGGTCCAATGGACACGGCAATGTTCCACTACATGAAGGAAACGATGATTAAAACGGACACAGATGCGGAAATGTGGCGCAACATGCAACCTGTCAAGACGGCCGTGTCTGCCAAAGGGAGCGGGTCCATTTTCAAGACAGTAATCTCTTTTCGCCCAAATTAACTCAACCGACACTCAAGCCGAATCTATGTCCAGATAAATGGCTGAAGCTGTTTTCGGGAGATTTTTTTCCTTTAAAAATGGATCGAATTTTACAGAAGTAATTAAATCAGCAACTGTTTTTTCCTACTTGCCATAAGAAAAACAGTAGTGTCGCCTCGGCAACCTTAGTCAGGGTTTAGAATCTTATGAAAAGCCGCGTAGCGGCTTTTTCAAAAACGAAGCCGCAAAGCGGCTTCGCCAAAGTTTATCACTCAAGAAATTATTTACAGTGTGAAGCACTTTTAAGGCCGATTTTCGGATGACAGCGAATTTCAAAAGTGGCCTTAAAATGGATATTTTTTGTCTCGAGTTGGATGACAACAAATTTTTTCCTTTCTTGGGAAAAAAGATAAATGAGGCTTCATAAAATTATTCGGAACTTAACTTTCTTTCACTGTTTTTGGAATATACTTTCAATTTATTTCCTAAAAAATAGAAATAGTATTATTTTTTTCGTTCGAACAAAGTATGAATTGTATCCTTTTTCAGAATGTGTCCTTTAAATTGAACTCAAAATGATTCTTTCTTTCATTTTTTCAAAAATAATATTCGTAAAGCATGTCTTAAAAAAGAATCAACATGGCAAATGCTTAGAAAAAAGATATGAAGAGATTCTAGTGAAGACGTCAAAGAATAGTGACGTGAAGAAGACAGTTGCTGGGCTTTTTCAAACAAAAAATGGTTAAGACATTCATCTGCGTATTTTTACACGCCTATATAATGATTATAGATTGAAACACTTGGACTCAAAATCTAAGTGAAAATTCAAACAAGACCAAAAGAAATTATCGTTAACCCCCATCGGCCAGCGTCCATTGTGGACAATTTTTATTTGGCCATATCTTTTTGGTCACATTAGATAAACATGATGACAAGTAATCATCAGAAAGCACACAAAATTTTCAATCGAAGAGGTCTAAAACAACGAAAAATATCATACCTTCTTTTTGGACATTTTGGCCGATGGGGGTTAATTGAAAAAATCGAGAAAAAAGCATCGAAAAATACCAAAAAGAAAAATAAAGATAAAAACACAAGGCATCACGCAGTCGAAGATAAAAAGCTTTTTCAAGTGACACTGTAATTTTCGGATTTTGAACTGAAATTGAAGGGAAAGTGGCCTTAAAGTGGATTTTTTTAGGATGACACATTTTGGGAATTTTTCGAAAAAGTGGCCTTAAAAGGGTCGGCCTTAAAAGTGCTTCAAACTGTATGCTAGCGAAGCGGCTTAACGGCTTCGTTTTGCAGATAGCCGCTACGCGGCTTCTTATTTTTATTTTTCAAAATCCTGACTCAGTTTTTCAAAACAGGTTGCCGAGGCCAGAGTACAGTCTTCATTGTATTGATAAGACTGTAAAAGTACAGTAAACTTTGTATTTTAATCTTGACCCAAATTAAAGTTTTAGTCGACATTCTTGAAAAAGACGAGTACATCAGGTAAATGACGACGAAATAAATTCGTCCATTTCTCTGGGGATGCGAACTACTTTAGCGAAACTACAATTTGGTGGATAGACAAAGTGCTACAGTTGCTCCATCCTACAGTGCTGACGGCACAGGGGCTTTGATTGTCGCTTAAACTTAAGGAATAGAGTCCAGGATCGTTGATGAGGCCCCCTTGATTATGATAAGAGTTAGGGTTAGGCTTAGACGTTATTTCGCGTTTTTGACCAATCAGAGCTGGGCGCGCGCGTTTCAATCGAGAATTTTCGGCGCTAATTCTGAAGTTTTCCCGTCAATATTAGAGAACGAAAATATATCCTTCAAAAAGCTTCTGGAAAGATCTTTTCAACAATCGAGGAAGTCCTTAAGAATTCATTTTTAGCGGCGAATACATCGACCTTTTCGATGTCTGGCAAGCCGAAGACAAACAAAAATCAACAAATGAAAAATAAATGTTCCACGAAAAGAAGTTTCTTGTTTATTCTTTTAAAAAGTAAAATTGCCAAAAAACAGGCTCTGACAAGATTTCCTTTGAAATAAAATTTTAATTCATTCTTCGCTTGTTCCGCAAGTGCAGCCAGCGCCACATCCACAGGCAGAACCGCAGGTGCAGTTTGGATTTCCGCCAGGGCAGGAGCCGATATCGTCTGCAAATTAATTGATAAAAGACATTTTTACTCTTTGCAAAAAAAAGTAAACAGCAAATTATTTAATGAATTCATATAAATGTAAATAATAAATTTGAACCTGGGTCAGAAAAATGCATTATCTCTAATTATTCGATTTCTTTTCGAGCGAATGTCGAATTCTAAAGGCGCCCGCCAGAGATGAGGGAATAAAGGGCGTTGGTCAATTCCCCGGCCAAAACTTGCGGTTTCTGTTGTTATTTTCGGTTAATCCGATTTCGATGAATTTATCATTCGAATTTTAATTTCGCTATTTCAAGTTCTAATTTGCCATTTTTGCCTAGAAAACCGCGTTTTTTCGAGCTCTTTTTCAGCTAAAATAACAGTTTAGATACTGTACTATCTGCTCTCCCTGTATTTTCTTTCGGCGGTCAGGACAAAAAAGGGATGACTGTAAGAAAAGGCTCATCCATCATTCTGCTGACACTGTTCATTATACTGCATAATTTATGCGCATGTCATGACTACAGCCATACTAAAGTCACCGAGTGTATATTGACAGGTTCAATTATTCTTGTCGATGTGACAGATTTTCTGCGATACTTTCTTCTTACTGTACAAACCCAATAATACAGTATAGCATTTCCGATAAAAAATAGTGGATTTTCCAATAACTGAAATGACAGATTTTCAAATATGCATTTTTTACATACTTTTTACCAAAAAACGGATATTTTTTTCAACTAAAGGACGGAAATTTCAATCATTTGATATTTATGAATTAAAAATTTTTTATGTGTAAGCGATCATTTTAAATAAATTACCCCTTATCTAGTCTCACAAGAAAATATTCTCTAGTCAGGCTCATTTCCGAGCTATTTGACCGTCAAAATTGGTATTTTTTTTTTAAAGTTTTTTGCCGACTTTTTATTGAGAAAACAGAAAACGGCTCTGACATGTTTAAGGGAAAATAAAAATCTATCCATAAACCCCATAAAAAAGGCTCAACCATTTATAGGTTCAGAGTTATTCAAGGGGGAAGTTTTTCAAATCGAAGGTTGGAGCCCTTAATTAAAACTATCACCCTAGCCCCTGAATTTTCAACCCTAACCTTCAGCAGTTTTATCATTACTTATCCTAATATTAATTTTATCAAATAAGGACCCCCCCTTAAATCACTGATTTCGTCAAAATCAATTATTGCATAAGAAAAAATAATCAGAAAATAAACTGAATTCGCCCCAGACAGCACCGTCTGAGTGTCATTTTTCTAAAAACAATGCATCAATAATCAGAACAAAAAAAACCACAGCAAATTAAGTAGGCAGAATTCTGATTCAACGTTCCAGCGAGTTGCAGAATTGATAAAATGTTTTCGTAGATGGCGCGAGAGCGCGAACTACGAGTGTATTTAAAACACCGTCAAGTCGATGAAACGCAAATTTGATGAGAACAGAATATTCGCTCATGAGACTTTTCGTAAGTTCAAAATATTGAAAATCAAGAGATTAACAGTCAAAAAATCTTTTCTGGAAAAAATTAAGGGTGTCATAATGTTAACTTATCGAAAAAAAAAATCTTTTTGAAAATCTCGATTATCGAAGGATACCCCCTTAAGTTGGCAAAAAAGATGTTTTTCGAGAAATTTTTTCTTCAATATTTGATCATAAAACTCCTAACTATCATTGTGACACCCTTATTTTTGGCTTAAAAAGAAGGCTTTTACGATTATTTTTATGATAAAAATCATCATTTTTGTTTTTTCATTATTTTTTACAGAAATTTTTTCCCGAAATGTCAAAAATGCTATCAATTTCTTGATATTTTCGACTACTGTATCTTTAAATTCTCCTTTAGTTCCTTGTTCTATCACTGGACGCATTCAAGGTCAATACACGAAACAACAACTTAGACCAGTGGGCCAGCACAGCCGCCAGTCAGGTACCAGCCAATAATTCATCGAAGCTGTCTTTGCTCATCAAAATGAAATTAACATTCATTGAAATCGACGTCTCCCGTGTCGAAAATATGGTTTTTTCAGGGCTGGGATCCGTCGCTAAATGGAGATATTTCGAGATTATTGTCCGATGCTGGCATCGCTCGTAATTTGAAGAAGTTTACGAATATGAAATTTAGTAAACGAAGTCCGAGTAAGTCCCTTTTTGAATCAGGTCAAAATTGATGAAAAAGGAAAAAAAAACGTCATTTTTTTCAGGCTTCGAGGATGGATATTATTGAACTTCGATTTTGTGCAGACGTTACTGACATTCATTACTGTATACGTGCGTGTGAGTGAATAAATTCTTTTAACACATATTGATATATTTATTGCTCTGAGCAGAATATGAGTCGATGACTAGAAGCAGAAAAATTGAAATGAAATGAGATGAAGTCACCAGCATTTTTGAAGGATAAATTAGTAGTTACAGTTCTGTACAGTGGAAGATTCTGTTTCAGGTTCCTTCTAGCAGGATATATTTTCAGATTTTATGTACTGTAAGAAAAGCTATCTACAAGCAATATATGATATAGAAATTATATTATATAATAAAGGTATTATAAAATAAGAAATATAATATATATTTTATGAACAATTTAAATATCGTATCGTCTGAGAGCCATTTTGATGGGCCGCGGTTACGAATCGACAAAAAATCAAGAAAAAATTTGCGTGGGCGGGTTCTTGGCTGCTTATCTGTCGGTTTTGCGAATCCGGGCTTCTCGTTGGTTGAAAATTTCCACGGAAAATTTGGGGGAGGTGTCTGGAACCGACAAAAAATTTCGAAATATTTTGCGTTGAAATTTTCAACCAATCAGAAGCCTGGATTCGGCTCACTGGCCAATCAGCAGCCGAGTAGCCGCCTACGCAAAATTTGTCGAAATTTTTTTGTCGGTTCCAGACGCCATCCCAAAATTTGCCGGTATTTTTCTTTGACCAGATTTTCTTTGACCAGAAATCGAAATATTTTCTTTCAAATCAGAAAAAATAAGGGTGTAGCTGTACAAAGTCGAAGAGAAAAATGATTTTTTAAAGTCTTTATTATTTCTAGTTACGATGACTAGCAGTTAACTAAATTAGTAGATCAGATTTAAATTTAAAAATTATTAGAATGATGAATATAATATAATTTGGTAGATAGCCATTTCTGAGTGAAAAATCGAAGTGTAAATTATCAATTAAGGATAGCAGATGAAGTCGACAGAATTCGAAGCGAGACGATTACGGTTACTCCCTAAAATATTCATAAATAGATTCTCACTCGGACACACAGTCAGGTTCATTATTAGTTAATTTGCGGCGCCGTAATCTGCTGCGGATTATGCATGTCGCTGGGCAGCGTCGCGAATTTAAGGATGTACTACCTGGGACGATTCCCTGAAGAGTTGGGTTGAGATCGCGGCGGCCAAAGCGCGTGTTTCTTGGCGGCGGCGGAAGGATTGGAAAGTCCACAGAATTGTGCACTGAAAAATTCATCGCATTGTTCTTATTTTACCTTTGTTCTTCCGAAGCTGTTAAGTAAGGGGGTGTACCTTGTCTTGGAACATTCCAAACTGATGAGTGAAGCGAAATATCCCGGTTGCCGTAATTTCTTACTCGTTCGTACAGGCGAATTGGGCTCGGCAACCTGTGTAAAAAACGTGAGTCAGGATCTGAAAAATCTCTTGCGAAAAGCTTCGTGGCGGCTTTTTTTTGAAAACGAAGCCGCGAAGCGGGTTCGCCAGAGATGTTGTCTGGAACCGACAAAAAAATTTCGACAAATTATGCGTGGGCGGCTACTCGGCTGCTGATTGGCCGGTTTGCCGAATCCAGGCTTCTGATTAGTTGAAAATTTCCACCCAAATCTTCGTTTTTAAAAAAGCCGCTACGCGGCTTTTCGCAAGAGATTTTTCAGATCCTGACTCAGGTTTTGTTCACAGGTCGCCGAGCCCAACGGGCGATCTTAATCCCTTCAGATCATCTTTCCTTTTTTTTCATCTTACCAGAATTATGAGTACAAGTAAAGTTCTGATAAGACATGTAGGGAAGCGTCGCTGGATATCTAAAGAATCAAGATTTTTTGAAAACAAGGAAGAGAACCTCTCTTGAATTCTCCGTCGAGGAGGGTTCCAAATCCAAAAAGTTTCGTTTCCCGAGTTGTAAGGTCGTTGAATCGACATCCCTTTTTCAGGCTCTTGAGTTGGAATTGAGAAGAAAGTGAGAAACGGAGAACCGGTCCTGGAGGATGAGGTGCATCCCGACGAGTTGGGGAATTTGGCCGAAGTGGGTTGATCAAATTTTGACTTTTGAAGACGCCAGTCCAGTCTCGATAATCACTGAAGGTCATGAATCATGATGGATTAGTGTTTTCGACTCGAAACTTTATAAACTCACTGTTTATTGCTTGTTGTTCGAACCGGCTCGTAATTACTCAAGACCAAGTTCATCCTTTTACTTTTGAGTTATATAAAATAAATTTATTAATATATTTGATAAATAATTTACAAAACTCTTTCACGCTCTGTTATCTTTCTCTCTAACCGCTTAGTTTTTTCTTTTTACTGATTCTCCTCAGAATAAGCGATGAAGATACCGCTCAAGTCAATGTCAATGCCAGGGCAACAAGGTATTTAGTTTCGCTATTTTTCAGCAACTTGCACCGCCCTCTTCATTACTCGTCATTTTCATTTTCTCTCCGTAAAAAGATCTTTCGGCAAAATCATGAAGGAATAATTTGCCGGACTTGGGAACCAAATTGAAGTCTCAGGGGGCAAAAATCGGTCGATTTTGGCTCTCTTTGAATTATTTTTATCAGTTTCCTGAGCATAAAAATTATTACTTATTTCATATAACAGCTGACGAAATCTGAAGAAAAATGCTCGAGTTCAAATTCGAACCTTCCTGAACTACACTGTCATATTCTTGAAACTTCGGAGCCAGGAAATATCTATCTCCGCGGAGGATTAAATTTTCTCAAGAAAAGAACTGTTCACTGGAACTATTCCTCATTCAGAGCTCAAATCATGAGAAAAATACAACGAGAACGCATCGAAAAGGTAACTTCTTAACATTCTCTCTATTTTCTTCAAAATCAAGGTTCGTTGCATTTGCTGCGAATCAGAGGGCGAGTTATTTGTCTCCAACAACGAGGTCTATCTCTATCCAATCGAGCCGAAGCTCTATCGAAAGCGAGAAAAAAGGTTCAAAATCTCGAACCAGAGTTCCGAATTCACTTCACCCAAGATTCACCTAGGCGAAGGTGGGTGAAGGTGAAAAATTTTCACCTCACCTCATTTTTATCAAAAATTTCCAAAAATCGGCTTTCACTCAACTTCACCTGGTGAAATAAGGTGAAAATTCATTTTCAAAAAAATATTGGTGAGATGAGGTGAGGTGAAAAATTTTCACCCTATTTCACCCCAAGGTGAAGGTGAGTGAAAGTCGATTTTCGAAAAATTTAGGTGAGGTGAGGTGAAATTTTTTCACCTTTACCCACCTTCACCAAGGTGAATCATGAGTGAGGTGAATTTGGAGCTCTGTCTCGAACCATGGCTTTGGAACCTTGAACCAATACATCAACCTGGTAATTTTCGGTTCCATCTTTTGGATTCTGATCATGATCGCTTCGAATTTGATCCACTGGGATATGGTCAAATATCGCCCTTCTTTTGGATCCGCCTGTGTCATGAAATTCAAGAGCTGCATCAAAAACGATTACGATTTCGATGCATGCGCTGCTTCTTTGTACGACTGCGGCGACATTTATAACGACAACTACAGAGAATTCATCTTTCCAAGCCCGAAAATCGCGCTCGTCAAAAAGCGCAAAGCAAAAAATGAAACCTTTACTGATTTCGAAAACGAAGAAAACAAAAACCAATGCATGTATCTCTTCTCAATCGAAACCGCTCTTTGCCGAACCCTCTGCGATCCAACAAGTCTCACAAAGCTGGAGGACCTGACAAACTGCCGCGAAATCTGTCGAATAATCGGGTCAAAGTACTCCAACGACGTTTGCCCTTTTCAGAAAAACTGTCCAAAAGGTTGTCCCTGTCCCGATTTTCAATGTCGAAAGGGATTCCCGCCAAAGACACTTGTCGCTTATGAGAAAAAGACGATTGCCGATTTGAATGCGGAACCTACTCTTGGGGCCTGGGCTCGGCAACCTGGGTAGAAAACCTGAGTCAGGGTCTGAGAGATCTCTGATGAAAAGCCGCGTAGCGGCTTCTTCAAAAATAAAGCCGCAAAGCGGCTTCGCCAGATTTTGAAAGATTTTTTTGCGAAGCAGGTTTGCGGCTTTATATCTGAAGAAGCCGCTACGCGGCTTTTCTTCAGACATTTTTCAGACCCTGACTCAGGTTTTCTACACAGGTTGCCGAGCCCAGCTTCGAGCAATGCTGGTCAGTTTCGACGAAAAAACAGTCGAAACCACCGAGCTCTTTGTTTTCGGAACTTATGACGGATCCGTCTGCACGACATTTTTCCAAGGCCATTTTTACATTTTCGCCACGATTGTTATTGGAAACAACAACGACTACTCCCCTGAACTGACTGCGAATTTGTTCAAATACGACACGGAAGGCCGCAATGAAGGGGTTTTGTCGATGAGGGAAGATATGCCGGGCTTTGTTTTTGGAAGATATGGCACTTCTTTGTGCGGAAATGGAATTCTTAGCGCTCAAGTAAATGAGCCGGTTGTTGAGAGGATTTTTGTCTGTGGACCGAGGGAGAATCAGTAAGAGCTAGAAAACCGTAAATCGTTGAGTTGATTTGATTCTAGAGACGTTTGTTATACAATTGATGAATCGCGAGCTTCAGGCCTTGCAGAAGTTCTTTATCGAAAACCGCTTCAATTTACCTTCGAGGATTTTCAAAAAAGAAGTCATGGGTACACTCATAATCAAAAATTCGTATGTCTCAATTCTAGCTCCATCCTTTCATCGAAAATTTCAGACGATTTTGAACCTTTCTCGGCAGCAAATCCGGGTTGACACTTTTCATGGCATTCAACGAAGAGAGGAATCGTGGACGTCTCAAAATTTCTACCTCCCATCGTATTTTGACGAGCGGAAACATGTTGATAATGTCTTTCTCGATGCGTATCCGGATCGGGAGGGAATCACTTTCGTCACTTCTTCGAATCAGATTTATGATTGGAGATATATCTACTTTCATGTTCACAGGTTAGTTTTGAATATAAGGCAGGGCTCGGCGAGCTATGTAGAAAACCTGAGTCAGGGTCAAAAAAAAATTCTCATGAAAAGCCGCTAGAATTTGAAAATCGACCTAAAAAATAATTTTGCAAAGCCGCTTGGCGGCTTCGTTTAAAAAATAAAGCCGCAATGCGGCTTTTCATTGAAAATTTTTGACTCCCTGACTCAGGTTTTCCTCACAGGTTGTCGAGCCAAAATATCGGGTTATCGCTATTTTTTGATTTCAGACTTCATCAAGGTCATTGGACGATAATTTCTTCCTACAAATCTGATCGAATAGCCCCCGATCGATACGACAAATCGTACCTTTACACCTTTATCGTTTCCGGAAAACTAATGGTCATGGAAAATCAACTCGGTTTGAAGGGAAAGAGGCTCGTCCCAACATTCATCGTTTTCGACATCATCGAAGAAGAAATGAATCGATTTACGTACGAGTCATCTTCGAACGGGCTCGGCAACCTGTGTAGAAAATCTGAGTCAGGGTCTGAAAGAAAAAAAAAATCCGAAAAATTGTTAAAAATCTCATTAAATCTAAAGAAATATTAAATCTAAAAAAGCCGCTTTTCATTAACTATGTTTCAGACCCTGACTCAGGTTTTCTACACAGGTTGCTGAGCCCAGATTTTCGATTTTGAGCTATTTTAGTGTCCTAGCGTATTAGAATAAAAAAACCCTTTGTCATCTGTTTGGTCAGTTGTCCGGGCGCCGAACCTTTTTTAACGACTTCGCGCGACTCCTTTGAGCTGTTTGAAAAGGTCAATAAACAGAAAAACAACAAAAAGAACTCCATTTCGAAGCCCCTTTTGATCAATTTTCGAAAAAAAATGATGCGATTTTCCGTCGCCTTTCTTCTTTTTGCGGGTGTTTTTGGTAAAATGAACAGAGAAGCGCATCGGGACCAGTTTTTGGAAGCGGATGAAGATGTCATGTGGTCGACGTGCATTTTTGGAATTGGGGCTGTTGTTGTTCTGCTGGTTGGATCGCTGGTGGCGAAACAGATCAAGGACAATTATGAAATGGTCAAGTTGGTGCTGATGTTTCAGATTCCACTGCTGCTGCTTTATCTCTACGATCAAGGTAAAATCGTTGAGATCAAGAGGAAAACCAAATAAATTAAGGCTACATGAAATTCTCACCAGACCGGAGCTATCAACGCCGCACTACAAGCAATTACTGGCAGAGTTCACGGCGATACTGAACAGTTAAAAATTTAAATAAATGCTTTCCAAGTATATTATTGATGAGCTCTTAATGAACAGGTTTAATGTCTTCCATGGTAAAAGGTCTTTTGCATTTTGGGCAATATCCACATTGTCTATCTACGCAAAGCATTTCCAGGCAAGATCCGCCAAATTGATGACCACATGAATTTATTCGCGCCAAAAAATGATCAATGTAATTTGAGTCGTTTTTCTTGTAGAGTATCATGTTATGTGAACATATATCGCTTCTCGTTCTGTTTCTTGGCCTCCTTTTTCTTAAAAAAAAAGGCTTATCTTTGGATTAAATTTTTTTAATAGTACCTTGGTTTTTTCTCCGTTATTTGAGATTTCGAGGTATTTTGATTTTCCTTGGTATTCTTAGGATGAAGAGATAAATTCTCCATTCCTTCTTCGATTTTCTTTACAGCTTGATTGCCGTCTTTTGTTTTCTTTCCTCGTTGTCTTCGTCTTCTTTTCTGTTTATCTTCTTTTGGCACCTCTGGCAAAGATTGATTTTGCTGCTTCTCAGCTGAATCGACCACGCTCTTGTCATCTTCAGCATGGGACTGATCTTCATCACCATGAAGATAGTCGATTTCTATAGAAGAACTGACTTTTAGCTCGTCCTCCTCAGCATCCATATACTTCGAAATAAGCGACAACGTCGTGTTTGGATCAAAAATAAACGTCTGAACTTCCATTCTATCCTTCTTTATCTTCTCATTTATCATAATTCTCAACTCCTCATTCGATAAATTCGCCTTCCGTTCTTCACCTTAAATCGGTAATTAAGGGCGTCAAAACGATATTTTCATACTCAAAGTCGCCCGAATCGCATCAATAGCAGTTTCAACTGGTTGCATAAATTTCTTACACTCGTGAATCAAAAGCTCCAAATTCTTCAATTCTAGCGACAGTTCTTTTTCAGAATTGGCTCTCTCGTTTTTCAGAAGATCCATTTTCCGTGAAATCTCTTGAAAAAGCCATGAAAAGCCGCATATTTGCTCATTGCACATTTTAAAAAAGCCGGGTGAGTAAGTATTATCCAAATTTATTGTATTGAAACATTTTTTTTTTTGAATTCAGGAGAAAAAGCTTGAAAAAAGAAACAGACAGAGAGAGAAAGTTGATAAAATAGATATGCAGACTTGTCGGAAAAAGGAGAAGGCCATATTATTGTATGTCGGAGGAATTGGAGAATTGATTGGGACTCATCACTTTTGGAGTTGTTTTTTATTCGACGGGGCTGAAAATTTCGCGAAGAACTGGGTTTAACTGATCGTGGCAGGAATCGGAGAAGGCGATTAAATACGGACGGCAGGAGACGGAGAGGCGCCGCAGCTCGGAGAGAAGGAACATAAGCTCCTGAAAAGAGGGATGATTTGGGGTCTTTTTAGCCCCCTCGACTTTTGATATAGCATACCCCTGTGTTCTTTGAGTGTTGAAAATGACGACGTGACTCGCAAATGAGTCATCTTTTTGTTGTCACGTCGTCATTTTGAACACTTTAAGAATACAGGGGTACACTATATCAATAATCAAGGGGTCCAATGGGGCATGATTTATCAACAATTAAAGAAGGCCCTCTTGTAGAATCAGACTTACGGCGAAAATATTTCGTTTTGATTTTGCTCCCCGTCGCGCATCCAAAATTTCTTTCAGTGTCATCGCATATGATTCCTCAAAAAGGTGGTACTCTTCCTTGATTTCAAAAAACCGCCAACCTGAATTTGAGACAAACTCTCAGCTTTTGAACCTCTGTCTTCTGAGAATAAAATAATCATCAAGGCCTTAATTGAGGACTTCGAAATGGTCAAGAGGAGAGAGGACTTACCAAGGCCTTTTCTTCTTCGCGAAGTTGGAGGGAATAGATTGATTTGACGAATTTTTGGAATTTTTCTAGAAACGATGAAGCGACTCCTGCTGCAGTGAGCTTGTGAACTGGATACGAACACTGGCCGATTTCGATCTGGCCTTTTTCGCAGTTGTAGAAATCGCAGATGTTGAGCAAGTGAACCTAAGATATTTTTTGTTTTATGGTTTTGCCGAAATTTCTTTACCTCAACAGCCGCATTTCTAATTATTATAACTTGATCTTGCTCATCCAATTGCTTGAAATCAGGCACTTCCTTCACAAAATTAACCACATCCTAAATTCCTTCTTCAAAAAAGGTCCAAAAGTTTCAACTTACAAAAGTCATTGAAGTAGCGACATCAGCGAGGTGCAGAATTTTTTCCATGTCGATTGAAATTTCGATGATTTGTCTGCTTTGATTTCTGAGGACGACTTCGAATTTCACGTCTAAGCCTTGTTTCGCTAGAAGAAAGGGATGGTGTGTACCTGATTCGGAACTATAGCTGTTGCTGTCGCGTTGTCGATTGAGCGATTTCCAGTTGATGAAGAAGTCGGCGTTGATGAATTCTTCCACGCGCATTTCTTTTGCAAAACATTTTCTATAAAACCGACTGAAAATCACTGTAACAAGAAAAATCCATACTTGTAAGCTTTGACGATGAAGGACATTCGGTCGAGCTCTTCGGAGCTGAGAGGTGAGACGGGATTGATGCTTCTTTTTATTCTGAAGAAAAGACGGTTTATTTCCGCATTTATACGATGCTAGTGGAGAAAAAGACAAAATAACTGGTCATAATTCGTCTGTAGATAACTAATCTTAGACATAGCGATCCGTCAAAAAATAATAACAAAACGAGACTTAGTGACCGACAAACAAAAGATTATTGAAAATTTAAGGGGGTCTGACGTTTTAAATTTAAAAAAATTATTAAGAAGGGAATTCATCCTTACTGTAAGTGACAGTTGTTATTTTTGAAATTCGAAAAGACAAAAAAGAAAAGATAATTGCTATTTTGTCTTGAATAAGTTTACTTAGGTGCATCTGTCCGTCGCTGGACCGTAAAATCCCGTGGAAGAATCTATTCTTTCTGCTGCCTTACTTGTTTCTTTCAATAATTTTCTTCTTTTGCAAAAGTTCGCCTTCATTCAAAACGCATTGCGCCTTCATCCCAGCAGCGCGGCACTTGTCAAGTCGGCAGGACTGGCACTTCTTTCGGTTCTCGCGGTTGATCTCGCAGTTGCCACCATATCGTAGAAGAATTCAACGTTTTGTCAAAGGACCGTTAATACGCTACGGCGAAAATTGCCGGTTCAAATCCTAAGTCACCAGTTGTTAAAAACATCCAATCGAGTGAAATCAACGAAGAGTAAGGAATAAATTCTGGTGACTGGATCCGAGAGAGAGGGGTGTCCGAGCGTCTTTGACAGCTTATTTTTAACACATGAAATTAAAGGGATCTCTTTCTTATCTCTAGTAAGGTAGTTATCGTCTATTTTAAGATAATTTTGAATAATTAGGCCCCTTATTCTTAAATAAAAAAAAATTTTGAGAAGATAATTTATGAGCAATTTTTTTGAAAATTTATCATTGTGACACCCTTAATTTTTTTTGCTTATTTTAGTCGGAAAACGGGAAAATTAACGATTTTCCTGACAAAATTTTAGCGAAATTATAAGTTTAGGCGCTTTGTAATTGCTGTTATCGAACAATAAAATAAGGGTGGGGCAATGATAAATCTAACCAAAAAATCTTGCATAAAAAATTTCGAGGGACACCCCTGCCTTCAACTAAAAAGGGCACATAGACGCCAGCATAATTGAACCAGAATTAATGATCTCTGTGAGTATCCCTTAAAATTTTAATACAATTACATTTTTAAGCCATGTGCCCTATTCGAACTCATAATAAAAGATAAGAAAAAGGATTTTCTACTTTGAGAAAAACAATTGAACCCCATACCCGCAAGCAAATTTCTTGTCCCCACGGATGCAACGACTAAGGTGTTTAAAATAAAAATGTCAATCGTCGAATTTATCGGAAAATATAAAATTAGAACTAACCGGAAGAATCCTGATTGAAATTAAAGATTTGGTCTTAGTTTGAAGCTTAAGGGTGTCAACAAGGTTGATTTTTTTTACGAATTTAAAAGTTTTTTTTAATCGATTTTGAAGGGAGGCCCTTAAAAATAAGGGTATACAATCAAAAATAAAATTGAAGAAAAAAGGCTTGTTGACACCCTTAACTAAATTTCGATTCCAATTTAATGGCATTTTAGGCTAATTAGGTTAATTTAAATTATGACGGGAATAATCAATCCTGAAAGAGAAGGAGTGGTCTTGAATATGATTTTGGTCGTTTTTAAAAGAGTCTCTTTAGCGCAAGAAGAAAGTTTCTAATTCTTAGAATTTTTCTAAGTTTTGGATTTTTTGAAATTAGATTCAAAATTTTTTAATTTTTCCTTTGCAGCCCTCGCACGTCAATGCATTGAAATGGTAGCCGGTTGATTTGTCCGAGCAGACAGCGCAGAGCTAGAATTTTTAATGATTTTCTTGCTTTGGAAAAGGATAGGCTAGGGACACCCTTATTTTGATTTCGCTTCATTCTCTCATGCTTTACGTCCGAGCTAAAATAAGGGTGTCTCTAGTCTTTTGGTTATGAAAACTGGTATCTATCTGAAAATAGAATAAGGGTGTCACCGTCTTATTATTTTTTGAAATTCTTACAGAAAGTCCCATTTCAAGAAGGCTTTGAGGAAATTTAAGACGGTAACACCCTTATTCTATTTTTCTTTTGAATAGATACCAGTTTTCTTAACCCAAAGCGTAGAGACGCCCTTATTATAAGCTTGGATTTAAGGACCCCCCGTCAGCTTTTTCCTCCGAAAAATTGAAATTTTTAAAAACACCATATTTTTGGTTCTTTATGTACCCTTAAGTTAAACTTGCTTCAAAAACTTGATATGACGAAGATTTGACCAAGAAAAATCAATATTTTTGCCAAAATTCGTCAATTTTCGGCGAAATTCCGAATTTTCAAATGCGATTTTAAGGGTGAAGGAGTCGAGATAGACCCCAAAAAATAAAGCCTTAAAATCGTTTTTTGACCCATAGAATCCATTTCCGGGGTCAAAATTTTAAAATTCCGAAATTTGATTTTTCAAAAAAGCTGACGGGGGTCCTTAAAGCGTGAGACGAGTATGTTCTAACTTAAAAACTAACCAGTTGTTTTGAATCTCCACTGCCTCGATTCCTCCTTCTTGTTACAATCTTCTCCAGCGGCTGACTGTTTGACTCGGTGGGGGATGACGCGGATGAGCCGTGATAAGACTCGACGGAATTCTGAGGCGACGATTTCTAAAAACAGAAATTGTCTCGAAGGCAACAAAGAGGAGTTCAAACCTGGAGATGTTCATTTTGCCGCTCTCGCGCGTCAAAAAACTTGTCGAAAAAGTCGGCGTAGGTGTCGTCTAGCTCGTCGCCCTGGATGCGTTGGTTTTGATGATCATCGCTGCTTTTCACATTTTTTGATATGCGACCGACATTTACATTTTCCTGAAGCTACCGCTTCTAAATACAAGCCTGTGTTGAGCAATGGACTTAAAAATAGACTCTCACAGGTCTTATACAACCGCTTATATAATATTTTCAAGAGTAGGGTGAGAGTAATCACAAGATATGAAACTATATATATAAATTTACAAGCGATTTTCCAGCCGGCAACCTGTGTTGAAAACCTGAGTCAGGGTCTTAAGATCTTTAATTTTTTTTCGATTGCAATGTTATAGCGAAGCCGCTTTGCGGCTCCACTTTCGAAAAAAGCCGCTACGCGGCTTTTCATTTGAGATATTTGAAACCCTGACTCAGGTTTTCTACACAGGCTCCTGAGCACAGTCTCAATAAGAGTACTAAAAACTCAAATACATTTTCATGGGTTTCAGGTAAATTATGGATAGTGATACCCTTATATAATTTGATAAAAGGAAGCTGAAACCTTCATCGTTTCTTTGCAGAGAAACAATAAGGGTGTGACTTTGTTATCATAAGCAAAAGGAGAATCTTTTTCAGGATCGAAAAAATGCAATAGAGCGTGAAATTTTATTCCTAAATCAAAGCCCTCCATCGCTCGATTACTTATTTTCCGCTTCAATAAGCCCCCTCCATTTTCTTTTATAATAGCAGTTAAATAATACTTAGCAACTAATTCGTAATTATTGAAATGAAGTTGTTTTTCGCAATCGATTTTTTCGTTATTGTTTTCTTCGTTTTGGTGAAAAATGGCGTCTGAACGCAACTGGGCCAGTTCTCAAATTGTTACATAACTACTAGTTATGTAATAGCTATTACGTAACTAGTCTGGAGGACTATGATTGGTCAGGACTCTCTATTAACTCTCTGGATGACCTGGGGAGGTCGAAAAGTGGCCGAAATCGACGAGAGAAAGGTGAAAAATCGGTAAATACGAGTTATGTAACTAGTTTCAGCGCGTAGAAGCGGAATTGAGCTCGAGATCGAGGCGAAAGGGCCCTCCTGATTGGACAGGGCTAAACCATTGCGACCAATCGAGAGTTTAACAAATGAAGACTGACCTACTTCCGAGATGGACTGCTCGCAGAGGTCACGAATTAAATCTGACCTCGGCCGGACTTTCTTAAAAGTTTAAACTTTAAAGCTTATCTTTCTTTTAGTGCTTATCATTTTTCATCCAACAGCAAGAAAAAATGGCCATTCTAGCCCTCTTTTTTGGAGCCTTTTTTTGAAATAATTGTCAAAAAAGAGAATCGAGATTTTGAGTTCGACTTTTTAGACAGTGACACCCTTATTTTCAATCAAATCAAAACTAAGCGAATCATTCTTTTTACCCGACTTTGGCTACTTCATGAAAGCAGTATTATTTTGACGGAAAAACATGAAGTTCTTAATTATTTTTTCCTTGAAAATTCTAGCTTGGAAACTAAAATTTTCAAGTTTTTCATCATTTTTTTTATGAGCTGAAAGAGCAAACACGCCCTAGACAAGTCAACATTCCATGACCCTGTGCAAAATTTTCTATGTTGTTCATTTTGAAGTCTACTTTTTTTAAACAAGGTCGATCCATGAGATCGATTTCTTTTCATTCAAAAAATGTTATCACGTGATTAATCGTCAGAGTCTATTTAATATAGACCGGCTTTGAAAAAAATCAAGGATGACTAAAAATGAAAACTACAGAGTATGCAAATTATAAATAATTTTTTCAAAAAAAAAATTAAAAATTATTATAACAGTGTGTGAATTTTAGATTTTTTTTGAACTTGACCCTGGTCTGTTTTCGACTTCGAGAAAAAAAGTAGACAGCGCTAAAACAAGTGAAAGAGCTTTTGTTTTCGAGTTTTTATTGCTTGAAATCAAGGAGGAAAATTCTGATTTTGAGTTCCGCCCTTTATTTTCTATTTTTGAAAAATGAATTCTGCTTTATTTTCCGAAAAATGTCCTGCTTACTCGTTCAATCTCAATTTAAACGCATTTTTAATTTTCAGAAGAGGGTTCATGCAGCCTTTTCGTAAATCTTTTATTATTATTTGAACTAAGAAATGTAATAAAAAGAAAAAAAGGGTTAGGCTTTTCATCAATTTCGGCTGGCATGGAGAAAGCTTTTGGCGATAACATTTGAGCTTGGCCGGAAAATTGAAGCTTGAGAGTTGTTGTTTTCGGCTTGATTTGGGTAGACAGGATCGTGGTCGGAGTTCTTGCCTAATCGCGCGTGTTCGTCAGTGTAGCTGCTTCCCTCCTGAGATATTTTTAAAGAAGGGATACTCTTAAAATGCTCACCTTTGGCTTGACGACTTTTCCATCAACATCGAATCTTCTCCTAACTCGATTGAAAGGTCCATTTTTCGGGTCCATCACATAATCGTACAAAACCATGATCCAGCTTTGAAGTTGGGGAACTTCTTCGTAAAACTCAGGTGCGATCTTTCGCAGCTCGGGAAGATGCGAAGCCGGAATGAACGGAAAATCGTGGTGCTCGTTGTGGTAGCCGACGTTGAAGGTTAGCATGTTCAAAGGTCCGTAGTAGGAGAAGGTATCGACACCCTTAATTTTGATATGAATTCTAGAGCTCCAGGGACAATTAGCCGCTTGCGGCTTCGAGTGCAGTTAAATTTAAGCCGCGCCAAGTGCGGCTAAACAGCTCGAAGCCGCAAGCGACTTCTCGGTTTTTCTCAAGAAAAAAAAGTTTAGTCATTTTCTTACCTTGACAAACATGTAGTGCTCTGCGATAAAATGCCCAGCAATTGGATGAATTCCAAGCGAAAGAAAAGTTCCAATGAGCAAATATGCCATCGCCTTTCCTCCGAAAGATCGATAAATCCAAACATCAAAGATAATTTGAACAATCCAATTCTAAATCTCTCATTTTTCGTCGATTTGGGTGGGTTTTACCTTGAATTCGTAGTGAGTTGGAGTCTTGGGGCGGACAATCATGGGCCGAAGCGCGTAGAAAAGAGGGTTTAAAAAGAGCCAGAGGAGTTTGAGTGGACCGTTGGTGAAGAACTTTCCTTCCCATTCTGTTGGTAAATCGGTGTCAAGACCATCTCCGGCCAGGTAGCGATGATGATCTTAAAATTTTCATAAAATTCAGGGTGAAAAACCATAAGCCGTTTGCGGTTCGAGCCAAAAACGCTTGAGCCGCACGAAGCGCGGCTTTTTTGTTTTTTTTTTTGAGCTCGAAGCCGCAAGCGGCTTTTTGATTTTTTCTAGGAAGGTCTTACCAATATGGTACTTTTTAAAAGTAACAGAATAGGGAACTCCAAGAGGCAAATTCGCGACAAAGCCGAAATATCGATTTTTCCACGCGTTTTTGACTCCCGTTCCAAAAGCAGTGTTGTGCCCAATATCGTGAATCGCAAGAGTCAGGGAATGGTTGATGGTTCCGCCGAAGATGTACGCCATGAGGACGATGGTGAACCAGGAAGAATCTTGAAGAAAGTAGCAGGCGAGGACTTGGGCGAAAACCATGGATGTTACGACGAGAATTTCGTTCGGATCTTTTTGGCTTCAGAATAAAATGAAAAAATAAATATTTGCAAACTTTGTTTTTCTTGTGAATAATAGTTGTATAAGGCGATCTAGTGGTCTGTTCCTACGCGAGAAAATAAAGCCTTTCCTGCGCCCATGAGAGTTTTAATCACTGGATATTTCTTGAGCATCAGAGTTCTTCTTTGAGTATGAGGCTGGTCCGAATAAACCCATTCAAAGTCTTCCCTGGTCGTTTTCCCCAGCATCTTTCTCTCTTTTTTAAAAATTGAAATAAGATTAAATCAGATCCAAACGCGCGCGCATTCAAAAAATCAACATCTCAGCAGCAATGACTCTCTCTCTCTTCACTATTGTGCGGGGTAATTACGCAACCACGTACATTTTCATTATTTGGTCTTTTCTCGACTCTTCAGCGGGACAATGAATCGCGCGATGTGAAAGCCTCAGGGCGACCAATTGGGAAGCAGTCGGTTTAGGGTTCAAGGGCGCGGGGTGTGAGTCTTCCTTGATTCCAAAATGGGACAAAAACGAGGAGAAAGGAGTCTTGATTCTGTTTATTTTTTGAAAAGGGTTGATTTTTCATGCATTTTTTCGTCACGTGCAGATTTTAAAAAGACTTGGCGAGATTTACATTTGAACCAAATTCGTCGATTTCGGAGTATGTTGGAGCGGAATCTTAATAGAAATCGTTGATTATGGTTTTTATTTGCTCTGATTACCGTTGAATGGAAAAGGAGCAACAACGCCAGTAACAGATGAATCCGAAATCGGAGCCGGATTTTGATGATGTTGTCGATTTTCAGTCATTTGGACTCCTGGGTCAGCTTTTCGGCTGCTTCTTACGATCCGAAAAACAACGAAAATGAACGCTAGAACAACCAGAATCGAGCCGAGTACTGTCACAAGCATAATCACTTTCCTTAGTTCAATAAATGTTGAAAGCCTCGGCTCGAAAACCTGTGTTAAAAACCTGAGTCAGGGTTCGAAAGATCGGCTTGGCGGATTTTTCTCTTTTACCCTGACTCAGGTTTTTTGTCGGCTTTTGTCTGATCATTATTTTTTGAACTTTCCTTTTTTCCGAAACTCGCGCTCTTCATTTTCTCTATCTTTCTTTTTCGCGAATTGGGCGAGAAAAACCGGCGCTAGCTTGTCCATTCGTCCGAGAAGATCAAAGTAAATGTCCTCAAGATGATCAGCGAGGGTTTTGTCGCAGTCTTCATCCCGTTCTAGAGCTCTAAAATGAGCCAGACAGCTAGAATTGTGCTCAAACCTGGAGTGAAACATCCCTTCATTGGGTAATAAGTGTAAGAGAGCTGCTTTTTCTCTACGCTTTGGTCTTTCCAGTAGTATTCTTGATAATAATAATAGAAGTCTTTGTGATCCGAGTATTTTCTGAAATAAATTGAAAATCTTATTATAAAAGGGGCCTCACTCGAAAATTGGGTGTTTGTCTAAATCCTTCTCGCGGCAATCTTGAAACGCAAGAAGACAGCCACCTTTTTCGTCCAAATCGAAGCCCTTGCATTCCTCGTTGTTTTTGCACTCGTTGTAGCAGTCCTGAGCTCCGAAACCTGTGTTGAAAACCTGAGTCAGGGTCTAGAAAGGCGCGAAAAAGATTTTCTCAGACCCTGACTCAGGTTTTTACACAGGTTGCGGAGCCCAGAAGCAGTCGTCAACGCTCTTGACAGCGATTCTGATTGGTTGCTTTTCCTCTTTGTTGTTGGCCGAACAGGAGCCTTGGTAGAACTCCGTGCACATTGCCACCCCTTAATTTCAAAATGGTAGATAAAGATTGGTACGAGCGATTACCGATGCACTTGTCATCCTTTTTGATGCACTCGTAATCGTTAGTTTCTTCATTTGGCTTGACGATTCGATGGCAAAACTCTCCATCATTACAGGTATTTTTTTCAAGGCACGGGTGCGCTAGAATTTTTTCTAATTTTCGACCCGTTCGACTCAAAACTCACGATTTCCCTGGCGACAATGAGTGCTGTAATCGTACTTGTAGCCCATATCGCAGCATTGGTAAAGATGCTGACCCTCTGGGACGCAATTTTCGGTCGGATGGCAATTGTGGTTGTCCGAGTAGCAAGGACTCTCTGCATAAGGATCCTCCTTGTGATATCCGTAGTAGTAGTAGCTTCTTGAGCAAACTGTTTTCTCCGCGGCAAATAAGAAAAAGAACGAAAGCTTTTTCATCTTGAAAATCTCGAAAGAAGAAACCAGGATCTTATCTGGATTTACTGAAAGGTCTCTCTTCGCAAGGAGGAGTTTTACGATCGTGACATTTGGAACTAACGCAATGATTTTTACCAAATTCAGTCGAAGAGGAGAGGTACTTCCTTATACATTTAATCGTCTTAAGAGATATTAACATGCTTTATATACATGATTAAGAATGGAATCAAGATTGGATAACTTGATTGCTTTGAATAAGAAAGTCTCCTCGATTATCACTGAGCTCGGTGGGACTCCTTATCAACTAACTATTGTTCAAGGCAAAGTTGTTCTTTCCGAAGCTCTTCGGCCCAAATCAACTAAACCGAATCCCGCCCGAACAATTCCCCTTCTAGAGCCAGACTCTGGCGTTTTCTCGACTCTGATTCTTCAACCTCCGATTCAGCAAGCGAAAATGAGACTTCAAAGCGCAAATTCAGATAAGAAAGAAATATTTACCCCATTTTTAAGCTGCCACTGATGAAGCTGTTTCTGATACGCCTGCAGAGATTTCTGAAGAAGAGGAACCATCACCCTACTGGAGAGGTTACTCGCTTCTTATCATTTTTACGCTCTTCATAATCATTCTTCATTTTTTCCATCAATTCTGTGGGAAAAACCTTGAAGCAATACTAGGTCTTAATTTTGTCGAAATTCGTGCCTTCTTCTTCAAAGAATTTTAGTAAAAAATAACAAAACTTAAGGGGGTCCCCAACGATTTTTTCGAAATTGGCCATTTTTGACTGGCGCTCACGGCGACGCGCACTTAGATTTTTCAAAAATTTTTTCACGTACAAATAGATCAGTCTTAGATCTAGTGAAGCGTGTCTCAAATTTCTTTTAACCCAACCACATTCGGCGCTAGAGCCCTGAAAAGGTAACCTTCTCGCGCAAAATCGCGTTTTTGGGCACTTTTTGACCGAGATTTACTCCAAAAATTTAGGAAACAAAATTTAATTTTCCTGTGGTTTCTGTAAGGTCTAACGTTAATCTAGTGAAGCGTATCTCAGTTTTTTCAATTTCCAAAAAACGATAATGTAACGAAGACGGCCAAAAAAATGTACGAATTTTGAAATTTTAACCATGTGAATTGCCTTCCGGGCATCACCCAAACCCATATTTTCGGGCATAAATAGAAAAGTGAGCTCATATCCTTCCTGAAAATGTGACATATGCGACCCTTAGACAATTGTAAATATGGGTTGATTTTTAAATTTCCATGCAGATGCATCAAAATTGGCCACTTCAAGGTCAATTTTGGACACTTTTTTCTTAAACAATCGAAAAAAGCTAAAGACCTTTTTTGCAGCTTTTTGCATGAGGAATTCAAATCTGAAGAGAAAAAATTATAATTCGAAAAATCTCAAAATCGTTTGGGACCCCCTTAATAATAAATATTTCCTGCATGACATTATCCGAAATCTATAGTTTGAGAATCAAAATTGTAAAATTTTTCCCTAAATAATGGTAAGGGCCTCTTGAGAGTTTCATCAAAGAAGAGCGACTGTTCTGCCTTTATTAAAATTTTCCGCGAAGTTTTCAAGAATAATAGACTCTTATTAATAGTAACAGAAATCATCACAACCTTCTATACAGGAATCTGGATCGGATTCGAAGATAATCGGCCGATAACAGTCTCCTTCATGCTTGTTTATGATCATCGAAGAAGTTATGTTCTGACCATCCCACAGTGCCCTTTCCACGTTTCTGATTTATTTTAAATGAGATTCTACATATGTATTTTTACCGGGTTTGAACACCATCAAAAACAAGAAAATAATCGCCAAAATGAATTGAAGACGCAAGACCGTAAACCTAAAGAATAATAAATGAAAATAATTTTTCAAAATATTTTAACTGATTGCAAAACACCGACTTTTGCCCATTGATCATCACGGAGGAGATAAACATTTTTCGTATAAAACCAGACATTGTCATCTTTCAAGATTCCACTAATGGTAAGAACTCCATTTGAGACAGAAAGACATGTATGGGAATAAATCTGTCGAGGATGAGGAGTAGTATCTTGCCAACCGCTTATTCTCAAATAGTAAGTAAGCATTTGATTATGAATCACCTTGAAGTAAGAATTTCTACACGATTTGAAGTCGGTGAATAAGATCCAATGATCATCGGTGCATTTTCAAATTCTACCATGCAAGAACGTTCATGATTAATTTGTGTAGAACTTATAGATTGAGATTTTTCCCCGTTAAAGCTTTCGCAATCTGCCGAACGACCTCTGCATAAGATAACGGACTCAGTTCCAGCAGAAACAGTTGCGAGGGATCCGTAAACAGCGTCGAAAGAATTAACAAGTTGAATTTCGGTATTTATAATTTTACAGCCAGATAATATTGAAATCTTGAAATCATTATCGATATCAGCATCGCTTCATAGAGAAAGCTTTACCTTTTTAGTTGAACCATTGTTATCATAACTTCCAAAAAAATACACTTCTCCTCTTAAGATTGCATGGCCAGAATAATAAATATATCCACGTTCTTCATTTAAAGGAGATTCGAAATGCCGTTTTTCCTTAACTCTCGTCAAAGAAGAATATCACTTTTGCGAACCTTGAAACTTCCATCAGCAGAAATCAAATAACTAAAATTTGGTAAAGCGCTAATGTCTGTTCTCCCCTGGCAAAGCACTGTCACATGAGTCTGACATTTAAAACCGCAATCACAAGAACAGCCCATTGGGCATTTCTCCATGCATGGACAGAAGCTTTTTTCATCTTCGAACACGTCATAGCAGCCATCATAGCAAGTGTTATTCGTCGCACAGGATTCGAAACAATCGTCTAATCGTCCTCTCGCCTCTTTCAGACATTGTTTGAAATACGGATCGTTCTCAGGGCTTTTACAGCTGCAAATCGGATTCGCGCAGTTCTCGCAACCGTTCGGGCAGAGCTCGTCGCATGGACAAGCTCGGTAGCAGTCTTGAGATATCATAATCATAATAGAAAAATAGATAATTACCGGTCCATTCTCCAGCGCATTGGCGCTCGCAAGAAGAGCTCAAACAGCCATCCTTGCATTTGATCCACTTTTCAAAGCAGTCTTCGTCGCATAGTTCGCCAAGATCAGCGTCACTAAAGTTTTTTCCTTTTCTTCCAAATAACAAAAAATTTTAGTACTCACGGACAAGAAGGATCAATCCTCCGTCTAGAAACTTCAGCCTGAGCGCAAAAACTGATAAGGGTCAAAATCCACCTCATTTGAGAAGTCTCTTTCGCGAAACAATTCGAGTTTTCGACCACGATTCTGATGCTTGATTTTTGCACATGCTTGCGACCATTTGCATTTGTAGTAATAATAATTTCTTGTAGGAAGTTTCCTCAAAGGCAAAGCTGACCAACTTTCGCAAGAAAAAACGGTAAGATGCCTACTAGGCATTGCCTAGGCTGGCATAATTCGAGCCGGAGACGGCTTGACCCGGGCTGGCTATTATACGCATGTTAACCACTGATGAAGTTGACTTCAACGCATCAGAGGTTATTGAAAAAAGCCTCATCTGGTGGAGAGGCTTTTCATTTCTCATCAATTTTCATTTCACACTCTTCATTATCATTCTTCATTTTTTCCATCAATACTACGGGAGAAGCCTTGAAGCGATTTTAGGTATAAATTAAGCTGAAGTTCCTGCCTTCTTTTCGACGAACTTTAAGTTAAAAGTTTAAAACTAAATAATAAAAATATTTCATGCATGACATTTTCCGAAATCTACAGTTTGAAAATGAAAATTGTTAAATTTTTATGGTCTTTTACGCTGGCCTCTTTAAATCTTTTGTCGAATTTTATTCGTTTTTTATTGAAGCGAAAGGCATTTTACGCGGGTTCTTGCGAAACAGTGGATTTAAGAACCTCGGTAAGTAGAGTAAGAATACGGAGTGCAGAGGATTGGGACGTGAAAGTGCTCGCCGATCTGCTCTTTCTTGACGCGGAAGACCATCTCGGGTCGTGGGAAGAAAGTGTCGACGTCCTTGTAGTACTCGTCGGTGTAGAAGACGATCTTGTAGAAGTTGTCACTGGCGCGGTTGATCATCTCGATTTCCTCAGTGCTGACGACGGGCTCGTCGGTTCGCCCATCAGAATTCGTGATTCTGAAAATGAAAATTGAAGCATCAAAAAAGGCATTTTTCAAAACAGATCAACTTACAGTGATCGAATTGGAGTCCAGTCAGGTCCGACTCCATAGCCCTGATCGACCTGGTAAAAGACGTCAATCTTCATTCCTGGTCCAGGAAGACCAGTAGTCAGGTCGAGAACATGAGTAGAAATGCCAGTCGAGGCGACAAAAGCGGCAAAAGCGGAAAGAAATTTGAAAATTTTCATCGTTTTTTTTTTTTGTAAAATTGAGGTTTGGGGAGGCGGGAGGCGGGTTAAATAGAAGATATGCAAATATCAAATGTTACGGGACAAAGGCAAGTGTTGGCGCAAAGAGATCGTAATAACTAACAAGCAAAGCAAAGAAAACGCAAGGCGGGACATTTGGGGTCAGTCCAGGATTCTTCTTTGTTTTTTTTACTTTTAGCGGGGTTTAAAAGAACTTCTTGGTCGGAAATATAAAGTTAACGTAGAAATAATCGAACCAGGGCTTCATTTGAGCGTGCGAATTTCCGAGCGCTGATCAGAATAGACATTTTTTCATAAAATTTTTTGACAATTATGCTTTATTCTTTCTTTTGCTTATTACTTTTTTGCTTGCTTGGTCAACCAGTTTACAGTGAAAAAGTAAGAAGAAAAAATGACGAAAACGAACAGGAAAGACTTCGATTTGAATGCTTGCAAGGTAAATTCTAGAGCAAGGAAGAAATTAAATAATAATATAGGAAGAAATAATATAATAATTTCAAGAAATGATGGAAAATGCAAAAGAAGACAACTTAGCGGAGAAAACTGGACATGACGACATTGAAGTTCTTTGCGACTTTTTCCTTCATAATTTGTAAAAATTGTCATTTTTTTGTTAGTATTTGCATTTATTGGAAAGCTGGCAGTTTTGTGAAGAAAGCAATTTTTGAAAATAAAATAATATTTTTCTGGAGTTCAGATGGCAGTCTCCTGAAGGGGAAGTTTTTCGATGCTTTGGGGCAAAAACGTCAGATTCTGTTCCATTTCGCTTTTGCTCAGCGTTCGCGTTCTGTACACATGGTGCGCTAGAATTGTTGTTAGCGAAATGAAAAAAGGCGGCTAGAATTTTCGTTAAAAAATGGAAGAAAAAAAGAAAGTTTCTTATTTACATTGAGAATGATTACCAAGAGTTGCGACTCCATTGGGAGTTGTTTTCACTGGCGAGCTGGGATTCGTAACACATCTGAGAGCAGTTTCATAAAATGCCTTTTTGAAACTCGACGATTATACAAATTATAAACCAGAGTTCCCGAATTATTGAGACAAAGAATAACGTACAGAAATCGATTTTCATTTAAAATATTATTTAACCCCTTCGCGCACATTGACCAATTCATTGGCAGATGGCTCGAATAACCACAAAATGCTCTGCCAACAAAATGGTCATTATCCGAACGGGTTAATTAACAAGGCTCGGAAACCTGTGTAAAAAACCTGAGTCAGGGTCTGAAAGATTTTTAATGAAAAGCCGCGTAGCAGCTTTTTTCTAATTAAGCCGCAGAGCGGCTTCAAAAGAATCGAAATTTGATGGATACATAAAATATGTCGGCAACGCTCTGCGGTTTCTTAAAAAAAGGCGCTAGTCGGTAATTTATTTAAGATCTTTCAGACCCTGAGTCAGGCTTTCTTCACAGGTTGCCGATATCGGCTTAACCCTAACTTTCCAATCGGCTACTCCCAACCTCTTTCTTATGATATGATAGAATGATACTACAGTAGTACTGTAGTACAGTACTTCCTCGATGAAACAACAAACAGATATGAAATGAAACAACCGACAAAATTGACAAAAAGTGAATCGAGCACAACTGAAACAGAAAAAATCGAGCAGATGAAACTTTCCTTGGTGGATTTGACTCTAAATGATGAACGATATCTTTCACTCTTCCATTTCTCCCTGTAAGAAATAAAAATGAGTTATTGGTAAAAAAGCAAACTCAAACTGTTAAAAGAAATTTTGACAGTTCCAGTAAAAAAAATTGATCTCAAATGCAACTCGAATCGATAAAGTGAGTAAACGAAAAATACCTAAAGTTCCCGGTTGAGAATGAAATTTTCGATTTTCTCTTCGATCTTCGGCAATATCCGCTTTGGACCGTGTTTTCTGGGAAGGAAGTGTTCCAGCGCCGCTACTTTCGATCCTGCTCTTTGAAATCGTCTCCGGCGGTCCGATTGGGGTTCCGAGAGCGTCTTCGGGGTCGATTGGGGGTGATTGGCGAAGAGGGCGAATTTGCTCGTCAGTTTTCTGAAACGAAAAAGGGTTGAAAAAGGAAGTATTTGGAGATGCCGGGTATCGATCCCGGTACCTCTCGCATGCTAAGCGAGCGCTCTACCATTTGAGCTACACCCCCTTATCGCTCTTTTTCTTATCATTTGCGGCTAAACGGGAGGGGGGTTTTCTTTATGGATAGGAGGAGGGGCCCTTTGAAAAGGTGGGGGAATAGGTACCTTCAGCCAATGAGGGGCCAGTATTCCATCAGCCAATCAGAGGCTAGCAAACCCCCCATGCCCTCCTCAGACCCCCCCCCAACCCTTCCCCTCCTGAACTTACCCTGTGCGAAGAAATCGAGGAACGAGTCAGTTGTTGTCCAGAAACCCTTCCTCCTGCATTCCCATTTTGTTCCTCCGGCCTGAGTTTTCGCGTTTCCCAATCATTTCTGTGCGACTTTCGCCTTCGCTTCTGAAATATAACTGTATCAACACTCAGCTCAGAAGAAAAGAGACGGTGGATTTTTTCTAAACTGCTGCTCACCTTGTAAAAGACAATTAAAACAATAGCGCAGACAACCGTCAAACCAATAAATAAACTAATCACGAGCCTCGTCCTCCGTAGCGGCTCGCCAGTGCTAGTACTGTCGCTGCTGCTTGTTTTTGCTTCGGAATTTTCCGCGGCGGCTTTGACGATAGAAGGCGAGGCGGCGGGAGCAGACTGCTCGGTGTTCAGCACCGCGTTCGGGCCAGAAGTGACGGACTCGACGGCGCGGATCGTCGATGTCGAGAATAATGTTGTTGGGCCGCCCGATGCTGGGGTGACGGTAAACTCCGTGTCCGCTTGAATTTATTTTAGATAAATTTAGGCTATTTTTGATTGAACTTATTGCCGCAAAGAAATGATAAGAAAACAAAAAGCCGCTTGCGGCTTCGAGCAAAACTAAATCTTAGCCGCGCATAGCGCGGCTTTTCTCATTCATGCTCGAAAATATTGCGGCTTCGAGCAAGAATGAGAAAAAGCCGCGCTATGCGCGGCTAAGATTTAGTTTTGCTCGAAGCCGCAAGCGGCTTTTTGGTTTCTTATCATTTCTTTGCGGCGAAAAGTTCAACCAATGATGACTGTTGGTCATTATTGATGATCCATAATGACGTGTCAAAATTATTGGTAAAACTTGTTTACGAAGAATAATGTTACTATGTCACGAGTTCATCCTGAATAATGGAATCTCAACTGACAATCTCTTTTTCTAAGTATCGGAAAAGCAATAAAGTCAATCCAAGAAGGGCGTTATTGCATCTCCCCTCCCCTGGGTCTTTTTCAAATTGATCAACTCAAGGCTTGTTTCATCGTGTCTAAGCCTCAGTTGATCCCGCTTGCTACTTACCGACGTAATCAGTGTCTTCATTATAGCATGTCCAAGTGCCGCTATCATCAATGCGCAAGCTCTTTATTTTCAGCGTTGAGCCGGATACTTGAACACGCGTCTTGTAATTTTGCGACTGTAAGCTAAAACAACCATTTTGAGTCAAAATTTTTGACACAGAAAATTATTTTTTGATTTTTAGGACTTTTCTTCAAAAAAATCAAGACGCTGCTTGCGGCTTTGAGTTAAACTTACAAAAAGCCGCCCTTCCGCGGCTAATTTTTTATTCTCGAAATTATTTTTGTTCTAAAATCGAGAAGCCGCTTGCGGCTTCGAGTATGATCAAGAAAAAGCCGCGCTCGCGCGGCTTTTATTTTTGATTGCTCGAAGCCGCAAGCGGCTTCTCGATTTTAGAACAAAAATAATTTCGAGAAATAAAAAATAAGCCGCGGAAGTGCGGCTTTTTGTAAGTTTTACTCAAAGCCGCAAGCGGCTTCTCGCTTTTACAAGAAAATTAAATTCGGAAAACTCACGTGATGTCCTTTCCATCGGGCCCAAACCACTTTATCTGGCCATTTTGCTGGGCGTTTGATTGTGACCTGAGCGATTTGCACTCGAGTTGAATGTCCGAGCCTTCGACACCTGTCCGGGCGAATTTGTTCACTGAATCGGACGGGTTAGATTTTACGGCTCGATCTGTTCGTTTTCTGCGCTTTTGGACTTTAAGCTTTTTGAAAGGATTGAAAAGAAAAGCAAACATATAAAAAAAATAAGAAAAAATCAGGTGATTTTCAAGCTAATTTCTCGAAAAAAATTCAAAGAGAATTCAAAATCGAGAAGCCGCTTGCGGCTTCGAGCCAAAATGAATTAAAGCCGCCCGGCGAAGCGCGGCTTTTTGACTCATCTTGCTCGAAGCCGCAAGCGGCTTTCCGATTTTATTTTCTCTTTGAAATTTTTTTTGAATATTTTTTTTCGTAACTCCTTTTTTTCTTCTTTTTTGAACCCTTTAATTGGTCTCTTGAACTTTTATCATCTCTTTTTTTTTTGAATTTCTTTTTTGAAAACGATTTTTCTGTCAATTAAAAAACTTATTTCGCGGTGGAGTTTTGGGCAGCTTCTCAGATTGTCAGAAGCTCGAAGGGAAGGGAAAAGAGAGCAAGAAATGAAAAAAAAAGAATGAAGAAAAAAAAAGTGGCGCCGCGCTGCGGCCAAAAGCGTGTCCTTTTCTTATTTTGCGCGAAATCGACAATGGTCAATTTAACTTTCTGCGCCGCGAAAAAAGGCCGAATCCATATTTATGGATGCAAATTCGGCTGCATCAATTTATCCGCTATTGATGATGATGGGTTTTTATGCTCGAAAATATGATTTTCTTTTTGAAATGCGAAAATGGAGAAACTGACTGTCAGACTTGATGAATCAAAGATGAGATGAAAAGGAGACCACTTGAAATGAGGTTTTGTTTGCGGGACAGCTAATTGTGGGGATTAATTTCGGAGAAAATACTTAATCACTTTCGAAGGTCAAAAAAACTCAAACTAATTGATGAAATCAAGGAAGAAAATTTGACATCTTTGTACAAAATATAATTTTTGGGCTTTTTTTCTCGAAAAATTTTTCAAAAAGACGCCCTTATTTAACTTCGAAAGAAGACACTTTCTTGCTCCAATCATTAGTCTTTAAAATTAATAGGCCGAAAATTGAAGTTTTTTCTTGAAATTCGTCTTTTATTGGAGCTAGAAAAATTCTGCTCCCCAAGTTGAATAAGGGTGTCACTATGTAAAACTTCGGAGAAAACGCTCGAAAAAGAATTTTTCTACAAAGATTTCAAATTTTCATTAAATAAAGGGAGTTAGATTATCGCCTAAAATGAAAAAAATAAGGGGGTCATTACCTTAAATCTCGTTTTTTTTGGTGAATACCCGAAAATTTGCAATTTTAAAATTGGATCTACCTCTTTCTTTTCCAATAGAACCATGCAAATTTAGAATATTCCGTCATTAATAAAAGGGTCTTATTCAAACAAGTTATTTCATATTTTATTCAGCGACTTACTTTTCCTCTATTTTAATTCTAAAGAAACCAATCGAGTTCGTCTCTTGTCAATTTAAAATCGTCATTTATGTGCTTTTTGAATAGCGACTGTAAAATGCATTATCTAGCGACGAACACCCGGCGCATATAAAATTAAGAATTGATGATACGACCTTATCTCGATTACAGAAGGAGAAGTATCTATCTTTACCCTTGAGATATTCTCCCCAGATCTAATCGAAAAGCGGTTGCATAAAATCGTCGTTTAGATTATAATTTGATGTTTATTTTATTTACCATAAATACGGTAGGGCTCTATTAAGAATAAGACAAAGAATCAAAAATATTACATATCAAAATTTTAAGAAAGAAGGTCCCTATTTGAAAAGACATTCCAAGGGGTTGTTGAAGCTCCAAATTTTCAGCCAATCAGAAGCCTTTATTCTACGCAATTGCCAATCAGAAAAGACCCCATACCCATGGTTCATGTTTTCTATTTAGCTTACCCTGACCCTTAGCACGAGTACCTCATTTGGACCGTATCTGATAATGACTCACCGAAGAACTTTCTAGTCTTGCACCAGGCTCCGGAGTACTTGTCGTTCAGCTTGTCCAGCGGATAGTTCAGCCATTTTATCGGCTGAGCACATTTCGGTTTTGAATCTGCACTTTCGAGCAAATCCGGCCGCTTGCTTTTGAACTTGTTTTTCAATTTGCAATCAAGGAAGAGAACTTCGCTCGTGAATAAGTTATCGTCCAATTTTGAAACAAGGAAACAAGCGATGATGAAATAATTGAAAGAACAAGTGCCTGAAGAGTTCAGTGAGCCACCAAATGTCGCAGTCGCAGTTCCACTTCATCCCCGTCAGATACAGCTTTTGGAGCACGTTGGTGTAAAATATTAAACCTGTTCGTTTGTCAACAACATTTCCAATTACCGCAAAGTTTAAAGATTTACAGATTGTGCATTTTTGACTTTTAAGAACTCTAAATTGAGTCTCTTTTCAATAGATCGCATTCTGATTTGTGAAACAATCGGCTAGAATTAAGTTCATCATGAAAGTCACATTTGTCAGCATTGTCAGAAATGTCAGGATTTTTTGTGAGGAAATCTGTCAGAATAAACGTCAATCATCTTGAGTTAATAACTTATGGTTGTTTTCGCGCCGTTGTTGACATTTCTGACATTTCCGACAAATCAGCTTTTATTGCGAATGTCAGAAATGTCAACATTGTCACGTGAATGATAAGTATAAGTCTAGAATGGTCATTTTCTCCCCCCAAAATCTTGAAATTTCTGCGTTTGCTGACAGAACTGACATTTTTTTGCTATGTTGACATTTTCCTTCAGGCAAAGTGGTAAGTTGATTATTCGACAAGTCCAGGACCTTCAACGCTTCGAGACCCTAAATTAAGTTAAATTCAAAATTTCATTAGATTTCCAGCAGAACCTCAAATGACCCTTGGTCGATAGAAGTAATCGCATTATTCCTCAAAATCAATGTCTCCAGCAATCGCATATTTTTGAAGTTCGTCGTCGTGATTTTCACTAAATTATTGCCGGCCAAGTTCAAACGGCGAATTTCGCGGCGGGCATCGGTAAAATCCGGGATCTTTGTTAACTTGCAGTTTTTGAAGACTTTTTCATAGGTCAAAATGAGTTATGTCGTATATTAGATGTCTTTAGATGCCTTACGATGTCCCTGGATGTCACCAAATGTCTTTAGCAATCAGAGACATTTGAGAAAATCGGTAGACATCAAAAAATTTGTGTTGACATCGGAAGACATCAAAAGGTATCCTTTGCAATTTTTCAGACATTTCAAGACATCATGAAACATTCAGAAATCCTTCGAGATATTTTGTGACATTTGAGGTGTCTTAAATGTTTCCAGATGTCTCAAAATGTTTGCCAATGTCTCAAGATGTCTTGAATTCTCTGTTGATTTGAAAAGATGTCTTTTGATGTCTCAAGATGTCAAAGAATATTTCAAAATGTCTATAAATGTCCCGAAATGTTGCGTGACATCTCGAAATGTCGTAAATAAAATAAAAATTTCGACCGTGATTGCCTAAATCGCGTAAATTATCGAGTTGCCTGAAGGCATCATCGGAAACTTCCACGCCCGGGTTGAAACTAATGTCGATGAGGGACAAATTGCCAAGAGGAGCGAACTCGAGTGGGCCGAGTTTCTTCACTTGATTGCGCGAAACGTACAATTTTGTCAGTCCGAGCACCGCCTGAAATTGAATTGGATCAGATTGGACAGTAATTAAGCTCTCTTTCTGACCTTGAAAGCACGAGTCGGGAGCTGCTGGAAGTTGTTTGAGCTCAAGTCCAAAACACGAAGCGTCTGGGAAAGCCCGGAAAAGGAACCTGGATCGAGGGAAGACAACGAGTTCCGGGAAATGTTCAACGTCTCCAAAGAGAGCATGCCCTTGAAGGTGTCCCTCGGGATGCTCTCGATATTGTTACGGGAAAGGTCATATTCTTTGATCGAAGCAGGCTGACTTGGTTGCTGAATCACGCGCAATTTTTTATCAGTGCACTGAAAATATATTAAAATTATAAATAAAAATGATGAAAAACCCAAACCCGAAGTACCTCAATTTTGTTGATGGTCTGATCATCTTCGTACAAGCATTTACAGTTGCTAATGCAGCAAGCTCTCTGTCCATTTGGATCGCAATTCTTCCACAGGTTGCTTGATTGGTCCTGTGCTCTGACTGTAATTAGCAATAATCCTCCCAGTAGTCTCGCTCTCCTCATAATCATTGTTTGTTCTTGCTACTTCTTTTTCTCTTCGTTTTTCATTCTGTTTTATCTGTTTTTCTTCTATGTCTTCATGAGCTGTTTTTCTTAAGAAAAATCGTTATAAAAAAAGCAAGGAAAATAGATCTTTTTTATTTCTTTTCTTTTCTTTTTTGCTTGAAAAAAAAGAGAGAAAATGAAAAAGTTTAAACTCAATTTGAAGTAAAGAAAGTCCCGAGGGAGCGGCTCGGGGGAACGCCATTTTGCCAATTCGGTATCGTAATTAGTGAACAAAAAGGAGAATGTGGATGAAGCAAAGAAATGGAAAACAACTCGAGCTTCTGGCGAATCCAGATGCTACTTCAATGGCCGGAGATGGCATTTGTGAGGGGAGACGGGATGGAGAAAGACTTGAAGGGTGTCTTTTACATTTGAACTTTTTAAAAGCGATAAAAAGGTTAGACTGAGCGTAAAAACTAAAATTTTTCGCATCTTAAGGGTCTCGACAACGATCGGTTTCAGGCCTCCAGGTCCCAAAGCGAGTTGATACGTTTTAACCCTACGCCGCCAAATGTGCCATATATGGCACAAGGGCTCTCTAACACCCATTTTTCTCTCCGTCATCATTTCGGGTTCTTCCATTTTTACTCATTTTCGGGCAATAGTCTGGGCTTGGGTTTGGGTTCATTTTTGACCTCGGGTACTGGTTCGAGTTCGGATCTTGGTTAAGGTTCGGGTTCGGCCATTATATGGGGCCTAGGACGACGGAAAAGATGATGTGCCATATATGGCACATTTGGCGGCGGGGGGTGAAATTTAAGTTTGGCGGCGTAAGGTTAAGGATACTGTGTTCATAGAATAAAATTGAAATAAAGCCTGGTTTTCTGCGTTGAATATTGAACGGAAAAGCACTTGTTAAAAGCTTTTAATCAAATGAATTATTTGTGATTTTTCGAGTGGGACTACGTAATTCATTCTCCATATTTGAGTAGCTCTCTTCTTTTCCCGTGGCTGCATAATTAATATTATTGCGATTTTGAGTGAACCTCCGATCGAGAGGTCGAATTGGAAATTGATGCTATTCGGCGCGGAAATGTCCATTCTCTCCAAAAACAATCGAAAAAGAAATCAAATAAATTGAGCACTCAGAAGAGCATCGCTGCATAATTGATGCGATTCAGACGATTCAGACGATTCGGAAAAAAACGATATTGAAAAATTGACTTTTCGAATTCAATCATCAATTGCCGCATTTGATGATGACTTTTTTGGCAAATCCTAATTGAACCAATATCTGTCGGATGAAATAATCAAGAAGCCAATTTTTCTCGAAGAAAATGTCGCCAACCAAGCTTAATTAATTAACCCAATACTGAATCTTACAGTCGTTTTTCAAGCATAAGAATAACATTTATTCTTTCAAAGTGACACCCTTATTTTCATTGTCATTTTTTTTGTTAAAAAAATTTTCATAAATATTATTTTTCTGGTCATTATTTCTAAAAAATTACAAGTTTAATTTTACGGTGAATTTCTTAAGGGTGTCGACATCTTAACGGATCGATGACTCATCATTAATTTCAACGGATTTGTAAGCCCTGGGCTTGATACAGGGAAAATCCGTTAAATAGAATGGCTTTATGATGAGTCATAAATCCGTTAAAAAGACGCACCCTTAAAGAAATTCTCCGTTAAAATGGTACCCCCTTATGAGAAATGCTTTCTTACGTAGGTAGTCTTCTATGTCTTCAATTTTCTTTCACAGGCTCTCTGTTTTTTAAGTCTTTCAGATTCTGAAATTCAGAAGGTCAATGAAAAAACGTTTTTCAACAATTCAACTTTTTGTTGTTTTTTGTGTGTGCAACTCTTGTTCAGGTGTGGCCGTATGTCTTTTGGGGGACGGCGGTGTAGCTGCATCAATCTCTGCGGGATCGATAGCTCTGGCTACGGGTACAAAGTGATTAAAAAATCAAACGACATCGCGCTCACAGCTCTGTGAACCATTTTTCTACTTTCTGCTGCTCTTCTTCGCGGTCAGACAGCTTTTAATTATTTAATCCACAGAACAAACACTAAATGAGAACTGATTTTAATTTAGCCGCAAACAACAACGACGCGTAATCATCAATTATTTCACAAAAACTGTCTAAAAAAGTGTTTTTTATCTTCCAATGACGCAAAATTAAATCTTAAGGGTGTCATCGGCTTACCGGTCGACTGAAACCTTTGTTTATTTGACCCGAGGGAGGCAGTTATCATTTTAACGGGATTTTGACCGGCTGGTTAGCCGTTTACACCCTTAAAACCGGGATGGTGTCTGGAACCGACAAAAAAATTTCGAAAAATTTTGCGTGGGCGGCTACTCGGCTGCTGATTGGCCAATTTGCCTAATCCAGGCTTCTGATTGGTTGAAAATTTCCACGCGAAATTTGTCGAAATTTTTTGTCGATTCCAGAGACCTCTCCTTAAAACCGGAGTGAAGTTGGTCCGTTAAAATGGGTACCCCCTTATTTATTTTATTTTTTATAAAGAACTTACTTTGTTGAAATCTCAAATTGAAGTGGAATTCGTTTTCTCTAAGTCAGTTTATCCCAGACTATAAAAAGAGACTCTTCACTTCTCCAAATTGCCTGTTCAGAAAAAAAAGGAGGAGTAAATGAGAATGTTGTGAAAACACGGCCTAGTTGCGGCCGGGATTTGTCGAAATCCGAGGAGAACTGCCGCGCTGAGGGAAAAGGATAAGCGATTTACATGCGACAGTAAGCTCTCAAGTCCACTGACACCTGACGATAAGGCTATTATTTTAATTTATTCACGCAGTCGCACTTGTTTCAATTTTCATACCCATTGCTGAGCTTTTTTTTTATTTATTTCTGCGCTGATTCTCGAAAGTTCTGACTTCAAATTAAAAATAGGGAGAAAAAACTTGAAAAATGTCCCCAACTTAACGGGTTGAGTATTCCTCTAAAAGGTCTCCTATTTAACGGATTTTCAAGAAACATATTGGTTACGGGCAAAATTTAAGAAAGTCCGTTAAATAGGGGACCAATATATTTCATCCGTTAACATGCCTCTACAAATGATGAGTTAGTCCCTATATTAATGGACAGCTTTTCTTTGAAAGTAACCATATTAACGGATGAAATCTTTTTCAAAATGGTCCCCTTTTTAACTGATTTTTCTTAAATTTTTGCCCGAAACGAGCAAGTTGCTTGAAAATCCGTTAGATAGGGAAATTTTTAAAAGATTAGCTATTTTATAATGTTTTATATATTGAGGCGATTTTTTGATATCATTCTCGCGGTAATTACATTTTAGCAAACCATCAAGTTGATGAAGATTTCTGTCCAATCGCTCGTTTCAAATCATTTTTCTTCTTATTTTTTTCTTCGAAAAATGTAAAATAATTACGGTTTCAAATGTCTGATAAAATGAGAAAGATAAAGCTGGATAAAAAGAATGGCGAAAAATCGATGTTTCTGAAAGGTGGGACACTTAGCTGCAAAGATTTGCCTCGTCCAATTTCACAACGACAGAATCGATCTCAATGTCGAAAGAAAAGAAAATGAAGGATGAAACCTCATTGCCACTTTTTGTTAATTATACTGACGTCTCTCTGCTCTGCCAAGCTCTCAGATGGAATTTATAATCAACTGCTAACTGTTTTTTGTTCCGCGAGTTCCGCGAACTTTTGATGCTTCTGCTCATCAAAAATAAGCTTGGAAACAAATGTAGAAAACCTGAGTCAGGTCTCTGAAAAAGCTTATATAGAAGCCGCGTTGCAGATTATTTTGGCGAAACCTTTTCGCGGCTTTGTTCTTAAAAAAAGCCGCTACGCGGGTTTTACCAAAACTCTTTCAAAAACCTGACTCAGGTTTTCTACACAGTTTTCCGACCCCAAAATTGGGGGTGGCGTCAGGGACCGACAAAAAAATTCGACAAATTTTGCGTGGGCGGCTACTCGACTGCTGATTGGCTGGTTAGCCGAATCAAGGCCTCAAGTTAGTCGAAAATTCCCACGCAAAATTAGTCGAAATTTTTGTCGATTCTTGACACCACCGCCAGAGTTGACACTTGAAATCGGTGCCCCCTGTTTTATCAGAAAAAGCATGGCATCAGAACTAGAAAATGATCGATGGCGCCATAAAAACCAATGCCTTCCGGTTCCAAATAGTTTCGCTTTCACCCTTAGTTAGTTTTAAAAAGGCACGTGAGACCACCCCTGGATTTGATATCAACATTTTTTACGACTTTTATTTTTATTTATTTCCAATCGATCGACTTCATAATTGTCAAATTCTTTTTCTACCGAGTCAGCATTTTTCCAAAAGATAAGAGATGGATAGAGAATGTCTGGGCTCAGAAACCTGTGTAGAAAACCTGAGTCAGGGTTTGGAGAATCTCATGGAAAAAGAGATACTTCAAACCCTGACTCAGGTTTTCTGCACAGGTTGCCGAGCCCAGGAGAATGTGGTCCCAATCCTGGGCTACAGGTGATCAATGCGGGCTACTGTAAGACTGGAACGAAGAGTATGAATGCTATGCTGACTGTAAGTTGGGAAAAGATCTTCGGAAAATGTGTTTTTTCAGCAATTAGGGTACAAAGTTTGCGACGCGCCCGAGGCCGTTTATCGCCACTGGCAGGATTGGGAGAAAATTGCAAATGGCAAGGATCCAAATAGCGTTCTGATGAAGCTCTTTGGACCGGGAAATAAGGATGGCTACACGGCGTGCGTCGATTTGCCGCACAATGCTTATTGGGAACAGATTTTGAAGCAATTTCCGAATGCTAAGGGTGCAAAAAATCATTGATGAAGGTCAATTTTAAGCCATTTTCTAGTGATTTTGGCGATCAGGGACGAAGACGCCTGGGCGAATTCTGTTCACAAACATCTTCAGGTACTGCTTGTGCTTTCGGTTGTTTAATGAGGTGATGCCCTTAAGGTGGAGCGAGATACTTTCAAAGAAATGTCCTGGTGGAGGCTCCACCGCGGCATCTACAGTTGGGTCTTCAATCATTCATCCCGAGCGATGGGTCTTTACATGGACTGGATTCGCCCGCTTCTGCTCGGCCCAGAATCGCGCGACTTTGTCGGCGAAAATATGGACATTCATCGCCTCAAATACAGGTTTTCCTTCCTTCCAAACATCATCAATATCTTCTCCGTAGAATGCACAATATGTACGTGATGAATACTTGCCCAAAGGACCAACTGTTGATTTGGAAGATCGAAGATGGCTGGGAACCGATTTGCAAGTTTCTTGAAAAACCAGTTCCTTCCTGCCCGCTTCCACATAAAAATCGCCTCGGGGGAGTGATCGCTGAGCTGGCAGAGAATGTCAACTACAAGGTGCCATTTTGCTTCGAACACCTTTATTGATTGGTTTTTATTAGGCGATGGTGAGGAAGCAGACAATTTCAATCGTGCTGCGATTGATCATCATCATCGCTTTGGCGACTCTGTGGTTCATGAACATTCTTCCACCGTACTTTGAAGTGCCTGACTCGCATCTCCTCAACTGGAAGATTCTCCTCGCTCTGATTCTGTTCTTGATTATTATGAGAAAACTCTAGTCTTGAAACGAAAATAAATAACCGACTTTTTTTAACTGCTTGTTTATCGAATCGAATGTAAGCTATAGGTTACTGAGGAAAATGCCTTCCTACAGAGTTATTTGTTTTCCCCGTGATAACGTCTCCCCGAAACGAAAATACATGCAAATGGAAGTTGTTGGTGTCAATATTTCTCTGTCCAGAGAGATTAAAATCAACTGAAAAAATGTGGGCTTTTCTTGAACTTTGTTTTTGGCTTCTTTATGCGCCTATTCATGTCTCGTTTGTTTTTTGTACGATGGTTTATTTTTTCACAATTCATTTTATATGGTATCTTTTTTATTGGTTTTTCATGCTTTTAAAAATTTGTGATGCGACTTTTACCATCGTCGATGACTATGACACAAATAGCCATGCAAGAAGCTGTCTCGCGTTTTACGGATTTTCTGTATTTTTGACGACGTTTTTCTGGGAGGTTCAGAATTGATAGTCAATCAGATAATCGAAGTCAAAATTTTCTATCAAAAGAAAAGTGGAATATTTCTTATTTCTAGTACTCTGGCGGATGGACTTTATTGGACATTTTTCTGCCTTCTTTGGATTGTTTTCGGCTATTTTCATTATCTGTTCTTATGGAAAAGAGAGCCACTGGACTTTCTCTTCGATGACTTTTGGGTTTTCGTAGAGATACCATTCAATCATATTCATTGTCAGAATATCAGCTGGGATGTGTTTGAATGCCCAGAAATAAATTGCACATGCTTTACCGAATCAGAAAATCCGACTTCAAGAGCGCAATCTGTGTCTGCACCTATCCCATATGAAGTCTACTCTACTCAGCCAGCTTCTGTCAACACGATATCACCAAGTTATTATTCCACAAATGTGCAACAGGACTCTCAAGCTGCCATTATTGCCGACCTGAAAATCCTGATTGGAAAACTAAAACATGAAAATCAGCAACTTCAAGCAAAAGAGAGACAGCTTCAACTTGAGCTGAGTAAATCAAGTGACATCAACAAGCAATTGAAAGCTCAAAATTCTGATCTTTCGCAGAAAAATGCATCCCTCGAGCACGAAAATGAAAATTTCCGAAAACAAAAATATTCAAATGAATCAGCTTTCTGCAAAAAATGTGGCGAAACGCCCATCCAGCCTGCAGTAGAACTTCATTATGAAAATATTCACGAAGAACTTCGAGAAAAGTTGATCGAGCAGCAAGCTGAACTTGACGATTTGCGCCTGAAAAATCGAGAGAGAATTTCAGAAAATAAAAGACTATCGAATTTGGAAGAAGCGAATTCCAAAAACTAGATGATTTCAAGCAAAAATCGACGATCAAAGCAGAAAAATCGACATGAAAACGACTGAGCTCTTGCTTGTAACCGAAGAAAACGTAGAACTGAAGAACAGTGTTTGAAAAAGAATGTGCGCGGGCTGCGAGCGGGCGAGCGGGGCGCGGGCGGGCGCGCTCGTCCATCCGACCACCTAAAATTCTGACAAATTTTGCCCCCGCCCATCCGCCCATCAAAAAATCAAGCCTCATACTGCTCGCACGCGCACGTACCGCTCATGCGCCCCCGCTCGCCCGCCCTCCTCCCATGCTCGCCCCTTGCCCGTGAGTGCATGTGATCGGACCGGGTATTATCAAGTTAAACGGACTCATTTTACACAGAACAAGGACTTATTCTACATAAAATTGGGACTTATTTTACACAGAAATAAAGAAAATCGTTTATGTGTAAAATAAGTCCATATTCTATGTAAAATAAGTCCCTTTTTTGTGTAGATTACGTCCGTTTTCTTAGTTGCTCGGTGGGGGTTTTTGCTCCAGAGTTGGAAATGTTGTAACATGTTGCTTCTACATACTGCCATTACTACCACCAGAATACACCACTTAACGCTGGAACGCATGAAATGGTTCTTTCCCGGAACACATATCGACCCATTTTTGGGTAAGATGCCGTAGACCCGTTTTTATGCTTATATCAACCCAAATTTTATCATAAGTATGATCTTCAAACAATAATTTTCAAGAATAGATACATATGATAACTCTCATCTGTTGTTTAAGCACTAGAAAATGATGATTTCTGAAGGCATGTTTCAGCGCCTTGCCCAAAAATGGGTCGATATGCGTTCCGGCGTTAATAATACCAATACTTAATTTCCAACTCTGTTTTGGTCTCCGGTTTTGGTTGTTTTTACGTGTCTTTCGGTTTGTTTTCTTTGAGTAGAATTCAGCGCCCCGGGAGGGTGAGCGGGCGGGCGCGGGACGATGCCCGCGCACATCCGCCCATCCCAAAATCTGGCCTTTTCATGCCCGCTCCCATCCGCCCTTCCAAAAATCGGACCCTTCGCACCCGCGCTCGTCCGACCATTCGATTCTCAGGCTTTTTCAAACACTGCTGAAGAAACAATTGGAAGAATATAAAATAGAGAACGTCGAGGAACTGGAGAAGAATCTTCAGTATCTTGAGCTTATCGTTGACAAGTTCAACTGTCGAATCTGCGTCGAGTATTCGCCCTCAAATGAATGTTTTTTGACAGTTTTTAGGGAGTTTAAACCTGGAGTTCATCAACCTGTGGTTTTGAAAGGATGCGGTCATTTGTTTGGGCGAAGTTGTATTGAAAATTCGCTAAGACAAAAAAGAAGATGTCCAGAATGTCAAAAAGATGTCAGAAATGGTGATGTACTTGAAGTTCGCAACTGATTTTCATACAAATAAACAGCTTTGTATAGTAACATAATAATATAATTATATCCTGCAAGAAAATAGACATTCGATTTTGTGTTGTTGGTATTGCTATTTTTATTATTTTCAATATTATTTTCACAGACTGCCATTTATTGGCCGCCATTTTTGGTTTCCTTTCAGTTGAATTTCGGAAGGGCACAGAAAAAACGAAAAGGAAAAGGGATAATCGCGAAATTATTAAAATATTGCATTCACGCCGGGATTTTACGAGGGACGAGTAGTTTTCTCAAATCTTGGACAATTGAAAATTTCAAAAACTATCAATTGCCCAGGACTTTTTTCTTTCAATCGACTTTTTGGTCGATTGATTTGACAGAATCGGAAGTTGGAAGAAGGAATTATTCGTAAATATTATTAAATTTTTAGCTAACTTTGAATTGTCGACCGACAAATGAATTAATCGGACTAACGAGGGCAGGGTTAGACACAAATAATGATAATTTAGCTAAGTTGGGTTTGAAAGTGAATAAGTGTTTGGAGGTTGACGATGAAACGAAATTACAATTCGTCCTTGGCGTCGGCAGCATCGTCAGAAGCGGCTTCCTGAAAGGAAATGTTAGAAAGAAAAGAAGGGAAAGGAGAGAGGGTCTTCATTGAATGATAAAAGAAATCAAGGAAGACTTTCAATTTTATGTTTCAACTTACGGGCTCGAGGAACTTGACGAAGTCATCAAGAGTTCGTCCACCGTTGTAGTCCTGCATCTCGGCGCCTTCACCAGCTGGGAAGAATTTGATGGTGGGGAATCCTGAAATCATTTTTATCCTCTGATACCTTCAAGTACGAATCTTACCTTGGACCTCGACATCTTCGAATTCGTTGGCGGTGGCGTCAGACTTGGCGATAACGATGTTGGCGTGGTCCTAAAAGCAAGTTAAGTACAGTCAGAGATGAAAGAAGCTTACCTTGTATTTCTCACCGAGCTCTTCCCAGACTGGGGCGAGGGATTTGCAGTGTCCGCACCATGGGGCGTAGAATTCGACGAAGACGTTCTTGGTGGGGTCGAGGACGAGGTCGTTGAAGTTCTTGCCGACGACGACCTTGACGGCGTTGTTGGAGTTGTCTGGGATGTCTTCGGACTGAAAATACAAGCGTTAGAATTGAGCCAAGGCTTTTTCAATGATTACCTTAAGGTGTCGCTGAACGGATCCATCGAGGACACCGTTGACGAAGGCCTTGACAGCGGCGGCGGACATATCATCGGATTCTGGGGCGTACTTGGCCATGTTCTTCTCCATGTTGATGACTCGCATGGATGGGCAGTTCTCCTCGGTGATGCCGAAGAACTCCATGACTCGCTTGTTGTCTTCGACGTCGCAGTCGACGAGGACGAAAAGGAGCTTGCCCTTGAACTCCTTGGCGGCATCGGTGAAGTCGGCGATGATGGTGTCGTAGTTGGCGGCGCTCTTGGCGGCGAAGAGGAGGTTGTGCTGCTTGAGATCACCACCGAAGATCTTGGGGGCGGTCTTGTCGGAGAACTCGTTGACGAGGGCGAGCTGCTCGGTGCCGACGAACTTGATCAAATCTTCCTTGGTGGCTCCGGTGAAGTCAGCGCGCTTGTCGTCGAACTGCTTGAGGAGAGCGATCTTGCCTTCAGCAACGTCGAGAGCCTTGGCAGCATCAGCGTCGAGGATACCGAATGGAACATCGTCGAAGGAATCACCGGCGGCGTTGAAAACAGCATCGTCAGCAGCGACGAAACCAACAACAGCGACTTCGTTGTCATCTCGGAACTTCTCGGCGGCTTCGGCTCCGTTGACGGGGACGGCTGGTGGACCGGACTTCTTGACAACCCAGGAGACGATCTCGTCGGCTTTTCGGCCACCTTTGTAGTCGACTGGAGCAGCTCGGTCAGATCCCTGAATTTTTAGTTAGAATTGAGTTCATTTTTGAGGCAGAAAAGCCGATATTATCGCGGCTAGTTCTCTTTTCTTCTACAGAAATAGTTGAAACCAAGAAGCCGCTTGCGGCTTCGAGTTAAAGAAAGCTCTAGCCGCGCGAAGCGCGGCTTTTCCGTTCTTTACAATCGAAGCCGCAAGCAGCTTCGCAGTTTCCAACTATTTTTGTAGAAGAAAAGGGACTTCGCCGCGCGAATAGCGGCTTTTTTTGTTGTTGATTTGAAAATTCTTTCGCTAATTAGGACCCTAATTGGCCAAAATTATATTTGACAGGTTTTGAAATTACCTTGAACCATTTGAGAGTTGGGTAGCCGCCAACACCGAATTCCTTGGCGAGTTCACCGTGGACGGTGGCATCGACCTTGACGAGGAGAATGTCAGAACCGTCCTTCTCGAGCTGCTCGGCCGCCTTGGCGTACTCTGGGGTGAGGGCCTTGCAGTGTCCGCACCACGGGGCGTAGAACTCGACCAAAACGTGGTTGGAAGCCTTGATGATCTCGTCGAAGTTGTCAGCGCCACCGACGATGACGCCGTCTTCCTTCTCGAATTCGGCTCGAACGCCCAAGAGGGCGATCAGGGAGAGAAATTTCATTCTGAAAAGAAAAGGAAAATTTAATTCTAATAAAATAAGTAAAAATACAAGGAAAAAAATTGAGTTGAGAAATTTTGGTTTCGATTTTGGATTTATTTGTCTAAAAATCGAGAAGCCGCTTGCGGCTTTGAATCAAAATAATTGTTAGCCACGCGAAAAGCGGCTCTTCTTTATCTTCAGATTAAAGCCGCAAGCGGCTTTTCAATTTTTCGACCAAAAAAAATCGAAAATCAAAGCCAAAATTTTTCAATTCAATTTTCTCAGCAAACAAAAAGAAAAAGTCAACCGTCTCGTGAAAAAAAATCCGTTTTCTCTTGAAAAAATAGACTGTAGGAAAAAAGCGAAAGCGTAATCGCGTTGGCCGGGAACCGCCACATCATCATGCCTCTAGGGCCCGATGCTGTGACAGAAACGGCGAAAAAAATATGAGGTGGTGGAGGTGATTGAAATTGGGCCAATTTTCTGGCAGTGGGGGAGGATAAGGAGCACTAAAAGTTCATTTGGGGAAGGTTAAGGGGTTTAACTTTGTGGAAATAATTAAAATAAAGAAATTTAATTAAACAAAACAGAATCATTTTGAATAAAATTCTTAATCATAAACTCGCCTGTGGGTTCAAGCAAGCGACTTTTCGATTCAAAAGATTTTTATTCAAAAAAATTCTGATTTAATTAATTTTCTTTATTTTTATAATTTCTAAGCCGTTTAATTTTATTAGTAAAATTTGTGTTTTTTTTATTGTTGAAAAACTCATAGTAATAAAATTTTAATAGTCCATCTGGAAACCCTTAATTTCGGTCTTTTCGGGAGTAATTACTAATTAGCGATTTTAAACGAGCGACAACGGTAATAACAAAATCGGCGAAAAAAGTGGTTGAACAGAAACTCCTCTTTTTATTGGTTATTTCTCTCTTTTGTTTTTCTTTTTTGCAAGTTTTATCGTCTGCCACTTCAACGTTGGGAAACGTTCTGGTGCTCAATGAAAGCGGCTGGATTTTTGGCTGCGTCAGGTGAGTCAGCAATGCTGGCGCGCTTCAATTCGACGCGGAGCCCCGACTCGGCCAATTACTCGGGCTTGACGCGCTGGCAACGGCCGAGTTGGAGTATTTTTTTACGCCATGTGGCAGAAATGGTGGTGCCGCTTTTTTGAATTAGGGGCTGGTAGCGTTTGTTGACAGATGCGACGCTAAGAACATTGGTGTGGTAGATTTTCGGGAAGGGAAACAGATGAACAGGAAATTTTCTTTTTTTCTTTTGAAAAGAAATTTGAAATTCAAATATTTTAACCATTTTATTTTTTAAAATCATCAGTTATAGCAATTAACGGAAGTTTGGGGTAACTACCTTGGCTTGGCAACCAGTGTAGAAAACCTGAGTCAGGAAAATAAGAGCTCTAATAGAAAGTCGCTTTGCGGCTTCGTTTTCAGAAAAGCCGCTACCCAGCCAAGCCAAGATTTCTTTCTAAGCTTAGCTAACAAGCCCGTCAAAATCTAGAATTTGAAAACAGATTATTCAAATACAAGCATTAAAAATTAATTCATTCGAATTTTATTACATCAGAGAGATTGAACAAAATTGACCCATTTGGCAAACGAAACACTTGCTTTGCTCACTTTCATCACATTCTCCTAAAAGAAGAATTTCTCAATATCAATCCATTTGAAAAATTCTAACGATGTTGAAGCTCTTTCCCCGAATCTTCTCGCATCTTGTTATCAGAACATCATTTTCAATCGCTCCGATTTCATTCAGCAATTTCGGATTCGCCAGCATTTTCTTGCTAAATAAAATTGAAGAAATATAGAAATGGTACGTCTTACATATCTCGCCATTCATGGCTTTGATTTCCAACGAGCACAGAAACGCATTCCAAGATGTCTTTTACCAGAACAGGCGGATTTTTCAATGCTCTAAAAAATTAAGTAGGTGGAGGCCTTGTTCATCCTCTCTTTTCCTGCATGCGTTCCCTTGTTCATTCTTGGTCGAGAAGCTTTTTTTTTCCTTGCCAAAATCTAGCGAACTTATTCACGAAAAAGGCTATCTGGCTGAAAGATGAACAAGGTGACACATGCAGAAAGTAAGAGGATGAACAAGGCTACCCCTTTTTTCGTAGTAAACTTACTTGAGCTCAGTAAGATCAGCGAAACAAAGCTCGTTGAAACTCATTCTTTCTTTTTTATAAAAATTCTGAGCGCCTTTGCCCTTATAAATCAAAAAGAACAATAGTTTCCACTGGAACTGGCGCTTTCGGAAGCAAATATTATGGGTAACCAAATCTTTGACGTCAAGAATCTGGAGTTTCCATTACCATCTAGTATTGACAATTGACTGTATTGTCTTTTTCCGCAAATAAAAACAGTATAAAACAGACTGTATTATTCAGTTAAAAAATCACGTGACTCATTTTAGAACCCTTGAAAAAGCATTGGTAAAAGAAAGATAAAGATCTAATACAAATAAATAAACTTGCAAAAAAGCGATAAAAATTCGCCGCTTGGTTGCCAAAAAACATTTCGCCGCTTTGATTGAATTTTCGGAACCTGTCCGTCACTTGCGCCGATTATTTTAACCTTTCGCTATCAACAAGAACTCTTGTCATTCAACTTTACAATTTTGTGAAGTGAATTTTCTTGATGATTGAAAAACTGTCAGCAGGGAAGCAGCCATACTGACGAACACGCGCTATTAGGCAAGAACTCCGACCACCGGCGTTTAAAAAAAATCAAAATTTTTGGCTGAGCATGAGCACGACTGAGCAGGGCCTGCTCAAATTTTGGCTGAGCCTATCTTCTCAAATCAAACCGAAAACAACGACTCTCAAGCTTCAACTTTCCGACCAAGCTCAAATGTAATCGCGAAGAGCTTTCTCCATATCTATTTTAATAATTTTAAGTTCAAAAATCTATACCTCAGGTACCCGATTTAGTGTCGCCCAATTTAGTGTCGCTTTTTCCGAAACGTGGTCACCAGCTAATTCTAATTTAGTGTCGTTTTTTTCGGATTGAACTTTATTGACATGATAGAATGAGATTTATTTTTTCATAAAAAATGATTTTATAGAAGCTTGCTTGTAGTTTTTCTTCTTTGGTTCTTCATTTGGCTTTTCTTGCTCATTCTGCTGAGGATTTTCTTGGATCTGGAGAGCATTCATCTGCATATTGATCTCATCTTCATCTTTTTCGACTTGAGCTAAGAGCAACTCCTGATCGGTAGGAATATTTTCTTCATCAAAATCGATTGCTTTCAATTCTTCTGGTAAAACCAAATGAGTCTTCTGCCAAGAAAGAGTGAAAATTCCCTTCTTCATTGATAAGAAAATATCCACGCTCTTTTTTGCAAGCACTTCTTCTTCTATCCGTGTGTGGTCATTAATATATACTTGTTCATCGATGAATTTTCGATTTCAACTGAGCCAGGATAAGTGAATCACAGGGTTGATACCAACCTGTGGTAGCTGGGAGAAAGAAACAGAAGACAATATTTTTGAGCATCAATTTCAGTTTATGAACGCTAAATAAATTTGGATTTGGGAAACCAAAAAAAAATACCTCGCATTATCCAAAAACAAAACATATTTTCTAGTAAGAAAGCTCAAAATCAGTGCCAGTAAACAAAAAACATTGTCTAGAGACTGTATTAAAAACAAAAATCATTGCAAAGAGAGAAAATATGTCGGCAACCATTCGATTCCAATTTAGTGTCGTTTTTTCGAAATGTCGGGACCAAAAAAGCGACACTAAATCAGGTACCCGAGGTACTAAATTTCTAAGCTGTACAAAAATAGCAAACCTTGAGGAAGAAGTAAATGACGTTCAAAAAGGAACGAAAACGGAGCTGAAGCTGTCCAACTGTCAGACAAATACTCGTTACGACGGTTCTCATAAGCGAACGCTCTTTCAGTTTTTCCTCAGAATAGCTCATTTTCTTTCAGAGATCACTTGCTATGGTTATCGAAGAAGTCGATGAGAGAACGGAGAATCCGATTTTTCGGACAAAAATTCAGGTGAATATTCTTAGGCTTAAAAGGCAAAGCTTTTAAATAATTAATAAACTTATAAAATAGTGTCTTGATTGCGACTGTGTCGGTGTCTTGAGAAAATCAGGGGAAAAAGTTTATTTATTTCCCGAAGAAGTGTTGACGACTCGAAGCATTCACACTCGAAAGCGAGATTTGAAAGAGGAGAAAACATGGAAGAAAAAAGCCGCCGCGCAACTGAGCTTTGCCGAGCACGGATTTTCGACCATGCTTCAAATGGGCTCCTATCTCAGTTCTGGCTCCTTGTTTTGGATTACTGTCATGCTTCTTGGTAGTTTTCATGAAAATTATAATTGATCAAATTTCTTTTCTAGCGAATGTGTATTCTCTGGAGAAATCTCGCGCGGTGACGACATTTCTGACGTCAACTTGCAATCGAAATTACAAGGAATGCGTTCGAATCGCCGAAATTGATATATGCGGACATTTGATGAAGCAGTGCTTCGAAACTCAAGAATTTATGCTCCCGGAACCGGTTTCCAAGATCGAAAACGTCAAATCGGCGCCGCTTGACTTTTCCGAAGACGAGAACGAAGTCAATCTCCGCCGCTGTCAGAAGAAACAGTTTTACGACCAAAAGATCTGCCGTCATCTCTGCTCCGAAACGCTTGTCTTGCAATCAACAAGGACCAACCCAATCTCGCCTTGCGACACGATGTGTTTTCAACTGACAAGTGCCTCCGAAGGCGCTGGAGAAATTTGTCCACTTCAGGAATATTGTCCGAAGGGATGTCCTTGTCCTTATTATGAGTGTGAGAAATTTGAATCGCGGCAGAAAATGATCCCTGTCTTTGATCTTCGTGAAGACAGTGAAATGTCATCGTCGACAATGTCGACATCAACAAATTCATCGTCAAATTCCATCAAAATCTCTACGAGCTGCGATTATATTGCTCCATCTAAATCCGATGAACGGATAAAGCGGCGTTGGGATGATTCTCAGAATAACCAAAAAGACTCCGAAAGGTCGATTCCGATTATGCTTGCCGACTTCGAGGGAAATGCTAGAGGAATAGATGTTCCACCCTGTTTTTACAATTATGAATGTTTTTCACGAGAAGTCCGTTTTGTAATTTTAAAATAAAGAGTTTATTAGTCATTTGAAACGACTTATTTCTATTTTCCTTTATTCAAAATTCAATCAAAAAGACATGAAAAGTCTATTGGAGCCACTTTTCTCAATGGGGAACACTATTTGGTAGATGCGGTGGGAAATTTAATGAGATTTGCTGAAGATGACACTGCCCCGATATTTATTGGAAATCGACTTAAAAATGTGTAAGAATATTCCTTTGTATCAGTATTTATATTAAAAGTGGTTTTTTCGTGTTTCACTTTGGATCCTCGATCGGGACTCATCAAATTGAAATTCTTACCGAAAAAAAAGAAAGAAAAGTGTTTACGGTCGTCGTCATCTGAAAAAGGTCGAAAATCGAAGACTGTTTATATTTTAACCCGCTGACATGAGTAAGTCGGGGACAATTTTTGACCATTCGAAGCCGCCCAACTGCCCGGGACGACAAATGCTTCTACTACGCCCCCGATTACAATGCGAGGCGATTCGAAGAGGCACAAGGTTACATTCCAAGCAATCACATTAACGGCAAAGTTTCATCGATCAGCTTCAAAGGAGTTTTTCACTTGATGAGCGTCAAGCTTGGAGACAACTTCATCAGGTTGTCGACGACGATCGCTTTAACCAGAATACGAGAACGCGAAGAGTCGGAAAAAGGTTGGAAAAAAGGCGAATTCGGAGTTCCGGCAGAGCTGAGAGATCTAGATCTTGTCCACGTGGCTCCTTTGGAACGAGTTAAAATTTGTGAGCATTGACTTTGATTTAAATTCATTTTTAACCGAAATAAGATCGACTCGGATAGACTTCTTCTAATTCTAGTGACAAGAAGTATCGATCTCTCAAACACGCTTTATTCGGTGTTGTTGGAGGCAGGAGGCAAATTCGTGACTCTTGGCCGCGAGTGGATCGGTTCCCTTGATAAATACGAAGAGCAGGGGTCTGGATTTCGGCCAAAAATTTAAAGCGAAAGCGAAGCGAAGCGAAAAATTTTACCTTTGCGAAAATATGTTACCTTTGAAAATGTGTCCATTTTAAAATCGGTTTCAATTTTATTTGTTCTTCGGGCATTCGGACTTCCGCTCCAGAAAGAGCGAAATCGTAAATTTTCTGATCTAACTTAGCTGATGAGGATGTGTGGCTCGAGTGATCTCCATTTGCCCAAATGCCATTTCCCAAATCGCCGTTTACGGTAAACGGTTTACCCAACTTCGGGAAACCGAAATCTTAGGCAAACGGCGATGTGAATAAATGTAAATTGATTGATCAATGATCATTAAACATTGGCTTCACCAACTTCAATCAAGTCTACTCGAATATCATTGATATTATGTTAATCATGGCTTCTCTATCTTCAATTCTGTTTTCTTTATCATCAATCCTGGCTTCACCGACTTTAATCATGGCTTTACCGATGCCGATCCCGTTCATTCCGTCTTCTCGAACGTCCATCCCGGCTAGGGTTCGCAATGAAAATTTTTTCCGTCAGAAAAATGGCGCCAAAACTTCTTAATATTAAAAAATAGAAGAGTAATTTGATTATTTTGAATCCAATTATCAATAATAAAAATTCAAAAATATATCGGAAATCCGGTTTTCGACCAGGAAAATTTACAAAAATGGCGATTTTTCGCCACTTGGTGGCGTGACACCTACGCAAAATCATCAAAATATTTTTGAGCATATATCTAAATATATCACATATCATTTATGCTGATTGACTATTTTGCGGACGCGTCATTGCCATTTAAAGTATAAAATACGGATAAATTAAGGATGACGTGGCTTTAATCAACTGCTGACGTAACGCAACTATTCCTTCTTTTTTTGATAAAATCCATTTTTCGAAGTGAATATACACGTATATCAGACTGATTCTTTAAGGGATGATAGCAGACCTACTTACGAACCTTTCTACCGAAGGAAAAGTTCTGGCATTGCTGATAACGCCAAAAAAGCGAAAGGAGAGATTTTCAGAAAATAAATTTTGAAATAATTTTTTTGAAGTGAATATGTATATTTTTCTGGCTGATTCTTTTAGGAATGATAGAGGATCAA